AATAAGCACCGGATCCGGTGACGTGATTTGTCAGTCGTTATATATGGATGTTATACGGTGGCTATACGCCTGGCGGGATGTTGAATGGTCGATGTCAGGCTCAGACTTGCAGAATCGGGGAGTCACAGTAAGCACCGGATCCGGTGACGTGATTTGTCAGTTGTTATATATTGATGTTATACGGTGGCTCTACGCCTGGCAGGATGTTGTATGGCCAATGCCAGGCTCAGACATGTCTTCCCTCATAACCCATCATGTGGTACCGAGGACACTTCATTTATTTTCATTAATCACCTCAAACGTGTAGTTATCCTTTTCGATCGTGTGTTTATTATTTCGATCATGCAGATGATGCCTTCGTTTAATTCACATTTTTCACCAAGAATTTATACCATAAAAAGTCTGGTTCATAAATTATATTCCAGCCTCAGATAATAGCTATGCAGATTTAATAGATTTGCTGTTTAATTGGTGCCGTATCTCCTCCTTGCCCCTATTCCCGCCAACCACGAATCGTTACCTTTAACAAGCCTGGATATTCCATCGTTGGTGGATTTAACGCTCATTATGGTGCTGTTAAATCTGTTAACAATCCCGAAATCAGAGGATTCCTGAGCAGCCTCCATCGTGGCCTCCCCACACCCCTGGTATCCCTGGCGGAGAGATGGATACAGCTATTTATGACACTGTCTAATAATCTGTTAACAATCCTGAAATCAGAGGATTCTGAGCAGCACCCTCTGTGCCCCCCATCCCCCCTGTACTCTTGGATACGGCTATTTATGGTGCAGGCTCAGTATATTTTATACTGGATTGGCCTTGTTTGCACGTCATCTTTATATGTACTGAATATACCCTGAATAAAATGATTAAAGGGACATGTGCAGGTCCCACAATCTATAAACGTTCAGTGACAGCGTGCAGTGCAGATTGCTTCATCATGAGAATGTATCGTTAGTAGACAATGCAAAAACAAACGTTCTCATCGGCTAGCTCATCACGGCCAGCTTGGGCACTGCTAACCTCATCATGCTCAACCGGCTTAAAGGTTGGCGGCTTCAGGCTGGCTGAGGATCATGGTAAAGCAGTTCAGGGATTTGCAGTGATTAGACTAGCCATCACCAGGGGGATCGTTTTAACTCAGGTAAAAATTGAGTAAAATGAATACAAACAGGTGCTCAGTGCAGATCCGCTGGGTACTCCCACTCCCAACACTACCATCCCACTGATATAGGTTTGTATTATCCATTGTAACCTAGAATGTATGTGAATACAGTAAAACCACAGCTACTGTGAGTAAGCAGGTATGAAGGAACCCCTGACTCCATGATCAGCCATTATATCTAGGAAACTATTCCACCGGCGTACAATGCCAAGTATCTACTACTAGTTAAGATCACAGAATGAAATACCGACCTGAATTCAGGATTATATTTTACCAGTTATTTTAATATGAATGCACCCGCTATGAATGTCAGCCCATCTTAGTGCACTGTTTAGTAAATAGGACCCTAAATGCTGCCAGGCAGTGAGTACTGAGTCCTAATACACAGACTGAGGTTCCCCTCCCTCCTTGTCACCCCGTACACAGCTCCTTCCATTCATTCTCTGCATTCTGCCATTTCTCACACCGTCTCCCCTTGCTCGCTTCTTAAACATGTCTGCCCTCAGCACCTGGCTTCCCTCCAAAGAACCTCTTCATGTATGACCTATTTCCAGTCTGACACATCGGACAGAGTACGGCGCACTGCTTGAAACCGCGTACTGCAGCCGCACGGGCTAAAACGCAGAATCCAGCACTGAAATAATTATTTCTAAACGCCACCATTAACCTGGAGAAACGCCCCCCCCCCCCCTCGTATTTTAACATTAATCACGGGGTCAGAGAGAAAATGTTGCTTTCCTGCATTTTTAGGGTTTGCTGGCAAGCACATTTTTTTTACTAAAATGGAGATTGGGGAAAAATTGTCCAATTCAGCAATGTTTACTAGCTCGGACATGGTGGCCTAAATATTGCTATTCCCTAGTCAGTTTCCCAGAATCCACTGCTTCTGTAATAATGGTCTCCGTCTCATTCCTTGTGGTCAGCTAAATAAATGGGTCAGGCCTGCTTCCACAGGGATTTATATTCTGTTTTAAAGTATGACGGCTATAAGAGATAAAATAGATGTTGTTTGTATATACTGAATCACCATATTGGTTTTGAGTTTAGTTCTCTTAAACTCTAATTATTATTTTATGATATATCTGTACTCCTTACCCAACGTATAAATAAATACACAATATCTGAATTTAAGGACAGGGATCCAATATGGTTTAGAGTGCAGGGGATTCTGGGATATCCCCCCGCCATTTGTAAGGGCAGAAATGGATATTCATGATTTGTATGAATAGCGTGTATTTCTATAAACTACTTCTGGTTCTATTCCAGGGCCAGGAATGGGGTGTTATAGTTCTGCCATCTGGTTCCTTGATTAATAGCGACATTGATCGAAATGTCTCCGTCCAATATCGCCATCCGCGAAGCGAGTCCCAGGAGTCTGTTCCACTCTGGGTAATAGCTCTCCCAGGCAAATTACAGCCCAGCATTAAATGTGCGGTTAAATAAATTGCATTATGCAGGGAGAGACAGGAAAAAACTGTTTATCTGTCAGAACAGCAGAGCAATCATAAACCCTGGCTCTTAAAGTGCAGAGAGAAACCATATAAACGGCCTGGTTTTAGCCGGTCGCCAGTTACTTTAACAATAAAGCTGCCGCGGGCCTGTGAAATATTTAATATTTCCGCTGGTTTGTTAGAACATTCTAGAACAAAACTGTCAAAGAGCTTATTAATGAAACTGTTTTCATGAGGGAAAAGAGGGGCGGCTCTCTCAGAGACAAAATGGCCGCACACGTGCCACGATTTTATTGACCCGCGCGTTTTCAAGTGGCTGAAGGTCTGGCTTCATCATCGAACAGACAGATAATTAAGATATTTACATGTTGTTTTAGTATTAAATGATTTATAAATGTGAACTTTACACCATTTTCATATGATATCTTTATGTTTTTCTCCCCGGTGTTAGTACGTTCACCATACTCTGGTATGTTTCCAGGTTTAATACGATCTAATTGTTTTTTTGTAGGTTTATGCGATATTAGTCAGTCATCCTCCAGCTCCAACCGACCACCTAACACCCACTCCGGTCTCATACACAGCAGGCTTCTACCGGATCCCTGTCATTGGATTGACCACGCGCATGTCCATCTATTCGGATAAGGTAACGTGCTTTCCTCAAACAGCAATAAAAAGCGCTCGCTGTCTGCTCCCTATATTAAGCAAGGCAGGTCTACAAATACTGCCTGGAAAATACCCTAATGGTGAGAATTCAGGGGCAGAGAATGGTCTGAACACCCCCCTACTAGAACAAAATTCTAAGGATAATAAAGACAGAACTGTATCTAGAGTCCTGCATGAAATGAACTATCCTCACCCAAAGAGCTTACACTCCAATTAAATAATACTAAACCTCTCACAAAGAGCTTACACTCCATTGGAATAATACTAAAGCTCTCTCAAAGAGCTTACACTCCAATAAAACAATACTAAACCTCTCCCAAAGAGCCTACACTTTACATATAATGAAGCCCCTCTCCCAAAGAGCTTACACTTTATATATAAAGTATTTCCAGATATCAGCATTTTAGTTTAAAGTCTGTCTTGTGTTAGTAAATACAGGCTGACTGTTTGCATAGTGTGGCCCCTGTGGCACTGTTTAGTGGGCCTGCCCTTGGTAACGTGTCTCCAGCCTGATGGGGGCCCAGTGATTGGGAAATAATGACAGACGCTGTCAGTGTTGGAACAATGAAGTGAACTATCTAGTCAGGCTGGTTTTATTGTATCACGGCCTGTGGGTACTTTGACCCTGTGAGTTAGCCAATAAAGGTGTGAGCCATTATCTGCTCCTACCCCTGCTTTATGGCTGCTGTATCGCTCAATTATTAACTCCAAACTTCCTCTAAACTAACCGTGACAATCACTCTCACTTTACAACTGCACCCCGTCATATGACCATGTTTACTGAGATTACCTCAGTCAAAAGGTATCAGGGTAAACCGACAGATTCTCAGGATTAATTGACAGATTCTCAGAGTGAATGGGCAGATTGTCAGGGTGAATAGGCAGATTCTCAGTGTGAATGGGCAGATTCTCAGGATGAAGGGGCAGGTTCTGAGAGTGAATGGGCAGATTCTCAGTGCAAATGGGGCAGATTCTCAGCGTGAATTGGAAGATTCTCAGGGTGAATGGGAAGATTATCAAGGTGAAGGGGTAGATTCTTAGAGTAAATGGCAGATTCTCAGGGTGAATGGGGCAGATTCTCGGGGTGAATGGGCAGATTCTAAGGGTGAGTGGGGCAGATTCTCAGGGTGAATAGGCAGATTCTCAGTGTGAATGGGGCAGATTCTCAGTGTGAATGGGGCAGTTTCTCAGGGTGAGTGGGGCAGATTCTCAGTGTGAATGGGGCAGATTCTCAGGGAGAGTGGGGCAGATTCTCAGTGTTAATTGGCAGATTATCAAGGTGAAGGAGCAGATTCTCAGCGTGAATGGAAAGAGGGTATACCTAGAACCATAACCACTTCTGCAAACTGTAGTGTTTATGGTGCCTGGAGTGGTGCTTTAATAATATATATGATTCATTAAAAATATCTGCAAAAACAATGCATTAAAAAATATTGATGAAAAAAGTAGTGAAAGTTAACTAATGTTTATACCGTCAGTCTGTGTCAGTATTGTTTTTTCGATGTTACGATTCAGCCCGCGTTCAGGGCCGGATTAACATAGGGGCTGATGGAGCTGCAGCTCCAGGCCCAGGCCCATGGAATAGGCCCATTGATTTAAAAAAAAAAATACATATATATTTTTTTACACACTATTTTTAGGGATTCCACCTGGCTTTTATTTTATTGGCACAGCCGGTATTTGAGGCTGCCTGGCCGGTGCCAATATTGCAGTGATACTGGCAATACAAATGGAGATATTTTTCTTTGTATAAACCATGGGTCATCAACCTGGTCCCTACCGCCCACTAGTGGGCGTTTTAGGATTCCAGGTGGGCGGTAGGGATTTCAGCGGCTAAATCCTCTTTTTTTTGAGGATTTCTCCTTTTGGGCGTGCGGGCGCGAGTGGCTTTGCGGGCGCAAGATTTCAGTGACCGGCAGAAGGGAAGCGCTCCCTCTTGCCAGGCCACCTTCTGGACCCCCCGGCATGGCGTGCGGCAGTGGTAAGATCAGACGCGGCGAGGGAGCTCTAACCTCTCTGCTCCCTCGCGCTATGTTTTCTGATGCCGCGGGAGCCGGAATATGACATCATATTCTGGCTCCCGGCATCAGTAGACAGCCCGCGAGAGAGCAAAGCAGTGAGGTTAGAGCTCCCTCGCCCCCTCGGATTTGAACTCTGCCGCCCGCTGAAGTGAAGCCCCACTGGACTCCAGGGACAGATCCACACCAGCTCTCCAGGTAGGGAGGCTGGGTGGACATTTAATATTAATAATTTGTGTGTATGTAAGTGTATGTGTGTGTGTGTGTTTGTTTGTTTCTGTGTGTGTCTGTAAGTGTACGTGTGTATGTATGTGTGTGTGTGTGTCTGTAAGTGTATGTGTGTATGTGTGTGTGTGTGTCTGTAAGTGTGTGTGTGTGTCTGTAAGTGTATGTGTGTATGTGTGTGCGTGTCTGTAAGTGTATGTGTGTGTGTGTCTGTAAGTGTATGTGTGTGTCTTTAAGTGTATGTGTGTATGTATGTGTGTATGTGTCTGTAAGTTTATGTGTGTATGTGTGTGTGTGTGTCTGTAAGTATATGTGTGTATGTGTGTGTGTGTCTGTAAGTATATGTGTGTATGTGTGTGTGTGTGTGTCTGTAAGTATGTGTGTGTTTGTCTGTAAGTGTATGTGTGTGTGTCTGTAAGTGTATGTGTGAGTGTGTGTATGTTTGTCTGTGTGTATGTGTTTCTCTGTGAGTGTGTGTGTCTGTAAGCGTATGTGTGAGTGTTTGTCTGTGAGTGTGTGTGTGTGTCTGTAAGTGTATGTGTGTGTGTGTGTGTGTCTGTAAGTGTATGTGTGAGTGTGTGTATGTTTGTCTGTGTGTACGTGTTTCTCTGTGAGTGTGTGTGTCTGTAAGTGTATGTGTGAGTGTTTGTCTGTGAGTGTGTGTGTGTGTCTGTAAGTGTGTGTGTTTGTCTGTAAGTGTATGTGAGAGTGTGTGTGTGTTTGTCTGTGAGCAGAGTACTTGTAGAATAGAAGAAAGAAGGAGCAGAATATTTGTAAAAAGAGAGAAAGAAAGAATGAAAATAAAAAGGATAAGGAGAGAATTGTTGTTGGCTAATAATAGTAAGTGGGCTACCTAGCTCAGCCTTCCTACTGGGCATTGCTATAAGGAAGGATAAAAAATAGAAAAAAGGGGGAAAAAAAGGTGGGGAGGGGAATTGAGGAGGGGAGCTGACGCACAGATGAGAAATCATATTATGCGCAAACAGAGAAATCGTCTGAATATCACCGAAAGAGGAGACCTTCGTTTGATCCTTACGAAAATCGAACCAGATATCAAATATTTAGTCTTGCAGCATCAACCTCAAGGATCTCATTAATCACTAGTAAAGGTAATTTCAATTTACTTTGTTTTCTCATTAAACTTTATAAAGTTAAAAACATTAAAAAAAAGAAAAAGTCTCTCCCTTGGGCAGGGACTATGAAGTGTGTCCTGAAAATATCCAGACAGGGGGTAACCCTAAATATTAACTCGGAAAAGAAAAAGTGATCCTAGGGCAGAAATGTCCAGGATACACAGATAGGATATATCAGAGTATCTATTACTGATAAAAACCATAATTTTATTGGTCATCATAAACATAGACAAATAAAATAATAATAAAGAAACACACACACACGCGCACACGCACACACACACACACACACACACACGCACACACACGCACACACAATATCTGGGTGAATAGGGATAGAGTGTTTAGCTATATGTCTATCCAGTGTATTGTTACATTGCCAGTTCTTTTATCCGTGTCTGGCAGGCATCAGTATGGGATTTGACAACTGATTGGCTTCACACGAGGGGACTTGGAGATCAGTTTAGTCTCCATTAAAGGCTCTCTAGCTATTCATATTCCTTCTATAGGTGGTTTATATGCCATAGGAGTTTCCTCTACTGTATCAAACCTCTGCTATTACCACTATATTTGGCCTCCCCTTCCTAGCCTACTGAGCTTCATTATCTCCTCCCTGTGTGTTTACCTTTGGGTTAGTGTGTGTTTCTTTATTATTATTTTGTTTGTCTTTGTTTATGATGTCCAATAAACGTATGGTTTTTATCAGTAATAGATACTCTGATATATCCTATCCGTGTATCCTGGACATTTCTGCCCTAGAAGTTAAAACATTATAAACATGCATTAAGTAGAAATAAAAAGATAAATGTACGTACATTTATTTTTTTTTAAAACACCCTCCTTTCTAAAAAATATTCCGAACTTGTGCAAAAACTGGTGGGCAGTAAGGAAATGTTTCCACCAAGAAAGATGCATTATTGGGCGGTAGGTAGAAAAAGCTTGACTACCACTGGTATAAACAGAGATTACTCTGCAATACCAGCACTGGCGGGTAGGGGTCAGTGTGTGTGGAGACAGGCAGGGATAGGAAGTTAGGACAGCATATCCCTCCCGCCTATCTCAACTCACTGATCTGCAGGGGGGCAGCTACAGAGAGTCCAGACAGCAGAGAAAGCCTACAGCTCACGGAAGTGAGGGATGGGGGAAAGGCAGCAGGGAGACATGGGGACACTGAGACACTAGGGACACTGGGAGACTAGAGGACACTGAGACACTAGGGGACATTGGGAGACATTATGACAGACACTTGGGGGCACAGAAACACATGGGGACACAGTGCCCCTATGTCTCCCAGTGTCCTCATGTCTCCCAGCCATTGTCCCTGGTGTTTCAGTGTCCCCATGTCTCCCAGTGTCCCCTTGCCTCCCAGTGTCCCCTAGTCTCCCATTTTCCCTAGTCTCCCAGTTCCCCCATGTCTCCCAATGCCCCAAGTGTCTCAATGTCCCCATGTCTCCCAGACAGTGTTCCTAGTGCCTGTTGCCCTGGTGTCTCAGTGTCCCCATCCCTCCCAGTGCCCCCATGTCTCAATGTCCCCATGTGCCCATCTCCCTCAGCTAGTCTCTAGTGTCTGTGTCCCTGGTGTCTGTGTCCCCATGTCTTCACGTGTCCCCTATTTTCCCTGTGTCCCCATCTGTCCCAGCCAGTGTCCCCTAGTCTCCCAGTGTCCCTGGTGTCTCCGTGTTCACAGGTCTCCCCGTGTTCCTAGTGACATGGGGACCCTGGGAGACATGGGGACATAGACACATGGGAATACTGGGGGACACAGGGAGACATGGGGCATTGAGACACTGTGATCCATAGGGACACTGGGAGACATGGGGACACTGAGAGACACTGGGAGCAATCCATCTATACAGCAGAATCAAACCAAGTATTTTTTTGGTTATTTTACAGCATTTTCTCTTGTCACTCCTTGTGATTTACATCATGTGTTGTCACCTGTACATAATTAATTATGCAAATTAGTAAGGTCGGTATGTTTTTCCAAGAAAGATGGCAACCCTAACTACTTTTCACATACTCTTGCTTAAGTATGGAAACTTAAGAGGGATGTATGGGAACAAAACTTGTGTGGACTGGCTGACAATGAATATAGTTTAGGTAATGCAGACGTTGGTCTCTCTAACACTGTGGCATGTCCCCTTTCTTCTACACTCACTACCTACAGCTTTTCACTGTCCCAGGTCATATACCAGGAGCTTCTGCTTGCTAGTAAGAAGGTAAGGAGACAAGTGGACCAGCGAGTGCTAGGGGACAGTCCTTAGAAAGCGTTGAGTGAGCGCATCATTAGATGCATTTATGCCAAGCTCAGGGTGCTGTCTGCATAGTATGCCCTTAGTTGGCCAGCTGCATGATTGGCAGGCAGCCTGACATGCATTCATACCAGGCTGGCCTTCTAATTCTTTGAGCAGACATGTCCTCTTTTTGGGCATGTTCGCCCCTTTTGGCAGGTTACATGATTTGTGTCAGTGGCACACCCTTTTACCATGCCCATTGACTTCCTGCTTGACTGGACACTGCTGTTAGGAATTATGGATTTACTTGAAAGATGAAAACATAAATTAGAGAGAGATTAGCCTAGGGTATGTGTTTTCTTATAGCTGCTGTTTTCTATCTCTCCAGCACCATCTCCATCAGATACATGACGCTTGGGAGTGTTTTTGGTCAATCAGATTCTGTAATTAGGCCCTTCATAATTGTCAGCACCAGGCCCACTGGGTTCTTAATCTGGCCCTGCCCGCGTTCATTATATATTGCTGGCTTTTGATTAAACCCAATTTCCCAATAAACTCCCATTTCCTGCCCTTTATGCGTAACATTCTGCAGTGAGCTTCAACAAACCAGGAAGTGGCTGAGCCAACCATGATACTTCACGTTCTATATCCGTGCTAAGTGCAAACACCTATGGTGGACACCCAGGATTTCTGGGAGTTGCGGTTCCATTATCAGCTTTCTACTTTAAGATAACTGTAACGCCAGAATTAGATAAGATGTAGCTCATTGCCTTATGGAGCAAAACTGTTTTTTATTAAAAAATAAATAAAATTTAAATGACAAAATGAATGGATAATTTATGTGTCCCAAAAATTAAATCGCTCTGCACCCCCTCTGTGCTATTTTACACCTGATCAATCCGGCTAACGGTCATGGGAGTTATTGTCCAGCTTGGGGTCACAGACAAAATACTGTTACTATAAAAATGGTCTCATTCCCTGTATGCGGAATTAATACGCTCCAGGTGGGAATTTTATTAGCCAATCTAGAATCCCAAGAATCCCTGACTGATCAGTGGATGTCCCTCCTGACTGCAGGGCAGCACTTTTCATGCACTGCCTTTCAGACATGATCCCAGGAAATCATGGTGGATGTGGCAACCTAATGCTGAAATGTTAGATATTTTATAATTTTCCTTCTCCGAGGATTGAAAGACGGGTGTTAAGTAGTTTCGTATTGGTCATTAAATGGACTCCGTGCAGCGCAAGCTCCCTGGAGTGTAAACGGCTTGGTTTAATGGGTGAGTTTGTTCCCCGTTTCAGAGCATTCACCTCTCGTTCCTGCGCACGGTCCCCCCGTACTCCCACCAGGCGCTGGTCTGGTTTGAAATGATGCGCTTGTTCCACTGGAATCATGTGATCCTCATCGTCAGCGATGATCACGAGGGGCGGGCCGCCCAGAAAAGGCTGGAAACTCTCCTGGAAGAAAAGGAATCGAAGGTCAGTGTTTCTCCTTTACCCTCTGACAACAAGTAAACTAAAACCTCCAAATGTTCCATGTATGTAGATTCTGTATGTAAAAGACATGTTCCTCTCATTGTAACATGACACACTTAATGCTCACACATCTACTGTGTCTCCCAATTACACACTTTGTACTTTCTTCATCCCATGTGCTTTGCCATAGACCAAAAATCTCCTACGTGTAAATCGATCAACAAAAGGGAATAGCCTGGAGCTTTGCAAATAAATACCCCCACCCTGGCCCCCCCAGCCGCCGCAGCTCAGTGATTGGCTAGGAACAAATTGTCTGTTACTGCTACTTTGTACTGTGCATCCTCGCCGCTAAGCTTCCCTCGCTATGACATCAGCATTCTGGACACATGCCCATCTGAAACATGCTCAGCCAGCTTTGCAGACATTGACCATGCGATAAATATTCCGCGCCTGGCAGCTCCGAGCTTACGGAGAAGATGCACGGTACAGATAGTCCAAACCGTTAGACATGGACAATGGTTAATCCTGCCGTCCATCGAGGCTAAAACAAAATGCCGCTGTGACTACTCACAGCCCCTAGAGTTGTATGGCGTTTCATTTCACACGTACACCTGATATAAAAAAAACACATAATGGAGAATGGGGCCCCGCACAGTGAGAATGTCCTCTCTGACCGACTCACACCATCAGATTCCGCACCAGACTGTCAGGTCGATCATTGTAAGATATTACTAAATAAATAATATACTTACTATTACTATGGAACTCCGTTCCCTGCTCCGACCGACTCTCATCCAGTCTCAGTCCCTTCAATAGATCATTAAAACCTCTTTAGCAAAGCGTATAGTTAGACTGTTAATAGCTTTACCTCTCCGCTACTTAGTAACCCACCCGGTAACGGTGTTATCCAATAAACTAATCCTTCATTGTAAGCTGTTATAGTAACCTACTCTTCCCCGTACATGCAATACACCTACCGTTACCTCTTGTGCCATTTTGCCTCACTCTCCTTAGAATGTAAGCAGGTTTGAACAGGGCCCTCAGCCCTTCTGTCCCTGTGCGCCCAACTCGGCTTGTTACAATTACCTGTCTGTTAGTCCACCTATTGTACAGAGCTACGGAAACTGTGGGCGCTTTATCAACAATAATTTTGTTTACAAGTAATTAACTAGGGAATGTCAATGTTAGAATCGCAGAGCTGAGCTGATTGGACAATTCTTGCAAGTAGAACATTATGGTGTAAAATTTGTCACTATCCCCTCAAAATCTACCCTTGAAGTTATTAGCCCCCTATTAACTACCCCCAACTAGCAGGCACTATCCCCCAACTTCTACCCCAACTAGCAGTCACTACCCCCCAACATCTACCCTAATTAGCAGTCACTACCCCCCAACAACTAGAAGTTATTAGCCCCCTATTAAGTACCCCCAACTAGCAGTCGCCATTTCCCCAACATCTACCCCAACTAGGAGTCACTACCCCCCAACATCTACCCCAACTAGCAGGCACTATTCCCCCAACATCTACCCCAACTAGGAGTCACTAACCCCCAACATCTACCCCAACTAGTAGTCACCATTTTCCCAACATCTACACCAACTAGCAGGCACTATCCCCCCAACATCTACCCCAAAATGCAGTCACGCCCCCCTCCCACTGTATATCCTCTATGGCCCAGTGTGGAGCAGGCTTTGTACCAGGTCACGCCCTGGTTAGTGAGACGTAGCTGGATATTGCTAATATGACTGTTATGGATAATATCCCCTTGTTGGAAGACGGTAAAAGTCGCATTAGTGGTTTCCCAATTTCCTTGTTATTCATTAATTCTGGCGTTTGGTTCGTTCTGGACCCGAAGCCGTCCTCCTTATTTACAGGGCAATGTTTACAAAATGAGTTCATTTACTCATTAAAATCGTATATTTTCACGGTTAAACACTGGAATAACCCGATCAAAGTTTACACGTAACACGTAGCGCAAAGGGAACTAAATGACTGCAGGGGAAAATCCGTGTCCTGATAGGCTGGCCGCTGGGTGATGTAATAGTGACAAAGAAAGATAATCAGCGCATGATTGACTGATCTCTTTCACAAGCTTTAACCAACTTCATCCTGATACCCTATTAGGGAATCTGTGCTGTGATTGGATGATCTCTGAGTGATGTCATGAGATGACTCCAGTAAAATATTTAGGAAATCCGTGATTGGCTGACGTGTTGATGATGTCAGGTTATTTTATTCACAGTATTATTGGTTAGGGAATCCAGGCTGTGATTGGCTGAATTGGAGTGACATCAGGTTCATAAACTCTTTTCACCTATATCCCTGATAGCATTTTACCAGAATAGACTGAATGAGATAAATTAGTGGTTTTTAAATCTAATACTTTTTTGACTGGTTTATGTGGCCAAGTAGAAAGTTTGGTTTTCTTTAACTTTACATATTTCTAGATATTTGGTTCAATTTCATCTGTGACTGTAATCAATTTATTAATCTATAATAATGGTTTCTATTGTAATTGATAAGCTTTTCAAATAATCACAGTCTCTTAGAAAAACGTGTTAGAAAATGTCCCGTAGACTTTAGTGGCGACTTATATAGACTAATCATTCGATATATTAATATTAAATCCAGGCCAAGGCGTTGATCAGATACTTCTGCATTTGCTGCCTGCGTTTGCTATTATTGTTAAAATGTGACAAAATAACCGCCATGTTTCCTTAACTAAACCTGCGATTGGGAAGAATTCATGAGGGACCTGCAAACTTTAGGTGAAAACAGCCAAACTTAAAAAAAATTCTCCACGTTTTTTCCAGATAGGGTATTTTGGTTTAGATTAGCTGCTGTCCAGACCTGCGTGAGCGCCAGATAAGTTAGCAGGGAAGCAGAGCTAAATCTTCTAGTCATTGTCATAGGAAAACAATCTATTAAAAATTCCATAGACCTCCCTCCCATTGGATACGGAGCAAATCATTTCTGCTATTTAATATATAATCCTCGTGATAGTATAAAGGGGCAATATACGATTGGCTATACCCACCCTGGGCAACATTACATTGGCTGGGTACCTACGTCAAGCCTTTCTATATAATAATAAAAATATCCGTTCGTCTCTCTTGCTTACCCAACACCCTCAGTCCTTAAAAACCCTCAGATCTATGTATGTTTAATTAATTAATGTCAACTGACAATGTATCTCATGAAACCTTACTGATCAGAGTAACAATTATACTATTGACATGGGATTCTTATAGGGAGAATGTTAGTTAGGAATGCACTATTAATTCCCAATAGATGGAGCTCAGTTAGAGTCCTCATGGAGGTCGCTTCATCCAGTATCCGTCCTTTCTAAACTCAGAGCCCAGTGACCTCCAACACTCATTGCTACATTTATTGGATAAACCCAAACTCAGTGTTTTCCAAATTAGTAACCCACAAATGGGGCATTTTAAACTATATTGGGACAAAATATTGAGACGATGCCCAAGAATGATTTTATTGAAAAACATTATAATTGAAACTATTAAAAATAAAGAAAAACATTTGTGACCTAAACACCAGAGATATAATGATTTCCCCCCTGTCCGGTAGTGGGTGGGAGGCAGGGGTATGATTACTGTAACTGTATAAAAAAAAAGAGCCTCGATCTCACGGTAGGATTTCTGAATCCTCTCCGTATAACTAAATTGATCAATAAATAGTCTTTTTATAGTATTATAAAACATATTGAAAATGCTGAAATATTAATTTAAGTATAACATTTTATCCAGATCACACAGATCAAGTGACAAAGAGACTATTTATTCAAGTTTCTCCCCAAAATATGTATATCACTGGATGATTTAAGCAACCATGCTAATTTTGCTAAAATAATAAACAGCACAGTGTGAAAGCCTTTAAAATATTGTAGCCTCTCCATAAAAAAAATGCACGTTCTTTATTAATATTAGTTTTAGAAATTTCTGCATTACCATAAAACTGCATGAAGATGTATGTGGATGTACGGAGTTTAATATCACGATAAAACATTTTCTAATTAATTTAGAACTCTGAATTTCCATGTTGTATCCAAACCTCCTTGACTATGCTGCATTCTTATGCTTAATTAAAAAGAAGCTCAGACGGTCAGAGACAGAAATAATAGTGAACAGAAAAAAGAACGTCATCAATAAACCATCCAAACATCATCAATAAATCCACACCATCGAGCCGGGTCTTTAAATGAATCGTTCAGATAAAGGGTTAACTCATTGCATGTGCTTTAGAGGTTAAGTCCCGAGCCTTCACAATGCGGCATGCGTTTATTTTTTGCATTATAAAAACTGAATAAAACATAATTTGCATCTTCCCATAAACACGGAACGTCATAATTTGTTTCTGCATTCTAGTAACTGAGTTGCCCTAAAGCAATCACTAACATATCATATGATTTTTTGCAAGCTCCAGTGTTATTATGACCCTTTAGCAGAGGTGGAGAGAGGAGGTGGATGTTGGATTGCTTTTCTACACGCCATTTTCAACTGTTTATAATATTCTTCTGTGTCTACATATTTTCCCTGTGCACATTATTCATCAGACTAAAAAAAGGAACTATGAAAACCTCGAACAACTTTCCTATGACAACAAGCGTGGACCCAAGGTATATATGCATGGAATATGCACGTAGCCCACCAATTCTAACTAGCCACAGACACCCCAAAACCAAAAACAATACGATATTCTAAATTTCCCCCACCTAAATTGGGTGCTCCATGACTGTCTGATGTCGAATACTTTGTGCAATCCAATACTGGATTGGACAAGAGAATGGAAAATGTAAGTTATCAATCTACCCCTGCAGTAAACTCTCAAATCTTTGATGCTGGAGGAACCTGTAGATATTGCAGAAATAAGAAAATAAATGAAAAAAAAAAATACACAAATCTCCGGGCCCCTCCAGCAGATAAAGTAGGAATGCATGTGAGCCAATGAAATTAACCTGCAAGCCTTTCTTATTTTTATTTTTTCCTAAAAGAAGAATAATTCTGCAGTATAGGATTATCATATTTTTTTATTCTTTAAGGTCAAACCTCTGAAAATAAATAATAAAAAAAAGAGAGCATTTTTCTTTTTTGATTTGTGATATTCTTTTTGGTTTTTTGTTTTTGGGAAGGAGGACACTCATTGGAATTTTTAATTGCATTTACAGAGTTTTTTTCTTCTACTATCTATAAAATGCACGTGTTTTTTTTAAATCTATATATTTTTTTTTTGTTTTGTTTTTTGGGTCTTGATGGACTTCAGTTTGCATGCAGAGTGCAAAAACAAACAGAGAGGAAAAGAAAAAGAGAAATGAAAGAAATATTGGACATATATTATGATGTCTAATCCTCTGTGTGTGCCATGTTTAACCTTCTTTTCTTTAGATAGCTTGGATCTCTCTGTGACAGGTATGTGGCCTCTGTGCTAATTCTATTTGCTCACACTAATCACAGGCAGAAAAGGTACTTCACTTTGATCCTGGGACCAAAAATGTGACTGCACTTCTATTAGAAGCAAAGGAGCTCGAGGCTCGAGTTATCATCCTGTCTGCGAGGTAAGCTCAACTGGGGGATTGCATTTAGAATCCTGGGAAACTGCGCTCGTTCGTACGGAGTGTTAGGGACATTTTATTAAACTATCAGTAATGATTAGACTACTAGTCATTATTTCATGTAGAATGTTAGGGTACTGTGCTTGTACGTATGGAGTGTTACAGGAACATTTTATTAAACTATCAGTAATTATTCAATTATCAGTGATTATTTCACGTAGATTGTTAGGGGTTGCAATCATAGAATGTTACAGGGACATTTTATTAGACTATTAGTAATTATTTCGCGTGGAATGTTAGGGGTGGCGTTCGTAGAATGTTACAGGGACATTTTATTAGACTATTAGTCATTATTTCACATAAAATGTTAGGGGTTGCGTTCGTACATACAGCATGTTACAGGGACATTTTATTAGACTATTAGTAATTATTTTGCGTGCAATGTTAGGGGTTGCGTTCGTAGAATGTTACAGGGACATTTTATTAGACTATTAGTAATTATTTCATGTGGAATGTTAGGAGTGGCAATTATTCAATTATCGGTGATTATTTCACGTAGATCGTTAGGGGCTGCATTCATAGAATGTTACAGGGACATTTTATTAGACTATTAGTAATTATTAGACTATTAGTCGTTAGTTCACGTAGAATGTTAGGGTTGGCGTTTGTAGAATTTTACAGGGTCATTTTATTAGACTATTAGTCATTATTTCACATAGAATGTTAGGGGTTGCGTTCGTACATACAGCATGTTACAGGGACATTTTACTAGACTATTAGTAATTATTTTGCGTGCAATGTTAGGGGTTGCGTTCGTAGAATGTTACAGGGACATTTTATTAGACTATTAGTAATTATTTCGCGTGGAATGTTAGGAGTGGCATTCGTAGAATGTTACAGGGACATTTTATTAGACTATTAGTCATTATTTCACATAGAATGTTAGGGTTTGCGTTCGTACATACAGCATGTTTCAGGGACATTTTATTAGAAGACTATTAGTAAATATAGGAAAAAACAGGTCGTATTTGATCACATTTTCAATGAGTGACTGCATTATCAGATACTGATTATTAATTGGGATGTATCTTTTTGTAGCATGATTACGTCTCTGTTAATTTGTGGTTTCTAATCAAATATTTTTTAATTATTTAAATATTTAATTTAAATATGCAGTGAACAATGGCCGGGTTATTCGTGAAAGTGAGAATTTAAAGTGAAATCGAAGCGAATGTCAAATTTAAAGCCAGACTAGCTGATCTGGATGCATCGCTGATTTAGAGAACATTTTCTGTTCTGCTATTTATTCCTTGAATCTGAAATTCACTTTGAATCCTTACTTTAGTTAATAACCCTGGGGTTTAAAAAAATGACATCATTTGGTGGGCAAACTAAACAAAACAATGACCATGTCTAAACTATTCGGAGACCTCTATCCACCTCTATTTTTCGATTCACAATGCTCGGTATTCACGCAGTTTGGTTTACAATTTATAACATATTTCAGTTTGTGCAGAAGGCTGCGTGAAATGCTGATTGACTTGAACCATTTTATTTCCAACTTAGTTTTTATGTGAAATTTAAATAAAACTGTCTTGTGTCCAGATATTTTAAAAATTCAGGTAACGTTTCCAGGCTGTGTCTATGTGTGCGTCGATTTATTATACGACAGCCAGACTTGTGTTGTATTACAGGATAGAAGGTTTCTACGACAATGTTCCCACGTGCCGTTTTATTTACTGTGTGTGTTTATTGAAGACAATAGTCAGGAGAGGTTTGGTAAGGAAGCAGGTTTCATGGCCATTATCCTCGAACGTAACAGGCTTGTGAACAAAGATGGCAGCCTTACTATGCACGAAGCCAAGATCTGCAGCAAATGGAATTTCTCCGGTGACCTAAAAACGCTCTGGAGTTAGCAGCCGCATCAGCCAATTAAGCATAACAAGTTTTTTTGTTCAAAATTAAACAGAAAAAAACATATTGCTGTAGGGGTTTAAATGCAGGGTTTTCTTTGGAAAAACTAAAATGACTCTTTATAAAGTGCTTTGATTCAGCATATCGATGGGCCAAGGCCTATTCAGAGGACAAATGGACTCTTCAAGAAATGCCGCTAATGTATGTGTGTAAAGGCACAATCAGATTGGGAACCATCTTTAGTGGGTCAGAGTATGTTTCTTAGAGGAAAGGCAAGTGTAGCGGCAGAAAAAAAACAAATTTCAAGATTTTGATTGTAAAATGACAAAAAATCTCTAGAACCCAGAATAATGATTAAATTACTATATTAAATTAGTAAGGAATTGATACAGCATTATGGTTAATTAGAGTGTCATTATCCATGCTGGAAGAAGGGATCCGGGATGATTGATGTTAATTCTGTGCATAATTAAATAGGAAAGTGCTTGCCTACATTTGTCAATTAGTTAACACATAACATTTAATAAATTTGTTTAAAAGCTTGCCGTTAAAAATCAGCAAATAAACCAAAAATTATTATAACATTCTAAAACTATTAAAGGACCACTATAGTGCCAGGAAAACAAACTTGTTTTCCTGGCACTATAGTGCTCTGAGGGTGCCCCCACCCTCAGGGTCCCACTCCTGTGGCGCTGATGGGGGAGGAAGGGGTTAATCCCTTACCTTTCTCCAGCGCCGGGCTCCCTCGGCGCTGGGACTCTCCTCCCTCTTCTGATGTCATCGGCTGAATGCGCATGCGCATGCGCGCATTCAGCCAGTCTCATAGGAAAGCATTCTCAATGCTTTCCTATGGACGCTGGCGTCTTCTCACTGTGAAAATCACAGTGAGAAGCGCGGAAGCCCTCTAGCGGCTGTCAATGAGACAGCCACGAGAGGCTGGATTAACCCCAGTGTAAACATAGCAGTTTCTCTGAAACTGATATGTTTACAGCAGGCAGGGTTAATCCTAGATGGACCTGGCACCCAGACCACTTCATTGAGCTGAAGTGGTCTGGGTGCCTATAGTGGTCGATTAATAGTGTAGAGCAAAGGCCAAAAAGAAAAATGTATAAAGAAAATAAACAAAGGACTATTGTAGAATAATCCTAATTATTACAGCATGAGTCCAAGTGTAAGTAATTAGTAGTGTACATTCAGAAATGCCAGTGAAAATGAAGCTGGCAATACTAAGAGACACAAAGTATGAATAGAGTAACTATAACCACTAACTATAGTTATAGTATGCTATTGTATCAGTTTCCCTTGAAACAGGATCTGGCTTTACTGTGGGCTACCTGCCCGTATTTATGCAGGTCTCCCACTTGGTGGACACTCCCCTATGGGACCAAATGGGAGACTGAAATGACAGACAGATATGGGGACATTCCAGACACACAGTCACAGCTTTTACCCACAATGCAATATGGTTTCCCAAATATTGCTGTTCACCAATCATCCTGTGAGTTGCTAAGCTGTGCCTTCAAGGGCACCTAATCTGATCCTGTTTGACCCTGAATGCGGAGCTTCTGTCTTGTTATTGGGGGGATTTATTATTTGCGTTTAGAGACTGCTGGATAGAACCGAAAGCCGCTTGGTGGATGTTATTGTTCGGCGGCTAGCAGCAGTTCGTGGAGTTCCGTTCGGGAGGTTGGAGCCGTTCAAGGGTCCCGGTTGGGAGATTGCCGCTTCCCCTGAGTTTGGTTCGTGCACTACGGTTATGCGAACGGAGATTATTGGTATTGCAGAAGGGGAAGGTCGACTAAACGGCGGTTTCGTTTAAAGACACCAGGGGTGTCTTAACACTACATACAATCATGAGAGCTGATTACCCCATACCACTAAATAGATCTACATCATTGCAATACAAAAATATAACATTCCATTACCGCGTATCGACATGGACAAAATGATTGCTACATACAATCATAATACAAAAATATAACATTCCATCACCGCGTATCGACATGGACAACATGATTGCTACATACAATCATAATACAAAAATATAACATTCCATCACCGCGTATCGACATGGAAAACATGATTGCTACATACAATCATAATACAAAAATATAACATTCCATCACCGCGTATCGACATGGAAAACATGATTGCTATATGCAGTGTCCATATTTTTTTTTTTTTTTTTATTCTTTATTTATTTCATTTTCAAGTAAAAAATGTTCGGGTAAAGGGTACAGAAGATAAAAAAGGGAAGGGGTAGGGGGTTAGCATGTTGCGATATTCCCGTTGCATTTAGTCAAACACATGGTCTATTGTGTCTATATACCCCCAGTCTCGGGGCAACCCTGTTGTGGCTGAAGTCCGCTTCGGGGGCAGTGTCCATATTTAAATCATCCTATCACGTCTTTAGGTTCCCACGGGTTCTCACTCTGGACAAATTTTCAATCAATCAGATTTCACTCACCTCATTGGACGATACGAACATGTTTCGGTTAGAATCTCCCGATATATAACCTATCTGTCACAACGGTCCTATCCCCCTTGAAGAGCCGCCTTACCGGCGAAACGCGTGGCGGGGCTCTGCTCTGCACTATACTCTATAACGATCACTTTAAGACATTAGTTTTTTTATTAGACCTTAGACATTATGTCCTCTGCAAGAGAGATGGCAGGGCATTTACATGACTTTCCTTTTCCCAAATTAGTGCCTTACCTTAGACTAGCAGACAGTCTCTTATACAGATTAGGTGCCCTTGAAGGCACAGCTTGGCAACTCACAGGATGATGGGTGAACAGCAATATTTGGGAAAACAGTCATACATTGAACAATCCGATTCTTGTACCTGACACGAGACTTTCAGGCTGAGGTCCTCTCCTATAGAGTGTATAACCTAGCACAGTTACACCGATAGTTCCCTTCAAGGGAAACTGATACAGTAGCATACTATAACTATAGTTAGTGGTTATAGTTACTCTATTCATACTTTGTGTCTCTTAGTATTGCCAGCTTCATTTTCACTGGCATTTCTGAATGTACACTACTAATTACTTACACTTGGACTCATGCTGTAATAATTAGGATTATTCTACAATAGTCCTTTTTTTTTATACATTTTTCTTTTTGGCCTTTGCTCTACACTTTTAATAGTTTTAGAATTTTATAATAATTTTTGGTTTATTTGCTGATTTTCAACGGCAAGCTTTTAAACGAATGTATTAAATGTTATGTTTTAAGTAATTGGCACCTGTAGGCAAGCACTTTCCTATTTAATTATTAGGGATACCCACTTTTTCTTGCCACTGTTATCGTGACACTCTGAGTTCCTATTCCTTTACCCATTAAATAAATTCTTTGCATAGCTCATATCTGTTACGAGCACGCAAAGCCTCCAATGGCGGCACAGGCCTCCCTTAACGTGGCACAAGCTCTCTGGGGCATCCCATCCAATTGCCTGGAGGACGATCTGGCTACCGACTGTTTTTTGATTGGACTAACCCTTTACAATGACTTCACACGTTATGGCGTTGAATGTATCTCTATAGCAGCTCATATTGTAATATTTACTTGTAACAATTGTAGCAAGTTTCAGCATGTACCACACGTTCCCCTCCACACATTGTTTGCCCTCTGTCCCTTTACTCTGATCAGATTGTTGGGTGTAAACAAACCAATAACATTATCTTTTACACCTCATGTTCCCGCAGTTAATTCCAATATATTGATTGCGGTTTGTTAATCTTCAATGTTAAATAAACAAAAAGTCCAACTACTGGGTAAATAAGGACTGTGGGCCATGTGTGCCGACCCCAGGCTAGCGTTACAATCACCTTGTCATTGGAAGGTTCACTATAAGGTTCATGGGAACAGTTATGTGGCTATATACATATATAGACATTTCTGGGTTGAATGGGCAGATATGACCAGATTAATTCTCATTCTCTGCCATTCCTGTGTTGCTGTGACCTGCTGGACCAAAGACAACTGATTGACATCAAGTTCTCTTACATCTTTGGGGGTTACTTTGTGAAGCCAGTCAAGGTACAGCTGTGAGAAGAGGCTCTTGGTGGAGCCTGAGACGGGAACAGCGCTAGAAGGTGAAAGTCTCCTTCAAACAAACCCAGCGGAACAGGAGAGGATGTACCCAGCCAACATGGAAAGGCTCTTCTTCAGCTCTGGAGCCCAGGGCATCCAGCACTGGAAGAAGGTCTGATGAGCTGTCCAGTCTCCCAGTGGGTTTGGCAGCTTCTTAGTGGAGGAAGACACTAAAGGCACAGTTCAATGTAGCTCATTTCCCCAAGCGGCAGAAAGGGATGAAACGTGGCAGTCTATGAAACGTGGCAGTGAAGCGTGGCAGTCTATGAAACATGGCAGTGTATATGTATATCTCTAGTGCTGCACCGTTCCTGTGGAACTTCCTTCCCTTTTCCGTTAGACGCTCACCCAGTCTCCACAAAGATTGTGAGACCAATGTGTCAGGAGGGGTAAGACTGGTGCATGTATCCTCGCATAGAATCAATATGGCGGCTCGGTGGTGGGGCTCACACCTACATTCACAGAGTCAGCATTGATGGCCTGAAACAGAACAGATGAACAAATGCAAGTGGCACCTTATAGCCACGTGACCATGACAGAGAGAGGGCTAATTGATATGAGAGTGTCCCTACACAGTTATAATACATACAACGACCCTGTATTGGGTATAAAGCCTCGGACACGCATGGGTTACAGGGAGGTACATCTGTAACTCAATATCTTCACCTTTAAAACAGATTAAACAAAGAACCATTGGGCTGGAGCGAAGAACCAGAAAAGCAGGTTCCTGACTGTTTATTGGAGATAAGACAGAAAAAAGCGCCACATAAGAAACACAACCAATAATCTCCCAGATGATTTCTTTCATTTAATACCAGTTCTGACAGGGGCCATAATTTCATATTTTTGGATAAGCTCTTCAAACAATCACAATATGTGAGAAAAACGTATTATCTACAAATTCCATAGACGTCAATAGATAAATCGTTTGTATCGTTTTTCAAACAGATTGCGATCGTTTAGAAAGCGGATTGGATTGATGCCACAGTGCTTTTATAACGCAAACCATCTCTGTGAAACCCTCGCCGCCGTCTGAAAAGTTCTGCTTTGCATCGTGCCGCCAGGTTACTGGCAAACTCGCAGATAAAACGCTGGCTTTATTCGCCAAACTGGAAACTATGAATAATTCACATCGTAGGCCAAAATGCCCCAACTCCATAATAATGCCGTTTCCCTGGTCCATTTCTCTGTGCTGGAATAGAGGCGAGTTATAAAACATATTATATATTACATCGGAGCTATAACGTGCACGTTCCCAACGCTGGCTCTCAGACTGGGTTTATTAGTAGAAAGCGGATGTTATTTTATACTATGATCAGGCCCGTATTATGCACTGCGCTATGGAACATGTACCGGGTCTGTGAAGGCAGATGGCGTCAGCGTTGGTTCCATCTGATGTCAGTATGTCTCTCTGTATTCTCTTCCAGTGAGGACGATGCTACATCTGTCTACAAATCAGCCGCCATTCTGGAAATGACGGGATCCGGCTATGTCTGGCTCGTGGGGGAGAGGGAGATATCTGGAACCGCCTTGAGATATGCCCCTGATGGTACGGTCTGCTCCCCAAAAACTCCTACCTGCCCTTTATATGGGGGACCCCACGTTTAGTTTACGGGTGTTACGTGGTGAGACGCAGGAATTCCGGGCGAAATACTTATTTCTCTTAGTTCACCATAGCCACTAAAACCTGACATTTGTGCCGTATCTGGTAAATCCATCCCAGGTAAGCGCTCTCCCCCTCGATTTCATGTAGAAATATTCTATCTGCTAATGAATTTGTGGTAATTATAAAAAGAACCTCAGCCAAACCTCAAAATACAGACTGCACTCTCTGTATAGTCACAACGCTCTCTGAATAGTCACAGCACTCTCTATATAGTCACAGTGCTCTCTGTATATTCACAGCGCTCTCTATATAGACACAGCACTCTCTGAATAGTCACAGCACTCTCTGTATAGTCACAGTGCTCTCTGTATAGTCACGGCACTCTCTGTATAGTCACAACACTCTATACACAGCGCTCTCTGTATAGTCACAGCACTCTCTATATAGTCACAGCGCTTTCTGTATAATCACAGTGCTCTCTGTATAATCATAGCACTCTCTGAATAGTCACAGCGCTCTCTGTATAATCACAGCACTCTCTGCATAGTCACAGTGCTCTCTGTATAGTCACAGCGCTCTCTATATAAACACAGCGCTCTCTGATTAGTCACAGCGCTCTCTGTATAGTCACAGTGCTCTCTGTATAGTCACAACACTCTCTGTATAGTCACAGCACTCTATACACAGTGCTCTCTGTATAGTCACAGCACTCTCTAAATAGTCACAGCGCTCTCTGTATGGTGACAGTGCTCTCTGTATAGTCACAGCACTCTATGCACAGCGCTCTCTGTATAGTCACAGTACTCTCTATACACAGCTCTCTCTATACACAGCGCTCTCTATACACAGCGCTCTCTAGACACAGCGCTCTCTGTATAGTCACAGCACTCTCTATATAGTCACAGTGCTCCCTGTATAGTCACAGCACTCTATACACAGCACTCTCTGTATAGTCACAGCACTCTCTATACACAGCGCTCTCTATAGACGGTCACAGCTCTCTCTGTATAGTCACAGCTCTCTCTGTATAGTCACAGCACTCTCTATACACAGCGTTCTCTATACACGGTCACAGTGGTCTCTATACACAGTCACAGCGTTCTCTATACACAGCACTCTCTATACACAGCCCTCTCTATAAACAGCCCTCTCTATAAAAAGCCCTCTCTATAAAAAGCCCTCTCTATACAGAGCTCTTTCTATACACAGCACTCTCTATACACAGCACTCTCTATATACGGTCACAGCCCTCTCTATACACAGCTCTCTGTATACACACAGCGCCATCTATACACAGCGCTCTGTATACACAGCACTCTCTATACACAGCGCTCTCTATACACAGCGCTCTCTATACACATCACTCTCTATATACGGTCACAGCCCTCTCTATACACAGCCCTCTGTATACACACAGTGCCATCTATACACAGCGCTCTGTATACACAGCACTCTCTATACACAGCGCTCTCTATACACAGCACTCTCTAAATAGTCACAGCGCTCTCTGTATGGTGAGAGTGCTCTCTGTATAGTCACAGCACTCTCTATGCACAGCGCTCTCTGTATAGTCACAGTACTCTCTATACACAGCACCATCTATACACAGCGCTCTGTATACATAGCACTCTCTATACACAGCACTCTCTATACACAGCACTCTCTATACACAGCGCTCTGTATACACAGCACTCTCTATACACAGCGCTCTCTATACACAGCACTCTCTATATACAGCGATCTCTGTTTCCTGCAGGTGTTATTGGGCTGCAGTTAATAAATGGGAAGAATGAATCTGCGCATATCAGTGACGCGGTGGCCGTGGCGGCCCAGGCGATACATGAACTGTTTGAGAAGGAGAATATTACGGACCCGCCGCGGGGCTGCGTTGGAAACACTAATATCTGGAAGACTGGACCTCTCTTTAAAAGGTGAAAATAATCAATAATCACAAATAATATATTGATTATAACATTTCCATGTTCTCTATCCATGTTTTCTGCACGCCATATTCTCTTAGGTTGCAGTGAATGGCGCTATCGGCTGCAGATCCTGCGGACATTGCCTACAATCCCTATTCTAATCACTTTTAATAGAGAATAGAGACAGGGGCAGTAATTAAACTACTAAACTCTCCTGCAGAAATGAATTAACCCAAAGCAGAAAACTGCCCCAATTAACCTCTCTGGCTCCCTCTGTCTGTGAAGATGGGGAGCGCGGGCCCTTATTGGCCCACAGAGAAGACAAGTAGAGAAGGCGTTAATATCTACTAAAAGCTTTCAAACAAACATACAATACCAATTAAAGTGCACCCTATATTATCAAGTGTCAATGTGCAAGATACCAAAAACAATCATTAGTGCAATTATGCCAAACTCCCTCCAGAGACAGAATTCTTAGTAAATAACTGGACCGGCTCAGATAGCAGATTTTATCCAAGTCACTCGATATAAAAACAGGTATAGTGTAATACAGAACATTACTGTCCGCACTATAAATGTACGGATGGAATGCCTCTCGCAGATAACGAGCAGCACGAGATATTGAGAGCACTGAAAGGTTCGAGTAGACTCATCGGAGAAAGAGCTCCTTATTGCCCAGTTTGATAATCGTTTATTTGGCAATTATTTATCCATTCTACACTGGGACAAAGGAACTGCAAACTTTAGGCCGTAATATACCCAAATGGTCAGATTCTCAGCTACTTCTCATCTTTGGCTGTTTTGACCCTATATTTGCAGACCCTTAGTCAGTTCGTCCTGAATGTCAGTTTAGTAAATAATCCACAGTTAAAGCACCCCATCTCTCTCTTTGCTGTTAGCACATCCGCCAATATGAGCAGTTAGTGGAGCAAAAGGTGGTTTCTTTATTTCCGTCAGAGATAGGAAACACACGTGAAATCTCGATCGCTGGTGTCAAACATTTGTCGCATTCTTTAGTACTGGCCAAACAAAGAATGAGATCTAACCTAACTTCCCGTGTGTCACGTGTCATTTCAGGGTGCTAATGTCTTCCAAGTACCCCGAAGGGGTAACGGGGCGTGTGGAATTCAATGAGGATGGAGACAGGAAATTCGCCAATTACAGCATTATGAACTTACAGAATCGCAAACTGGTCCAGGTCGGGATTTTCAACGGGAGTCATGTGAGTCTCTGGCCATGATAGTGTCCAAAGATAACGCAAGGGGTGGAGTCAGCGATAAGCCACGTTTCCATTAGTTTATTAGCACAGCTTCCACTCTGATCAGGTCTTATAGGGGCCTTTCACAAAACGAGAGAGTCTGCCATGTCTGTATCAGGTGATTGTACAGCACTACGGAATTTGCTGGCGCTATATAAATAATAAAACAATAATATCAGTTCACACGTGAACAATTTATCTTTATGGAGATTTATTCCATCTTATTATTAACCCTCACCAGTAACCGTTTAATGAAGAGAACATGGAAGAAAAAGTCAAAGTACAAATAGAGAGAAACATGTAAAACAAGTACCTGTGCCAACGTCCGACATTGGACAGCGGTGTGCCCATCGTATTGAGGGGTAATAGGATGGGGACACCATGTGTCTCAGGTCACCCCCGGCTGGTCACTCTGAGAACCTGGGTGTCAGAGATCCTTGGCGTTCCAGCTGTTTTATTTTTTATTTTATTTAGTTTTTTGGTTTTTTTTGCATTCCTGTTTACGCTGAAATCTCCTTCTTGGAAAATTCTGTAAATATCTCAACAGAAGCGTAACTGAAAACCCCCCCAATTTACTATAGAAATTGTCTCACGTGATAGGGGTAAATTTGTACCTGATTTAATCTGTGATAACATTGCTGTAATTCTTGGGATATTTGGCTTTTAATTAATTTATTAGAACTTTATTTTGCGAATCTAAGTTAAGTGAATTTTCAAACTCTTTTTCATTTAGTGACTAACCAAAGTAGAAGCTACAGAATTTCAATTGACTTTTTAGAGGGCAGACTTTGTTGTTTCCAGATCACAGCTAAACATCTTCAGATATTTTTAATCACAGATCAAGGTGTAGGATTAGTACGTTTTGTGGTGTCACGTATCTGGGCTCAATGTGTCTTAGAAAAGTAAAGATCAGAGGCTTTGAGGCAGTCGGCAATATAGAGTCGATGTGCTACATTTATATTAAAATTCACGGTCTCATTCTTGTATTTAATACCCGACTTTCTGAACCCCACAGATTTTGCAGAATGACCGTAAAATAATCTGGCCAGGAGGTGAAACAGAGAAACCGCAAGGCTATCAAATGTCGACTAGACTGAAGGTATAATGGCCATAAAATCCTGTGGAGATATATATAACCTGTATGATATTCTGAGTGTTTGTGATCCTTTCCCCCTTTACATTCTCTATGATCTCGTCCTCATCTAATTTTCCCTCCTGATGGTTCGTATTATCTGTCACTTGAATGGTCAATTCTGAGACCACTCTAACCCAACATTTGCAAGTCAACCCCTGGGTGCTCAAGACCCACCCATGAAGAGCTGTTGGAGGCTGGCTGGTTGTCTCTGGGCCATTGGGGCTCAGAAGGGATGTGGCAGGCAAGGATAGGAGGGGAGATTCACCCTGAGATGCTTCCTCCTGCTCGGGTCACCAGGAACACAGAATATTACTTACTCGGTCAACTAACTTTTTCTGGAAGGTGCTACCCAGCTGTATGTAGACTTCATGTTTTCTTGGTGTGGAACCCATGAACATATGACAGCACTTCCTGTGAGATCATTGGTGATTTTTCACCTGCCAACGTTAGCTATCACTTCCCCGAAGTCAGGGCACTGAGGTTTAGGCGCCATGGGCGGGGCCATATAATCACATGATCACCTACAATGGGAGCTCCAGGCCAGTGGGTATATTTTAATTCCATACTGTCCAGTTAAGTGGTCTGAATATTCCTACAATCCATCTGGGTGCTAGTACCCACACTGCACATGGCATCCTCACCATGTTCCATCTGACGTCCACCCCACGATCCACCAGGCATCTTTGCCACACTCCATCTGATATCCACATTACACTTCACCTTGCATCATCACCATGTTCCATGTGACGTCCACCCCATGCTCCACATTACACTCCACCTGGCATCCTTGCCACTCTCCATCTGATATCCACATACACATCACCTGGCATCCTTGCTACTCTCCATCTGGTGCCATCCAACACTATATTTGTGCTCCTTACCTGTGTCCTGGATAGTGTGACGTGGCATCCTCCAAACCGTCACCACTCTTCTAACCCATCCACAAACTGAGCGTCTCAGCATGCTATAAGGATGTTGGTGAACATGGCGCGAAATCTTTGATTTCTGGGAACGATGCAGTTTAGATCGATATTACATCCAGTGTGTTAACTCCACCATGTTAAATCCAGAAGCAACATCTGGAAACCTGAGCTGAAATGAGGATCAATAGACTCTGATTGATTAGAATATTGGCTTCGCTTCCAGTAAGAGAATCGCTGATCAGCTTTTCCCGGAATCCTACTATAATTAGTAAAAATGTCAATGATTATTAGGAAATACAAAAAAACTTGCGTAAATCCTAAAGTGCATAGTTTTGGGGTCCGATGAAAAGATGCATTATGGGGCTATTGATACGCTTAGTATTACAGAGATGCCCTCTTGCTGTTGTAATGAGCAGCATACTCTATATGTGACATTTAATAGCTCTCGTTCATTGTCGGTACGTAGCAACAAATTCGCAATGGAAGTGGTACAGAGGGTTCGTCAAATCCGATCGTAAAGACGTCAATCCATTGCACCTCCATAAGAGTGTCGTAATCTTCCATCGAATAAAGAGTGGCAATTTACTGAAATGCTGCACCTTCGTGTCACGTAAACCCTGCTACTCACTAATTCAAACCATTACATGGTGAATTAATTTTTTTATCATTGTAGTGTTGCCGTCATATTCGTTAGGAACGTCTGAGCTGGTCCTATAGGTTCTACATTATCGTTGACCATTATCACCCAGTTAGACCGTCATCATGCCATCCCGGGACCTCGCTGACCATACAGAACATTTCACATAACTTCTGAGTTTTTATTCTGCAGATTGTTACCATACACCAAGAACCATTTGTGTATGTGAAGCCCACAATGTCTGATGGCACTTGCAGAGAGGAATATGCTATAAGTGGGGATCTGATTAAGAAAGTATTTTGTAACGGGCCCAACGAGACCGTCCCAGGTAAGCCTGGTGAGTGAGAATGACATTTGCAGCTGAATTCAAGATCTTTTTTATTTTATGTGGTGGTGGTGGACTTTTTTTGAAACTCCTTGGGTCGTTGGGTGGTGTGGAGAGGGATTAAGTGAGTCCTTGCTTTGCTCCTGGGTCGTGATGGACCTGGAGAATATGTATGATTCCGAGATGACCAAGGACATGACAAAACGTAATGATTGCTAAAAATGCAATATTTCAACAGACACGTCTTAATATGGGTCTCTCCAAGGTAGACCTCATTCTTGGCCAACATTAAAAACATTAAAATCATCAATAAAATGATTTTTTTCCCTCCCCATTCCCACAAACCACCCAACATTTGAGGGACATTGCTCTCTCTGAATCTTCATTTTTAATAAAGTAATAAAGGGCATATTGTAATATATATTATTCAGAAAATATATCTGGAGAATGTATTTTCCAATTAGGATTTATTTGCTATGCCAGGAATTGTGAGGAAGGAAAATTAGGTCAACACAGACAAGCTTAAAGGAACACTCCAACAGTTAAACATTTAGTTTATTTATTTTTTAACAAATAAGCCCCAATGAAAACTTACATGCATTTAATTATGTTTTTTTTCATTGAGGGTATATCTAAAAACAGTTTGTAACAGCTACAGATCTCTTGTCTGCAACCTATGTAAGCCCTCCCTTCTAACCCCGCCCAGACTTTCTGTGGCTGTCCAATCACAGACCTCCTAATGCAGCTCAATGAGAAGTCTTTGCAAGGCATGTGCTCTGGGCTATTGCTGCCTCTTGAGTTTAGCTCCACTGAGCTAACCAAACCAGGAAGTAACAGGGCCGGGTGTCTGATTGACAGCCAGGGGGAGTAACCAGGTTAATTTATAAAAGTGCCAATTTCTATTGAAATCTAGACTTTTTGTAAAATGAATAAAGAGAACACGCTCTTCACACATAAAGCATTTCAGCAAGCTAAACTGCTTCAGGGGTCTGAAGTGACCCTTTAAACATTTTCCGAGTTGCAGAATTTTCACATTCTGTTAATTTAAGAGATGTTGCTTTGACTGTTTTTTAAATAATCGCTCAGATTATCAGATATTTTTCTCTCCTGCTTTGTTTACAGGTCGTCCCACGGTCCCACAATGCTGCTATGGCTTCTGTATCGACCTGCTCATTAAATTAGCCAAAGAAATGAACTTTACATATGAGGTGCATCTAGTAGCTGACGGTAAATTTGGGACTCAGGAGCGGGTGAGTAAAACGTGCACAATGTACAAATCTTGTTTATTTTGTCATTTTAAAGTTCTCTGGTTAACCAGTAAGATTATGATCAACTTCTGAGGCTTGATGGAAGATGGGAGATAGTTTGGGTTGTGAAGATACACGGGGGGGTGGGGAGGGGTTACAGAATAACAATTATTCAACGATTCCAATCACTGATAGACTTTGTTTGGCCAATCCACTGCCTTCGAAACCAAAATGGCAGAATTTAACGGATGTGGTGGCTCAGCCAGTCTGCCAAAAAAGTTTTGTGAAACAGATCAGACGAGACAAAAGGACACGAAAAATGGGTCAATCAGCATACTGCAGAATATACACACAATATACAAACTATAATACAATATTATGGAAATATATTGCAATCCACTGATAGGAGCATTTTTTGGCCCTTTTGATTCACAGATCAAGTGAGAAAAGGTAGAGGAGCAGTTAACCCCCCAATATTTATATATCCATATATGTTTCAATAAATAATATATATATAGAGAGAGATTTTATTGCTTTTCCTGTAATGATCACTTCTCACTTCATTTGTGAATAAAATTATAATTTAGTGGCTATCCCCCAGCCAATTGCAAATCAAACAAACCTGCTCGTCCATGGCTGTGTTGTCATTAATCTTTGTTTTTTTGGGGGGTATATATTTCTTTGGGGTAATATGTTAATGGTGTGTTCCTTTAATGTCTAATAGAACACATGTGTTTCATTAATATGATTTCATTTCTAATACCTGCCAGTGTTCCTGTGGCTATTTACACAGATGTTCTGTTGTTTTTAAACCTATAATCAGCTTATATTAAGCCGGTAAAAGCAGACTTTTTGACAGAAGTCGTTGAAAACTAAGAGGGGGGGGATGAATTCATAAAACATCCAGAAATAAATGTACGGCTACGCTGTGACTCTTCCAGGTCAATAACAGCAACAAGAAAGAGTGGAACGGCATGATGGGAGAGTTACTGAGCGGACAGGCAGACATGATTGTGGCGCCACTAACCATTAATAACGAACGGGCACAATACATCGAATTCTCCAAACCATTTAAGTATCAAGGACTCACCATTCTTGTCAAGAAGGTAAAATTCCACGGTTTATTATTTATTTTTTGGGAGTAGGTGATAATAAAACATCTGAAATTTCTAAACGCTTTTCGCTGAATTTATCACCGTTTGCATAAAAATATTATATGAGACATGCGCTCACACGTTAGACAAAGGATGGACTGCCAAAGAGAAAGGACAGTTCCTCAGTTGAAGTCTGAGAGCTGAATCATAGCGTGTGGTTCTTACATATTTCCATAGTTATAGCCCTCCCACCGGGCAGGGAGACAAGGTGCAGAGCTATAGCCATGCAAAGTAGTTATGGTGTTTAGCAGACTCTTCGACTTGGATTTCTAATACCCGCAGCATGACATTTGCACAGTCGTTATTCGGCATGTGCTACTTTACCCTTAAATAAGACTCGGACACCGTTAATTCTGTTGGAGTACAAAGTCCACAGCTTTATTAATTAATTATAATAAATTAACATAATTTAGGGTCATTGTCCTACTAAACATTATATTACTATACCCCCACACAGTCCCCCTGACAATGACCCTACCAGTTGAACAATAAATAACAACCAAATAACATATAACTTGAAACACACGGCCTACCAAAGAGGCCCCATATCATCCGGTTAACTGTAGGGGTGTACCTCGGACACCCCTACACCCCCAGGTTCGTAGCCACCGAAGAGCTAGAACCAACCAATCTTTAACTTCATCCGGCCTAAACCTTGGCCTGTCCAGTTCAAATTCCACGCCAAATTCCAATATTTACAACGCCCTGTTCCGCCGCTGTGACCAAACGGAACTGCAAAACTAGGGAGGGTGGGTGGGACAAACTACAGGTAAGAGAGGCCCCGGTTAAAATGGCCCCTATTCTAAAATGGCTTCTTTTTATACTCCCACTCCCCACCCCCAGACTCCATTCCTAAACCCGGCCCACAAACTAAGCCCATGCCCCCTCCCTGGCTCTGTCAAGGCCCACTCCCCCTACTGCGTTGCTCCATGGGCTTCAAGACTATGAGTGCTAATTCCTAGTGAGTTTTCTTGCTATAAGTTTTTTGGTCTTTCTTCATGGAATTGACTTCTTTAACACGACCTCCGTAGGCAGCGAATCCCATAACGTGCGGCGTAGATCTTGTTTGTATGCAGAACTCCAGATTATTCTCTTATATTGCATAGTCTGTGATAGAGAGGTTTATGATTCGCTTTGTAACGTGTTGTATTATCTGGCAGGAAATTCCAAGGAGCACGCTGGACTCATTCATGCAGCCGTTTCAGAGCACGCTGTGGCTTCTCGTTGGGTTGTCCGTCCATGTAGTAGCCGTCATGTTATATCTTTTAGATCGATTCAGGTCAGTCGTTTCATGTTAAAATGGTCAATATTTTATAGATCTTATGATGTGCATTTATTATTAGGTAAAACCAACCATGTTCTCTACTGAACTGGTACACAACGTCTGCACACAATGCATGCGCATGCTCGCAACGTATAGATGCAGAATGCCTATAAGCGTGTGCATGCACATTGCATCCAATGCATGTTTAACGTATGACAATGTATGTGCATGACTGAGCCATTTTGGAATTTTTAGAAGTGGGAGAGAAAAGCAGAAAGTTTATTATATGTTTGCGAATTAAGGATGAGTCTTTCCTACCTTTTATCTAAATCTAGTGAAATAATAATATTTGTAAAGTTTATCTGTATTGGAAGATCCCTGGCCAATCAGATCCCATGTGAATGGCGTTTACCGTGACAGGGCGGGGGATGGTAATCCGTGGACAGGGGTGGGTGCAACTGGCCCTTAAATTCCCCAAAACTTGTCATGGCTTTAAACAATGATTACTCCTGTCAGGGGGCTGAGACTCCCACCCTGAGCGCTGAGCACAGATTAATAACGTCTGTCTGTCTTTTTAGTCCGTTTGGTCGTTTTAAAGTAAACACAGAGGAAGAAGAGGAAGACGCACTCACACTGTCCTCCGCAATGTGGTTTTCTTGGGGTGTCCTACTGAACTCCGGCATAGGAGAAGGTGATTTATTGCTCCAAAATATATATCTGTCTGTCTGTCTATCCATTATCTATCTATCTATCCTCTGTCATTCTATTTATCTATCTCTGTCTGTCTTTCCATCCGTCCATCCGTCCTATTACGGAGATAGTTTTTTATTATTAAGGAGATTGAGTCTTATTATTACGGAGTGTAACGGCACCGCCAGGCATAAAAGGGTTAAACCGCCGTTTAGTAGATCTTCCCCTTCCAGAGACACAGGCACAGCTACGGCAGAACCCCAAACTCCCAAACAGGATACCAAGTAGCACTCCAAACTCCCGAACTGGAACCTCACGAATAGCTGCTAGCCGCTGAACAGGAAAAGCACCCAAGCCAGGGCTTATACTCCTGGCAATCAGTCTCTAACAGCATACAGTAAATCCCCCCAAGAACGACACAAAGCTCCATGTTGAGGGTCAAGTAGTGAATAGACAGAGCTGTGGGTTTATTGTTCTTATGTACACATTCTTACACATTAGTACCACCCACAGGGTTTTGGAAAACAACCAATAAACATGTACAATACACTCAGACACTCCCACACGAAATCCTCCCCTCTGCCTGTGATACAATTACCTTACACAATGGGTAATGTAATTATCACAGGCAGAGAAATACAGTTTTTCCACATTATTCATAACTTGAAAAGTATGCATCACATTCACATACTTACATTTTCAGAATCAGCATACTCCAAATACGAACATATGTCAAAATCATACAAATTGGTCCAGTGGTTCAAAAGATAGATCGAAGTCCTTTGTGACCAAATGAAGCATGGCTTTTCTGCCCAAAACCAGTTCCACAGAGTCTTCTATCCTGGAGATAATTGGGAAGTAATCCAATTATCTCCAAGGACAGAGGCAAAACTCCATTGAACACATGGCAGCAAAAGACAATAAAACACATAAAAACATATAACTGTGCAGCCATTGCACAAAACAGGTACATTCAACATATCCCAGATAGCTCAGATCTGAGCGCACATTATTACTGAATGGCGCTCAGAGCACACACATACAGTTCAATTGCCATGGAGCCAAAGTCTTTCCCATAGTCTTTCATTATACGAATGGGCTCCATGGCATAGCTATCTGGGGTATCACCGCTCAAACAGGGCAAGCACCGAATGACCCGGCTTTTTAGTGTCTTTGCAGGAAAAAATCAAGTGTTTCAACATGGGGCCATAGTCTAAAGGCAGCAGGCCAGCAACCAGGCTCCTCCAATGCACAGTGGCGAGATTGGTCTCGTCACACGGAGATTGTGTCTTATTATTACGAAGATTGTTTTTTATTATTATGGAGATTGTGTCTTATTATTACGGAGATTGTTTTTTATTATCAAGGAGATTGTGTCTTATTACAGGGGCTCCGCGTAGTTTCTCTGCCAGAATTCTGGGGATGGTTTGGGCTGGATTTGCTATGATCATCGTAGCCTCCTACACTGCCAACCTGGCTGCCTTCCTGGTGTTGGACAGACCAGAGGAGAGGATTACAGGGATTAATGACCCTCGAGTAAGTCCAAATCCTTTTTAAAACGCAAGTGCGATTTTAATTTTCTTATTTTTATTTATACATGATTTTTTTTTTTAAATATGTATTTACATTTATCTATTTGTTCTATTCTACTTTTTTTCTGTGTGTGTCTGTGAGGTGCTGTGTGAGGGGGCAGTGCGTGTGAAGGGTGCAGTGTGTGTGTGATAGGGCAGTGCATGTGTGAAGGGTGCAGTGCGTGTGTAAAGGGTGCAGTGCATGTGTGATAAGGCAGTGCGTGTGTGAGGGGGCAGTGTGTGTGTGAGGGGGCAGTGTGTGTGTGATAGGGCAGTGCGTGTGTGATAGGGTGCAGTGCGTGTGTGAAAGGTGCAGTGCGTGTGTGAGGGGGCAGTGTGTGTGAAGGGTGCTGTGCGTATGTGAAGGGTGCAGTGTGTGTGTGAGGGGTGCTGTGCGTGTGTGAGGGGGAGGTGCATGTGTGAGGGGGCAGTGCGTGTGAGAGGGGGGCAGTCAGTGTGTGTGTGTGAAGGGGCAGTCAGTGTGTGTGTGAGGGGGCAGTGCGTGTGTGATAAGGCAGTGCGTGTGTGAAGGGTGCTGTGTGTGTGAAGGGTGCTGTGTGTGAAGGGTGCTGTGTGTGTGTGAAGGGTGCAGTGCATGTGTTAAGGGTGCTGTGCGTGTGTGAGGGGGGTAGTCAGTGTGTGTGTGAGGGGGCAGTCAGTGTGTGTGTGAGGTGTGTAGGGTGTGTTTGTGTGTGAAGGATGTATAGGGTCTATGCTGTGTGTTGGTGGGTGAGATGTGAAAATTCCTTCTTCTTACCTTTTACCAGGGAGTGAGGACATAATGCTGAAAGCCCTGGTGGTTCAGTGGGGTCATGTTCACTTTAATTACAGTTCCTTTGGCTGCAGGCTGACTCTCCTGTCCTCCGGTGCGCACAGCACTGTATCAGAGAGTTGCCATGGAAACATGTGGCAACGCTCCAACCAGTCTGCTCGCGGGAGAAACACAGAGCCTACCAGGTCCTTCACTCCCTCGGATAGAACTAAGTGCCAGCGGGCTGGTGAGCCAGCAGGGGAAATGAAAGGATCTCCCCTGCCGGCCTTGGCCCATGGCCATCAAGGTCCACAGGGTGTTTTCTGCAGAACCCACCAACGCCCACCTGAAATCCAAAACGGCCCACTAGTGGGCGGTAGGGACCAGGTTACCTACCCCTGCTCTAGTGAATAGAACTCTGCTCTATGATCATAACTCGGGGGCCGAACCCACCCTCGTACCCCGGCTAGGTTTGCAGTTTACCATTTCTTTCTGGACACGTATGAGCTCTGCATTCTGTCTGCTGGGATTGAAAGTTCTACCCACCAGTCGATGGATTTCACATTCTCCCAGTGTGGGACCCAGTAATTAATCGGATTGATTCATTGCTGTCTCACCAGGAGCACACAAATCACGTTAACTGCCAGGCAGATCTATGAAGCCCTGCACAACAGAATGCAGAATTCAAAACTAACCTCATTAGTCACTAAACTGAGAATTTCAAATTTAAGGTCAAAATATTCAAACTGGAAAAATTCTATAAACCAGCTGTGCTTGCAGCTCAACCACTCTAACCTTAAACTTGAAATGAATTCTCCGTTTAGTGACTAACCCTGGCGTCTGCTAAGAGTAAGTGTAAATGTTTATTTTATAAGATCTGATATAATAAACTGCTGCAGGGTTTATTAATGATAATTTATCACTCAGCGGATGGGGGGCCGCACTATGCGTTATCAGTGGACACACCGTCCTATTAATGATAATTTATCACCCAGTGGATGTGACAATATCTGCCCAGGTCTTCCTATCCTCGATACATATTTACACAGAATAAAGTGATAGAGTCTCCGCTCACACAATGGGTACAGGTCCAGCTCCCTGGAGACATATAAACACACTATATTTACTGTCAATTAGTAACCGTTATACTAAGTGGGGATTACAGAGTATTCATTACACACAGCTAATGTCAGGAAGGATTATAGCGACGCTCCCAGGGCTGAACCACTGCAGGTTTATTTTACAGCTTATTGTAACATTACAGCTTATTGTATTATTACTGCTTGGTGTATTATTACAGCTTATTGTATTTTTACAGCTTATTGTATCATTACAGCTCGGTGTATTATTAAAGTTCATTGCATCATTGCTGCTCGGTGTATTATTACAGCTCATTGTATGATTACAGCTCATTGTATCATTACAGCTCGGTGTATTATTACAGCTCATTGTATTATTACAGCTCATTGTATCATTACTGCTCGGTGTATTATTACAGCTCATTGTATTATTACAGCTCATTGTATCATTACAGCTCGGTGTATTATTACAGCTCATTGTATCATTACTGCTCGGTGTATTATTACAGCTCATTGTATTATTACAGCTCATTGTATCATTACAGCTCATTGTATCATTACAGCTCGGTGTATTATTACAGCTCATTGTATTATTACAGCTCATTGTATCATTACAGCTCGGTGTATTATTACAGTTCATTGTATTATTACAGCTCATTGTATCATTACAGCTCGGTGTATCATTACAGCTCGGTGTATTATTACAGCTCATTGTATCATTACTGCTTGGTGTATTATTACAGCTCAGTATATTATTACAGCTTATTGTATCATTACTGCTCGGTGTATTATCACGGCTTATTGTATTATTACAGCTTATTGTATTATTACAGCTCATCGTATTATTACAGCTTATTGCATTTTTACTGTTTACATCATTACAATAAACTGTAATGGTACAATAATCAGTAATAATAGAATAAGCTGTAATGAAATAATAAGCCGTAGTTGTTAGCGTGCTTACAGTGTCTCTTTAATTCTGCCACCTTAACCAGTTATTGTGCCATGGTATTTTAATTAGGTCGATTTACTTAATATGATATCTGTTTCTGCTGCAGTTAGACAATATATCTTACAGAATTCACCAGCTATTTGTGTTGTTGCAAAGGATCATGGGAAGAGTAAGTCAATTTGCATGAAATTCCCCGTCTCTGCCTTTTCAGAAGTATAGAACTGTATTTGAAATATAAAAAAAACTTTAGCCAAATCACAAAAAAATAAACAATACAAACCATAAGTACATTATTTGGTAATGTCTATGTCCTCTCCTGATATTTGCCGTTTCTCTCCCCTGCAGCTACGAAATCCCAGTGATAAGTTTATTTACGCCACCGTCAAGCAGAGCTCGGTGGATATTTACTTTCGAAGACAAGTGGAGCTCAGTACTATGTATCGACATATGGAGAAACACAATTACGAGAGTGCGGCAGAGGCCATTCAAGCTGTGCGTGACAAGTAAGGCGAATTTCTTCCTTCTGGCAGGCAGGCCAAATATCCCAGTAATGGGGAGTCAGGGTAACAATGAGATCTACTCCACTATTCCTCAATGCCAAAAATTGTTAGAGTTTCACTGATTCCATGGATAGGAGACAAACATCTAATGGCTAGGTTTAGAGCCTTTCTACAGCAGGGTAGTAGCCGTACAATGGTAATGGTGGAAGTCTTCCAGTGGTAATAGTGGGAGTCTTCCTACAGCAGAGTAGTAGATATACAGTGGAAATGGTGTGGTCTTCCAGTGGTAATGGTAGGATTGTTCTAGTGGTAATAGTGGGATTCTTCCAGTAGTAATGGTCAGAGTCTTCCAGTAGTAGGATTGTTTCAGTGGTAATGGTGGGAGTCTTCCTGTAGTAATGATGGGAGTCTTCCAGTGGTAATGGTGGGAGTCTTCTAGTGGTAATGGTGGGAGTCTTCCAATGGTAATAGCGTGAGTCTTCCAGTAGTAATGGTGGGTGTCTTCCAAAGATAATGGTGGGAGTCTTCCAAAGGTAATGGTAGGAGTCTTCCAGTAGTAATGGTAGGATTGTTCCAGTGGTAATGGTGGGAGTCTTCCAATGTTAATGGTGGGAGTCTTTCAATAGTTATGGTGGGAGTCTTCCAATGGTAATGATGGGAGTCTACCAGTAGTAATGGTGGAAGTCTTCCAATGGTAATGGTGGGAATCTTCCAGTAGTAAAGGTGAGAGTCTTCCAATGGTAATGGTGTGAGTCTTCCAGTAGTAATGGTGTGAGTCTTCCAGGAGTATTGGTTCCAGTGGTAATGGTGGGAATCTTCCAGTATTAATAGTGGGAGTCTTTCAGTGGCAATGGTGGGAGTCTTCCAATGGTAATGGTGGGAGTCTTCCAATGGTAATGGTGGGAGTCTTACAAAGGTAATGGTGGGAGTCTTCCAGTAGTAATGGTGGGAGTCTTCCAATGGTAATGGTGGGAGTCTTCCAATGATACTGGTTGAAGTCTTCCAGTAGTAATGATGGGAGTCTTCCAGGAGTAATGGTGGGAGTCTTCCAATGGTAATGGTGGGAGTCTTCCAGTAGTAATGGTGGGAGTCTTCCAATGGTAATGGTGGGAGTCTTCCAGTAGTAATGGTGGGAGTCTTCCAATGGTAATGGTTGAAGTCTTCCAGTAGTAATGATGGGAGTCTTCCATTGGTTAACACAGTGAGGGAGTTTAAGCATGCGTGGGATATGCATAAGGCTATCCTAAACTTAAGAAAGAGCCAGGGACTAATGAAAGTATTTATAAAATTGGGCAGATTAGATGGGCCGAATGGTTCTTATCTGCCGTCACATTCTATGTTTCTATGTTAGTACTATTTGTGCATTAATTCCCATGTTATGTTTGTTCATTGCGCCTTGTAATGGTTTGTTTTCCCATCTGACCCTCAGTAAGCTCCATGCATTTATTTGGGATTCCGCTGTCCTAGAGTTTGAAGCATCACAGAAATGTGACCTTGTTACCACGGGGGAATTATTCTTTCGCTCTGGATTTGGAATTGGAATGAGAAAGGACAGTCCATGGAAACAGAATGTATCCCTAAATATCCTCAAGTAAGTTCCTTAATATCCCTTTTTTTATCCTTCATATCTCATCTCTATGTTTAGGTTTTATACTGCTTAATACTGGATATATTCAAAGTATTCATCCCCCTTGTGAATTACACCGACCCCCCCCAGGCTTCGACCAGTCTTCTTTCGGGGGTTCTCATACAAATGCAGACGAAGGCTCCCCTGGCTGTTAGCATATGAATGTTCCCCTGTTCAGCAGTTTAGGTCTCCCGAACGCCGTTCTCCTATGGTTCGGAAGTTGGATGGGCAGCGTTATCAGTTTACCGGGTGTTCGCGGACTAGAGTAGCCGAAATTAGTTCCAGGTCGTCGATGACCATGAACCGCTGCCCACATTCGAGAGACAAAATGGCCATTTGTTTGCACACATGCTTACGGTAATACGAACGGCGGCCACACAGGGAAAACACTTTCTTTAACAAGCAATTTGCGGTTAACAGCCAGGGATGGTTGGTTGTTATATGATGCCAACCCAGGGACCACACAGATGGGGTTTGGTAAACGAGTGGGGGGTATGGACAGCCAAACAAAGGGAGTGAAAAGGGGTATTACAATGCTCATTCTGCTACACTGCTCCTCCTTAACCACAAGTCGGCATACACAGTGTGATCCTATTTGCATAGAATTCACACTAGCCATCCAGATTTCTTCTCAATATCGGGGGGCTAACCCGGGGGTGGTGATTTCCTGTACTGGGCTGGCTGACACCTCTAAACTTCGATCTTTGATTAGCAGATAACTCCCTTATTTGGTATCCTTATGTGGGATTGCCATATTTAAGGGCACCAAATAAGGGAGCTATCTACTAAACGCATACACATTTATATGTAAGCTCATTGAGCAGGGCCCTCCACCTCTCTGTTCCTGTACGTCCAGTTGTCTGGTTACAATTACATGTCTGTTAGTCCACCCATTGTACAGCGCTACGGAATCTGATGGCGCTATATCAATAATAAAATAATAATATTCACACACAACCACAGATATATACATAATCACAGACACACACACAATCACATACACACATAATTACTGACATACAAGGACATACAAGGAATTCAATGTTTGTCTTGTTTAGCTATTGTACAGCGCTGCAGAATGTGTTGGCATTATAATTGTGACAATCATATACCTCTATCTTCCCTTTAGATCCCATGAGAATGGCTTCATGGAAGACCTAGATAAGACCTGGGTCAGATACCAGGAGTGTGATTCTCGCAGCAATGCCCCAGCAACACTTACCTTTGAGAACATGGCAGGTGGGTGTGAACTGAGGGTTCCGCGGTCTGCAGTGGAAGAATGCCACCAAACGACACAGGGCTATGCAAGGTTATAATACATAATATGAAGGGATTTATAAAGGTTCAGCAACACAGAATTCCAGGAATTTCTCCTGACTGTCCATTGATAAATTCATTATGGAGTGAGACTAGCTAATCCAGAGACTGCTCGTCTCTTAGAGTGACTCCAATATAGGTGTAGGCCGTGGTTAGACAGACATTTTTTGACATAGACTGTTGATCAGTTAGACCAACACAAGTGTAGGCCGTGGTTAGACTGACATTTTTTGACACAGACTGTTAATCAGATAGACCTCTATAGGTGTAGTCCGTGGTTAGACAATTTATGACTATTGATCAGATAGACCGTAAGAGGTACAGACCATTGATGAGGCAGATTGTAGACCTTTGGGGAGCCAGACCTTTAGTTGTGAAGTAAACCTTTAGACGCATAGACCATTTTATGTCCTCAATTTTTTGGAAATAGACTTTATCTGATAAATCTTACCAATGGTTTACAGCTTGGTGGTCTTGACGTCTCTTCTGAAGAATGTTTTTTTCCACTAATGTCACCTTTATCTCCTCCTGCTGTAGATCCTCTAAACATTGGTGGGCTCTCTTAGTGCCTCAAACCATGTTACTGAACAATCAGGTTCTCTTATTGCTCGGAACCAAGGATTAATAATGTATTCAAACTCCTCCTGGGTTAAGCTAACAAACAATCAAACTCTTCTGACGGGGGTTTCTCTTTTTTCCAGGGGTCTTCATGCTGGTGGCTGGAGGTATTGTTGCAGGAATCTTTTTGATATTTATTGAGATAGCATATAAGAGACACAAGGACGCACGCAGAAAGCAGATGCAGCTTGCGTTTGCTGCGGTTAATGTGTGGAGAAAGAACCTGCAGGTATGACAAAACGTTTTAGAGAATTAAGCAGGTGCGTTTTTGGTTTCACTTCTGTGGGCAGATCTGAATCATTCTGTGAATTACTGGGTGTTTGGTTAGACGGACATTACTCTCCCTCCATTTCACCGTGAACTCTGGGTGTCTCCATGTAACCGTGCGTTCACTGGTCGCATCTTTAACACAAATGAACTTCTCACTGTCAGACGGGTGGGTGACCCATTCTGTCCCTCCTGACACTGAACGGGTCATTTTATATTACATCACATTGTTTTCAAATAAAATAATATGTTGTGAACAGGCCCAAGGGTAGAACTGCAGTATTACTATAATGACTATATTCATATTCTAATGATTAGAAATCGTTTTATCTTCACACGGTAATGATCGAGGCAGCAGCTATGGATAAAACCAATTTTTTTTTTTTAATGTCTGGGGTCTCCCTGAGCAGCCAACTCTCACACATCAATCTGTGTAAAATGAAAAGTGTACAGAGCACTCACCTGAAAAGAGGTCTCCGTCTGACATTTTCTTATATTAAATAAGGATAGATTTTATTTATGATATTTCTGTCTAAACGGATAAGTTAGCAAATTCCTGTAATAGTGAGATTAGTTACTAATACTCTTACCGTGTCCGTTAAATAAATATGTATTTAAAATGTCCCATTGTTAGTCATTGATTCACGGAATATAAATGAAAAGACGAATTGGGGGTTTGGGAGTTGGAGATTTTTCGGGTACTTTGTAAAGGCCTGAGTTTTGCAGTATAATCCACCAAACCTGATTTGATGTGGTCCCTCTAATACACTGTGCATAGTATGGGGTATTTAAACTGACTGCTCCCTCTCATAGTACATTTCTTTAAGCCTTCCAAATACAGACGACAAAGATATTCTCTCGATATTAACAATGGGCTATGGTATTCCTTTTTTATGTTTTCTCGATGTCCTCACTCGTAGAGTTTTAGGGTCGTCTTCTGAGATGTCCCGTAAAATGAAAAGCGAGCAGACACTTGAAAATTTCTGTATGAAGTTCCCTCTCTGTCGAACACCCCAGTAATACTGCAGCATTATCCTGGCTCCAGGCTCTGATAACGTCAGATATACAGGGATGCTTATTAAATGTTGAATATGCCGATGATTTAACTCTTCCTTTTCAGCCTGGGCACACAGTCAGTAGTGATAAAAATGACTTCATTTCATTGATGTGATATTGGACTGCACTTTAAAAAGATCTTGCAGCATCCCCTTGGGCTCGATATCTGTTTGTCCTCCAACCTAGCCCCACGTAGACCTAACGTCGAAGCTTTAGATTTACGGCAAACAGATAACTAACCCAACGCAGACGTACAAACCCATTAACAAGCTGCTATAGCAAAATCTAGAATTGTTTAAAGTCAATGCAATACTGTGCAACTAAAATTCAGATGGTTTTTAGTCGAAGTAAAAAGTGCAGTTGCAATTTTCATACACCAGATATTGATCCCCAAATATTGTGGTGTTCTCTGACGATCAGCTCCTGCAGACTTGAGGGCACTGAGCGGTGGTTATATGTCAGGCTTAAATCAAAGCTCACCAAATGTTCTGAGACTTAAAGGGACAATCGCACTGAGTCAGAAACACCCAGCAATATCCCCAAATACCACTCTGTCGCAAAAAATCTACTTTGTGATATAGTTAAAATTCAAATTTTTTTTTAGTAAAAATGTTCAGTGTGAATGTAGCTGAACTTAAAATGAATATATTGTATATTGATTACAAAGAAACCCGGTAATTACAAAAATTGTTTTATAAAATAGTTATTATATTCTTCAAATCCTAGGGATTTCTGACTTTTTGCCTGAATTAATGACTGTCCCTTTAATCAAATAGCTGTACAAAAAAAAAGTCAAATTCTGTTTTATGGTGACCTACATTTTCCTATAATCTCTTAATAATTTAACAATGAAAATCTTGTCTGCACTTGTACAGTTTATTAAATGCACAAGCCCCAGATAGAGCCTTAAGCTCTATACATAGCAAAATAGGGCGATGATGTAAACTGGGATCATAATATATCTCATTAAACTGAACACAAGCAATATATCTGATTGGAACACTGGTTTAAAAAAATGTGCTGGTTTTAGATTTTGTTGCAAAAAAAAAAAAAAATGCTACTTAACGACTCTGGTCACATTGTGTATTTTGATACACCGGATCCAGATGTCTAGAGTTTCTGGACCTCTCTCTCTGTGTGCTCCTCGGGGGAGGAGTCTGCCAGCATCGATCACAGCACTACAAGAGCACCACAATTTTCACTTGCTAACCTTCTAGAAAACCATGCACTGTGTGCGACAGGAAGCAAATTTGAAATGTGGAGGGTCCTTTCCATCTTGAGGGTATGTGAAACCTGAACTGTGAGAAGCCATTTTACTTTAATTTGAGGCCTTTTCATGGGTGGAAACCTCAGCAAAGTAAAGTTTTGACACATTACTAGAAGGAACGCAAGTGGAAAAATTATATTTGTTTAAGCAAAAATTTGGATTTGGGATCACACTTTGCCATGGAGCAAAATACGGACATTTCATACCATCCATCCTGCTTATTCCTGTTTGTGCATGTAAAGAAAAAAAGGACCTACATAGACGAGACAGTAAAATTTATCCCATCTGTCATGCGCAGTCAACAGTGGAATAAATTTTTTTTATACCATGTGTTTGGTATAATGGAGTAGACCTCATTCTTTCCACCCTATCCCCCTTTTATGATTTCATAACCTTGTCATTTATGATGTCAGAAAGCGACAACTTCTGCTTTTTTAATTTCATTTGCCATTTCTTTTTTTCTTTTTGAAAACTTACGCTTTGCGCCAATGCACCATTAAATTTTTGAATACATTTTTTACAGAATTTCCATACAAAGGCCGCTCTCTAATGCAGTCTTCTATCTTTCTTGTGAATCCAGCAAACAGATCATAGATTCCTACAGATTTTCTATAAAAGGCCCATTAGCTAGACAAGTAGACAAGTAAACAAGTAGCTCTCCGATTCCAGTCTCTCTCTACGGTAATCCTACATTCACTAGAATAGACACTTAAATAATAGAAACCTATAACACTGGGACAACAATGTAAGTTTTGTTCGTCCCCGAAGAATCAGCTGGCAACATCATGCATAAACCGTCTGTACATCGTCTATATAACGTCACCTGTGGGACAGTCACTAGTTATTGAGTTTCATGAACTATCCGATGAGATTTAAGTGTGTCCCATACACTGTATCAGCCAATGGTGACCATTTATTTTACTGCCCACATCTACTGACTCTACGTCCCACATAGAAGAGACACAGCTATGGATGGTAGACGTCAGAAGATAGGTGTCTGGACAATATTCAGGGTAGGCTTAGACGAAGGAGAGGCACATTAGGTATCTAATTGCTTATACATATTCATTTTAGGATAGAAAAATTGGTAGAGCAGAACCTGACCCTAAAAAGAAAGCCTCTTTTAGGTCCATCACCTCCACTTTGGCCTCCAGCTTCAAGAGACGTAGGTCCTGCAAAGACACGGTAAGAGGAAGAAGATTTTCCGCCCTTTCTATCTCTTTATCTCTGGCTCTCTTGCTTGCACTTCCTTCTCTGTTACGCTCAGACTAATTTCTTCTATCTCCTCTGTCTACCCTTCTCCATATTCTTCTTTATCTCTTTCTTTCTCCCTCTTTTTTCCATCTTTTTTCTTCTGCCATCACATTGAATGCCAAATGCCCTTTCAGAAGCTGCACATGTATACACAACATCTCATAGCCTCATGTTCGTCAACAGTCAGTCAGTTGGTCATCCAATGTACCTAAATCTACCCGTCTGGACTCCGACAAGAAAGATGGAGCCAGATTGGACTTTTTTTTTTGTAATTTCGGAGACAATGCATACTTTTTACCTTTGCATTATTGGTGCCAAACTTTAAAACCAATACATTTTTTTTTTCTTGTGTTTTTTCCAAGTGTTTTTTTTTTGTTTAATGTTGTATTCCTATCCCAGACACACTATATTTTATTTTGGCAAAGTTGTACATCACTAAGAGTCATGTGTGTGTCACATGTATTTGTATTTTTACGTTTTGTGATTAAGGCATCTAAAGAGACCCTCACTCTCTCACCCACTCCCCAAAACTCCTTAAAATTTCAAATTGCCCATAAAATAAAGTGTTCCATCAATTCCAAATGTCCAAATGCAACAATTTGCTTTGCCGAAATTCTGAAGTTTCTTGTAGATGATAATATACAAAGTGTCGATGTTCATGTTACTGGTTGGTTTTCGCTGTGTATTTACGTGTGAGTATGTTTAAGATTGAGATTGTTTTGAACTAAATCTGTCTGATATATATCAACCCAGCTCACTGTTTCTATGTATAGATACACAATGACTACTTCCCTTGCCCTCTGCTGTCTGCCACTCACCAACACACATGCATCGATATTCCTACTAAGACGAGATGGTGTCAAGGTGTTATATAAGGGGTGGGGGGATAACTACAGCATGATCATTTAATAAAATAACAATTAATACCTGCTTCTAACGTAATTTATCAGGGATGATCAGTTATTGTCCCGTCAGATTAGAGGAATTTTCCTTTCTATGTAACGTATTGGTAGATAAAAGCACAGTTAGGTCAAAATGTAATATAGTTGTAATATAGTTGCAATAGTTGATTTCTGATAAAGAGAAATAATAGTGATAAAGATTTGCCTTTACTAAGGGTTGCAAGATCTTTTCATGCTTAGCTGATAGGCAGTCTGAGATTGGAGTATTTTTACTGTTGTAGATGAGAAGGAGGGTGTATTGTATTAATGAAATAAATTTGGAAGAACGTAATGTGGAATCTGCCAATTTATTCATGGTTAGAGGCTGGGATTACAATATATACTATAGGAAAGAACTGATTCAACATTTATTACAGATGTAGGTAAAAATCGGCTGTTCTGTGTCTCAATGCTTGAAATGTAATATGAGCTGCGACATAACTCCGCCAGTCCAGTCTGTGTCCTTACAACTGCGACAAGCTCAGGACAAATCTTAAGTCAAAGCAAAATGTAGCATTTATAAGATCAATCAGTTATCAATCAGTTATATAATATAACTAACGGTAGAGAAACCCAACTAAGGATATCGAGGCAGATGAATAATATTTAGTGCATTATTACATTGAAGGGCCCGGTGGTTAACACAGTGCTGTACGAGACAGATGGACATTTGACAGACATTACACAGAGTGTGACAGAAGGCACACAGAGATATATACTGACACAGACGATGTGCACTGACATTGTATTACATTAGAGCAGTGACATATTATCGCATGTATTTCCTATGCCAGATATTTGAGAATTTTGCCAAACAAGATGAGGCATTTTGCTAAAAAAAAAAAAAATGAATAAAACAGCACAGGCCTGGTACACGTCAATATAGCACGGGACATTCAGTCATGCCGTGTCTGTACAGAGCTGCACCCAGAGTCCGAGCTGTGCTTTTATTTGAAATGATTGTGTGAGTGAATGGAGAAAGGGGGGGCAGTAAACATGAAAGGCCCCCCCGCGCAGTATACATTTGCACAACGCAGATCGGAGCAGAGGGCTTCTGTTCCTTATTGTCCCCAGCTCAGTGTGAGAGGCTCTCAGGAAGCTCGGAAGCTGTAGTCTGTTACACAATGGGAGCCAGCCGCTATCTCAGAGTATAAATGGCTCGTGGCGGGGGTCATGCTTCGCACAACATGCTCATTGTGTGTTGTGGAATAAACGAAGCGTGTTGACAGAATGCATGTCACAGTGTCAGGGAGATCGGGGCTGGGAGACAGGACTTTAAAAACAGAAATTCCTAGCCATTCTTGACTCCACTGTCTGCCTGACAATGATTGGTGTTACAGTCCACATTATCCAGAGTGTGGATACCCTGAAACCAACGGGGAGATTGCCATACGTCTAGTAATGCTACACTCTGCATGAAATGCAGTTACAGCATCCAATAACAAACATTGTGAATGCGCCTCATTGTGTGTTTTTGTGTGTATGTATTTGTGTGTATGTGTGTGCATGTATGTATTTGTGTGTGTGTATGTATTTATATGTGTGTGTGCATGTATGTATTTGTGTGTGTGCATGTATTTGTATGTGTGTGTGCGTGTATGTATTTGTGTGTGTGCATGTATTTGTATGTGTGTGTGCGTGTATGTATTTGTGTGTGTGTGTGTATGCATGTGTGTGTCTGGGTTTGCTACATATTGATAATTGAAGGATTTACATAATGTCTTCAGTACCAATATATCATGTATCCCGTGCTGTAAACCTGCCTCATAAGCCATTGAGATAAAGCTTGTACCCCTCATCATGTTTTATAATGGAGATGCTTTGGACTGTAACTTCCATCAATCTCAGTCAGCAGTTTCTCTCATCCTAGTTCAGACATTTCAAATTGCTCCATTCTGACTAATGCTATACTGAGATCTCTCAGTTATGGGTGGAGATCTCTTTGTTACTGGTTGAGATCTCTCAGTTATGGGTGGAGGTCTCTCTATTACTGGTGGAGATCTCTCTATTACTGGTGGAGATCTCTCTATTACTGGTGGAGATCTCTCTGTTATGGGTGGAGGTCTCTCTATTACTGGTGGAGATCTCTCAGTTATGGGTGGAGGTCTCTCTATTACTGGTGGAGATCTCTCTGTTACTGGTGGAGATCTCTCTATTACTGGTGGAGATCTCTCTGTTATGGGTGGAGGTCTCTCTATTACTGGTGGAGATCTCTCTGTTACTGGTGGAGATCTCTCTATTACTGGTGGATATCTCTCAGTTACGGGTGGAGATCTCTCTGTTACTGGTGGAGATCTCTCTATTACTGGTGGAGATCTCTCTGTTATGGGTGGAGATCTCTCTGTTACGGGTGGAGATATCTCTGTTACTGGTTGAGATCTCTCTGTTACGGGTTGAGATCTTTCTGTTACTGGTGGATATCTCTTTTTTACGGGTGGAGATATCTCTGTTACTGGTGGAGATCTCTCTGTTACGGGTGGAGATCTCTCTGTTAATGGTGGAGATCTCTCTATTACTGGTTGAGATCTTTCTGTTACTGGTTGAGATCTTTCTGTTACTGGTTGAGATCTTTCTGTTACTGGTTGAGATCTTTCTGTTATGGGTGGAGATCTCTCTGTTATTGGTGAAGATCTCTCTGTTACGGGTGGAGATCTCTCTGTTACGGGTGGAGATCTTTCTGTTACTGGTTGAGATCTCTCAGTTATGGGTGGAGGTCTCTCTATTACTGGTGGAGATCTCTCTATTACTGGTGGAGATCTCTCTGTTATGGGTGGAGGTCTCTCTATTACTGGTGGAGATCTCTCAGTTATGGGTGGAGGTCTCTCTATTACTGGTGGAGATCTCTCTGTTAATGGTGGAGATCTCTCTATTACTGGTGGAGATCTCTCTGTTATGGGTGGAGGTCTCTCTATTACTGGTGGAGATCTCTCTGTTACTGGTGGAGATCTCTCTATTACTGGTGGATATCTCTCAGTTACGGGTGGAGATCTCTCTGTTACTGGTGGAGATCTCTCTGTTATGGGTGGAGATCTCTCTGTTACGGGTGGAGATATCTCTGTTACTGGTTGAGATCTCTCTGTTACGGGTTGAGATCTTTCTGTTACTGGTGGATATCTCTTTTTTACGGGTGGAGTTATCTCTGTTACTGGTGGAGATCTCTCTGTTACGGGTGGAGATCTCTCTGTTACTGGTGGAGATCTCTCTATTACTGGTTGAGATCTTTCTGTTACTGGTGGAGATCTTTCTGTTACTGGTTGAGATCTTTCTGTTATGGGTGGAGATCTCTCTGTTACGGGTGGAGATCTCTCTATTACTGGTTGAGATCTTTCTGTTACTGGTTGAGATCTTTCTGTTATGGGTGGAGATCTCTCTGTTACTGGTGAAGATCTCTCTGTTACTGGTGGAGATCTCTCTATTACTGGTGGAGATCTCTCTATTACTGGTTGAGATCTCTCTATTACTGGTGGAAATCTATCTATTACTGGTGAAGATCTCTCTGTTACTGGTGAAGATCTCTCTGTTACTGGTAGAGATCTTTCTGTTACTGGTTGAGATCTTTCTGTTACTGGTTGAGATCTTTCTGTTACTGGTTGAGATCTTTCTGTTACTGGTGGAGATCTTTCTGTTATGGGTGGAGATCTCTCTGTTACTGGTGGAGATCTTTCTGTTATGGGTGGAGATCTCTCTGTTATGGGTGGAGATATCTCTGTTACTGGTGGAGATCTTTCTGTTATGGGTGGAGATCTCTCTGTTATGGGTGGAGATCTCTCTGTTACGGGTGGAGATCTTCTGTTACTGGTGGAGATCTCTCTGTTACTGGTTGAGATCTCTCTGTTACGGGTTGAGATCTTTCTGTTACTGGTGGATATCTCTCTTTTACGGGTGGAGATATCTCTGTTACTGGTGGATATCTCTCTGTTACGGGTGGAGATCTCTCTGTTACTGGTGGAGATCTCTCTATTACTGGTGGAGATCTCTCTATTACTGGTTGAGATCTTTATGTTACTGGTTGAGATCTTTCTGTTACTGGTTGAGATCTTTCTGTTATGGGTGGAGATCTCTCTGTTACTGGTGAAGATCTCTCTGTTACGGGTGGAGATCTCTCTGTTACGGGTGGAGATCTTTCTGTTACTGGTTGAGATCTCTCAGTTATGGGTGGAGGTCTCTCTATTACTGGTGGAGATCTCTCTATTACTGGTGGAGATCTCTCTGTTATGGGTGGAGGTCTCTCTATTACTGGTGGAGATCTCTCTGTTATGGGTGGAGGTCTCTCTATTACTGGTGGAGATCTCTCTGTTACTGGTGGAGATCTCTCTGTTACTGGTGGAGATCTCTCTGTTATGGGTGGAGGTCTCTCTATTACTGGTGGAGATCTCTCTGTTACTGGTGGAGATCTCTCTATTACTGGTGGATATCTCTCAGTTACGGGTGGAGATCTCTCTGTTACTGGTGGAGATCTCTCTGTTACTGGTGGAGATCTCTCTATTACTGGTGGAGATCTCTCTATTACTGGTTGAGATCTCTCTATTACTGGTGGAAATCTATCTATTACTGGTGAAGATCTCTCTGTTACTGGTGAAGATCTCTCTGTTACTGGTAGAGATCTTTCTGTTACTGGTTGAGATCTTTCTGTTACTGGTTGAGATCTTTCTGTTACTGGTTGAGATCTTTCTGTTACTGGTGGAGATCTTTCTGTTATGGGTGGAGATCTCTCTGTTACTGGTGGAGATCTTTCTGTTATGGGTGGAGATCTCTCTGTTATGGGTGGAGATATCTCTGTTACTGGTGGAGATCTTTCTGTTATGGGTGGAGATCTCTCTGTTATGGGTGGAGATCTCTCTGTTACTGGTGGAGATCTCTCTATTACTGGTTGAGATCTCTCTGTTACGGGTTGAGATCTTTCTGTTACTGGTGGATATCTCTCTTTTACGGGTGGAGATATCTCTGTTACTGGTGGAGATCTCTCTGTTACGGGTGGAGATCTCTTTGTTACTGGTGGAGATCTCTCTATTACTGGTTGAGATCTTTCTGTTACTGGTTGAGATCTTTCTGTTATGGGTGGAGATCTCTGTTACTGGTGAAGATCTCTCTGTTACGGGTGGAGATCTTTCTGTTACTGGTTGAGATCTTTCTGTTACTGGTGAAGATCTCTCTGTTACTGGTGGAGATCTCTCTATTACTGGTGAAGATCTCTCTGTTACGGGTGGAGATCTCTCTGTTACTGGTTGAGATCTTTCTGTTACTGGTGAAGATCTCTCTGTTACTGGTTGAGATCTTTCTGTTACTGGTGGATATCTCTCTGTTACGGGTGGAGATATCTCTGTTACTGGTGAAGATCTCTCTGTTACGGGTGGAGCTCTCTCTGTTACGGGTTGAGATCTTTCTGTTACTGGTGGAGATCTTTCTGTTATGGGTGGAGATCTCTCTGTTACTGGTGAAGATCTCTCTGTTACGGGTGGAGATCTCTCTGTTACGGGTTGAGATCTTTCTGTTACTGGTGGAGATCTTTCTGTTATGGGTGGAGATCTCTCTGTTACTGGTGAAGATCTCTCTGTTACTGGTGGAGATCTCTCTATTACTGGTGGAGATCTCTCTATTACAGGTTGAGATCTCTCTATTACTGGTGGAGATCTCTCTGTTACTAGTTGAGATCTCTCTGTTACTGGTGAAGATCTCTCTGTTACGGGTGGAGATCTTTCTGTTATGGATGGAGATCTCTCTGTTACTGGTGGAAATCTATCTATTACTGGTGGAGATTTCTCCGTTACTGGTGGAGATCTCTCTGTTATAGGTGGAGACATCTCTGTTACTGGTGGAGATCTCTCTGTTATGGGTGGAGATCTCTCTGTTACTGGGGGAGATTTCTCTGTTACTGGTGAAGATCTCTCGGTTAGATCTCTCGCCTTGTGCAGCACTTTCAGGGGGGCGGCAAAAAGCCGCCCCCAAATTCCCCGGTAGATGCCTGGTCTGCCTCTTGTCCTGGGTTTGTTGGCATCTGTTTAGTTTGCGCGCAGGCAGAGAGGGAGCACTCTCTCCTGAGCTCTTCCTGCTCAGCTTGCTCACGCGCACCACAGTGATGCCAGAGCTGGAATATGACGTCACTCTGGCCCCGGCATCACTGAGAGGCACGCAAGGGAACTGAGCAGGAAGCTCATAGCTCCCTCGCCACCCGCCTCCACCGTTCGAATTCCTGCGCTTGTCTGCCTTTGCCTGCCTGCCAGCCCCACTGGACCCCAGGGAAAAATAAATTCCAGCCCCAAACGTAGGGAGGCTGGATTGATTTGACAGTAAAAAAAATTGTGAGTGTGTTAGTGTGTGTTAGTGTGTGTGTGTGTTAGTGAGAGTGTTAGTCAGTGAGAGTGTTAGTATGTGTGTTAGTGAGAGTGTTAGTGTTTGTCAGTGAGTGTGTTAGTGAGAGTGTTAGTGTGTGTCAGTGATAGTGTTAGTGTGTGTGTTAGTGAGAGTGTTAGTGTGTGTCAGTTAGAGGGTTAGTGTGTGTTAGTGAGAGCGTTAGTGTGTGTCTGTTAGTAAGTATTTTAGTGTGTGTCTGTTGTGAGTGTGTTAGTGTGTGTCTGTTAGTGAGTGTGTATTTGTCTGTCAGAGAGTGTGTATGTCTGTCACTGATAGTGTATATGTATTTGTAATTGAAAGTGTATGTGTGTCTCTCAGTGTGTGTGTATCTGTCATTGAGTGTGTGCCTGTCAGTGTGTGCATGCGTGTTTCGGTGTGTGTGTGTATGCGTGTGTCAGTGTTTGTATGTCTGGTAGTGAATGTGTATGTCTGTCAGCTAGCGTATTTGTCTGTCAGTAAATGTGTGTGTCTGACACTGAGTGGTGTGTGTATGACACTGATTGTATGTATGTCTGTCAGTGAGTGTGTATGTGTGTTTCTCAGTTTGTATTTGTCAGTAAGTATATATGTTTCTCAGTGTGTGTGGGTCTGACACTGAGTGAGTTTGCGTCTGTCAGTAAGTGTATATGCATTTCTATCAGTGAGCGTGCATCTGTCAGTGAGTGTTCATGTGTGTCTTGTCGGTTAGTGTGTGTGTCTGTCGGTGAATGTGAGTGTGTGTAACTGTGAATGTTTCAGTGAAAGTATGTTGGTTAAACAAGGTGTGTGACAATGACTGTGTATCTGTCAGTGAGTGTATGTCGGTGTATGCGTTAGTGAGGGTGTGTGTCTCTCAGGAAGAGAAATTTGGAAGGGGGGGGAGGGGTTGCCTGAGTTTTGTCCTGCCTAGGGCAGCACAAAACCAGAATACACCACTGCTCCCAGTATAGTGTGACTGGCTCAGTAAACATAGACCTCTAGCACTCGTTAATAGGACTGTATAGAAAGCACACAGACTATCCCAGCATAGTGTGACCGGCTCAGTACACATAGACCTCTAGCTCTCATTAATAGGACTGCATAGAGAGCACACAGACTATCCCAGCATAGTGTGACCGGCTCAGTACACATAGACCTCTAGCGCTCATTAATAGGACTGTATAGAAAGCACACAGACTGTCAGAACTGTTGAAATTGGTGTTTATAATTGACTGGTACAAAATCTCTGATATAATCTCCATGAAGATCTCTTAAAGATGGATGGGTAGATGTAAGGATTGATAGAGATAGATAGATAGATAGATAGATAGATTTGATAGTAAAATATAATAGCATAATGTAAAATAACGTATAAATATAAAAAGTAAATTGTATAGAAGTCTCGGGTTCCAGCTCTCGTTTTAGGTTAGCAGGAAATATATTAGGGACCCCAAAATTTCCAGTGAAACAGAATAACATTTTCGCTACAGTTACAATACTGATTATATGACACACACCATCAGCACATTTTGTAACTTTACAAACATCAAATTTAATCTACATTTACACATTTACACATTAATCATACCGGGAGACAGCGGAGTAAACTGTGTGTCTTTACTGTATATTGGTCTCAATGTAAAAAACTAAAACATAAAAACCTGGCAGTTACCCGTCTGCATCTATAACTGGCCCAACTTATTGTCATTTTACAGACATTAAACTCTGCAGACTCCTGAACAGAAGCTGAAACCTCATTCGAACGCGTTGGCCACAGTATATCCTCATGCTTCCTCTCTGTGTATTTGTATTTTACAGCAATATCACCCAACTGATATCACTGGCCAGCTAAATCTGTCCGACCCCTCTGTTAGCACTGTGGTGTAACAGCGAGAAGATAATGTCTGGCTTGAGTGGATGGTTTAAATAAGGACCTAAGACCAACGCATTTCACATTTTATAACTGGTAAGAATGTAGCCAGCCAGGACATTGGGACTGCATGACTGCAACACATGTAACTCCCATCACCGTGCACCGTACAGAGCCGGAGTGCTGGTTCAAACAATGGAAAATTGTGAATGCTTTTTTTTTTATTCCAACTGGTAAATAATTAGTCCCATAGCCCCCACCATCCCCTAAGTACTGTAGACAGATTTTGTTCCTGAGACAGGTACCATCATCACATGCGTGGAAGACTTGAAAAGGACTGAGGAAAAGGAAAACTTTGGTATAATTGACTTAATTTTTAACTCTCATATAAGGGGTACATTTGTACAGAAGGTTCTTCGAACTAATATATATATATATACATACATATATATTTTACAAGAGAAATGGTTATGATATCAGTTTGTGTATTTGCATGAATGCTATATTTATATATAAACCCAATAAACTGTTTAAAATAATAGAATGATCTTTTCACCACGGTAACCATGAATCTCACAAATTGTTCTGTTTGTTTTGTGTTTTATACAATTCTTCTAATCATATTTTATCATTTCTTAGGACGGAACGTTTGAAATAATAATTGATTTATTTTTTATTATTTGAGCTATATTAAAAGGTGTTCAGACATGAGCGTAGCACAAAGCATAGAGAGCACAGCGTACGTACATTAAGACACAAATAACGCCGGCTCTGTAGTGAAAGCAGACGCAGTGACAGCAGCGTATAGTAACCAGTAATGGTCAAACACAACTGTCGCATTTTATTAAAAAACATTTTTATGTTCCTTATCTACCTTGAATGTGGATGCTGATGTGGAGCTAATGAATTAAAGTACAGGGAATAAACAAAAATGTGACATTATCAGGAAAGACCTGTCATCGGAACTATAACAAAATGAGATATATCCTGAATACCGACCCAGAAATGACGGAAAGGCTATATCAACCCAACATTATATAGGAAGAGCAATCCCCGCCAAGACCCACGTTCACTAAATGGAGCTAAATAAAGATCCAAGTATCGGACAGGTACATGGTAAATAATAGTAATGCCATTAATTAGCAAAGAGTGTAATTAGCGGATTATAACAGGAGCGTTCCAGTGATAAAATGTCTACACATTGCCGCAGTGAAATAAGAATTCATTTATAACAGCCCCCATATCCAAAATCTGAGATATCGAAGCCAATCTGTCATACGCAGCCAGCAGTGGCCACCCATCAGAATGTGCGCAGTCTGCACGAATATCATTTTAGATTTATTATCTGTGCAACTCGTGATGGGCTGCAAAAGATGGGGTTCAAGCAGTTTGGAGAGTCACCCTTCCCCCCGTAATAAGAATAATTTATCACTATTTTATTTAAACTCTTCATGGCGAGCGCCGCGTATTGCAATATTTATTGTGACAGAGAATTCATCAGATGTAAAGCAGGTAATAATTTAAGCTAAATTCCTTCGGATTTGAGCCATTATGTAGAAGATAAAAATTATTTTTTTCTTTATAACAAACAATGGTGTTTGAAACAGGATAATTCATCAAATATTTCTCCTGTGTCAGTAAAATAGAGCGAGTGGGCGCAAATGAGATTAACCAGCATTGATTGTTATTTAGAGTTGGTAATGGCTCTGGGTAGCGATAGGTGCTGGTAATGGCTCTGAGTAGTGGTAGGTGCTGGTAATGGCTCTGAGTAGTGGTAGGTGCTGGTAGCGGCTCTGGGTAGCGAAAGGTAGTGGTAGGTGCTGGTAGCGGCTCTGGGTAGCGAAAGGTAGTGGTAGGTGCTGGTAGCGGCTCTGGGTAGCGAAAGGTAGTGGTAGGCGCTGGTAGTGGCTCTGGGAAGCGGTAGGTGCTGGTAATGGCTCTGAGTAGTGGTAGGCGCTGGTAGTGGCTCTGGGTAGCGAAAGGTAGTGGTAGGTGCTGGTAGTGGCTCTGGGTAGTGAAAGGTAGTGGTAGGCGCTGGTAGTGGCTCTGGGAAGCGGTAGGTGCTGGTAATGACTCTGAGTAGCAGTAGTTGTTGTTGTTAATAGCTCTGAGCAGCGATAGGTGCTGGTAGTGGCTCTGGGTAGCGGTAGGTGCTGGTAATGGCTCTGAGTAGCAATAGGTGCTGGTAGTGGCTCTGGGTAGCGGTAGGTGCTGGTAATAGCTCTGGGTAGCAGTAGGTGTTGGTAATGGCTCTGGGTAGCAATAGGTGTTGGTAGTGGCTCTGGGTAGCAGAAGTTGTTGGTAATGGCTCTGAGCAGTGATAGGTGCTGGTAGTGGCTCTGGATAGCGATAGGTAGTGGTAGGTTCTGGTAATGGCTCTGGGTAGCAGTAGGTTTTGGTAATGGCTTTGAGTAGCAATAGGTGCTGGTAGTGTCTCTGGGTAGTGGTAGGTGCTGGTAATGGCTCTGGGTAGCAGTAATTGTTGGTAATGGCTCTCGGTAGCTGTAGGTGCTGGTAGTGGCTCTGGGTAGCAGTTGTTGTTGTTAATGGCTCTGGGTAGCAGTAGGTGCTAGTAATGGCTCTGGGTAGCAGTAGTTGTTGGTAATAGCTCTGAGCAGAGATAGGTGCTGGTAGTGGCTCAGTGTAGTGATCGGTAGTGGTAGGTGCTGGTAATGGCTTTGGGTAGCAATAGTTGTTGGTAATGGCTCCTGGTAGCGGCATGTGCTGGTAATGGCTCTGAGTAGCAATAGGTGCTGGTAGTGGTTATGGGTAGTGGTAGGTGCTGGTAATGCCTCTGGGTTGTGGTAGGTTGTGTTAATGGCTTTGGGTTGTGGTAGATGCTGTTAATGGCTCTGGGTGATGCTAAGTAGTGGCAATGGCTCTGGGTAGTGGTAATGGCTAATAAACGTTATTGCATAATAGTTTGATTTTGTCTTTTTATTTAAATCTCTCTTGACTGAATGATAGCGAGGGCTGATTTAATATACAGTTGCAAGAAAAAGTATGTGAGCCCTTTGGAATGATATGGATTTCTGCACAAATTGGTCATAAAATGTGATCTGATCATCATCTAAGTCACAACAATAGACAATCACAGTCTGCTTAAACTAATAACACACAAGAATGAAATGTTGCCATGTTTTTATTGAACACACCATGTAAACATTCACAGTGCAGGTGGAAAAAGTATGTGAACCCTTGGATAATAACTGGTTGAGCCTCCTTTGGCAGCAATAACTTCAACCAAACGTTTCCTGTAGTTGCAGATCAGACGTGCACAACGGTCAGGAGTAATTCTTGACCATTCCTCTTTACAGAACGGTTTCAGTTCAGCAATATTCTTGGGATGTCTGGTGTGAATCGCTTTCTTGAGGTCATGCCACAGCATCTTAATCGGGTTAAGGGCAGGACTCTGTTTAAGCCATTCTGTTGTTGATTTACTTCTATGCTTTGGGTCATTGTCCTGTTGCAACACCCATCTTCTGTTGAGATTCAGCTGGTAGACAGATGGCCTTAAGTTCTCCTGCAAAATGTCTTGATAAACTTGGGAATTCATTTTTCCTTCGATGATAGCAATCCGTCCAGACCCTGACGCAGCAAAGCAGCCCCAAACCATGATGCCCCCACCACCATACTTCACAGTTGGGATGAGGTTTTGATGTTGGTGTGCTGTGCCTTTTTTTCGCCACACATAGTGTTGTGTGTTTCTTCCAAACAACTCAACTTTGGTTTCATCTGTCCACAGAATATTTTGCCAGTACTGCTGTGGAACATCCAGGTGCTCTTGTGCAAACTGTAAACGTGCAGCAATGTTTTGTCTGGACAGCAGTGGCTTCCTCTGTGGTATCCTCCCATGAAATCCATTCTTGTTTAGTGTTTTACGTATTGTAGATTCGCTAACACGGATATTAGCATTTGCCAGTGACTTTTGTAAGTCTTTAGCTGACACTCTAGGATTCTTCATCTCATTGAGCAGTCTGAGCTGTGCTCTTGCAGTCATCTTTACAGGACAGCCACTCCTAGGGAGAGTAGCAGCAGTGCTGAACTTTCTCCATTTATAGACAATTTGTCTTACCGTGGACTGATGAACAGCAATGCTTTTGGAGATACTTTTATAACCCTTTCCAGCTTTGTGCAAGTCAACAATTCTTAATCGTAGGTCTTCTGAGAGCTCTTTTGTGCGAGGCATCATTCACATCAGGCAATGCTTCTTGTGAAAAGCAAACCCAGAACTGGTGTGTGTTTTTTATAGGGCAGGGCAGCTGTAACCAACACCTCCAATCTCATCTCATTGATTGGACTCCAGTTGGCTGACATCTCACTCCAATTAGCTCTTGGAGATGTCATTAGTCTAGGGGTTCACATACTTTTTCCACCTGCACTGTGAATGTTTACATGGTGTGTTCAATAAAAACATGGCAACATTTCATTCTTTGTGTGTTATTAGTTTAAGCAGACTGTGATTGTCTATAGTTGTGACTTAGATGATGATCAGATCACATTTTATGACCAATTTGTGCAGAAATCCATATCATTCCAAAGGGTTCACATACTTTTTCTTGCAACTGTAAATATATTATTTATTATACATAATATAACTAATTAAAAGTGTCCCACACACTGTGACGCCCCCCATCCCACACACTGTGACACTCCCCATCCCATCCACACACTGTGACCCCCCATCCCACACACTGTGTGACGTCCCCTGTACCACACACTGTGACCCCCCGTGTCTCACACACTGTGACACCCCTGTGTGCCACACACTGTGACACTCCCATCCCACACACTGTGGCCCCCCATCCCACACACTGTGACCCCCATCCCACACACTGTGACCTCCCATCCACACACACTGTGGCCCCCATCCACACACACACACTGTGACCTCCCCATCCCACACACACTGTGACCCCCATCCCACACACTTTCTTGGGCGTCCCCTGTACCACACACTGCTGACCCTGTGTCCATTTTTTGTGACCCCCCGTGTCTCACACACTGTGACACCCCTGTGTGCCACACACTGTGACCCCCCCATGTCCCACAAACTGTGACCCCCCCGTGTCCCACACACTGTGACCCCCGTCCCACACACTGTGTCCCACACACTGTGACCTCCCCGTGTCCCACAAGCTGTGACCCCCCATCCCACATACTGTGACTCCCGCGTCATTTGGTGAGGGGTTTGAGCCAGTTGGAGGATTTGAGCCAGCTGGAGGTTTATTTATTCGGTGAAGGGTTTGAGCCAGTTGGAGGTTTATTTATTCGGTGAGGGGTTTGAGCCAGTTGGAGGGTTATTTATTCGGTGAGGGGTTTGTGCCAGTTGGAGGGTTATTTATTCGGTGAGGGGTTTGAGCCAGTTGGAGGGTTATTTATTCGGTGGGGGGTTTGAGCCAGTTGGAGGGTTATTTATTCGCTGAGGGGTTTGAGCCGGTTGGAGGGTTATTTATTCGGTGGGGGGTTTGAGCCAGTTGGAGGGTTATTTATTCGCTGAGGGGTTTGAGCCGGTTGGAGGGTTATTTATTCGCTGAGGGGTTTGAGCCGGTTGGAGGGCAATATTATTATAAGGTTTGAGCCAGTTGGAGGTTTATTTATTCGGTGAGGTGTTTGAGCCAGTTGGAGGGTTATTTATTCGCTGAGGGGTTTGAGCCGGTTGGAGGGTTATTTATTCGGTGAGGGGTTTGAGCCGGTTGGAGGGTTATTTATTCGGTGGGGGGTTTGAGCCAGTTGGAGGGTTATTTATTCGCTGAGGGGTTTGAGCCGGTTGGAGGGTTATTTATTCGGTGAGGGGTTTGAGCCGGTTGGAGGGTTATTTATTCGGTGGGGGGTTTGAGCCAGTTGGAGGGTTATTTATTCGGTGAGGGGTTTGAGCTGTGGAGCCTGTCATGGGGCCAGTCAGTCTATATAACCCATCCTGCGGAAGGATTTGCAATGATAATGTTTTCCTGCGTTTTGGCGGGTTTGTAGACGCGCGGTCGCTGGCGGATGGAGATTAGCACGCGTTCATAGCAGACAGTCAGGGAACCCGCTAGAAAGCAGAGGACAATACTGCTAGTAAATAGTGCAATGCCAGTTAGCAGAATGTACAGAGAGTCAGACAGCGGAATGTAGTCCCGGCAGCGGCGGAAGGATTCCCGCGTTATCTCCAGGACTGGAAAGTGATTCAGGGATCTGGGACTCTCACACAGGGTCCTGCTGGTTTCTAGAAAATAAAGAATTAATTTCACTGATTTGAATTTTCATCTTATTTTACAGAATCAGAGAGAGCAAACATTATTATTATTAATAGCGCCAACATATACCGCAGCGCTTTACATTTATAGAGATAATTGTAAATAGATCACATAGTGCCCACACTCACAGCCCACACTCAGAGTGCCCACACTCACAGCCCACACTCAGAGAACTCATAGCCCATACTCAGATAACTCACTCATAACCCACACTCAGAGTGCCCACACACATAGCCCACACTCAGAGTGCCCCCACTCATAACCCACACTCATAGCCCACACTCACAGAACTCACTCATAGAACCCACTCAGAGTGCCCCCACTCACAGAACTCACTCACAGCCCACACTCTGAGTGCCCCCACTCACAGCCCACACTCATAGCACTCACTCATAGCCTACACTCAGAGTGTCCACACTCAGAGCCCACACTCAGACCACACTCATAGACCACACTCACAGCCCACACTCAGAGTGCCCACACTCATAGAACTCACTCATAGACCATACTCAGAGTGCCCCCAACCACAGTCCACACTCATAGAACTCACTCATAGCCCACACTCAGAGTGCCTCCACTCACAGCCCACACTCATAGAACTCACTCATAACCTACACTCAGAGTGCCCCCACTCATAGCCCACACTCAGAGTGCCCCCACTCACAGCCCCCACTCATAGAACTCACTCATAACCTACACTCAGAGTGCCCCCACTCATAGCCCACACTCATAGAACTCACTCATAGATCACACTCAGAGTGCCCCCACTCACAGAACCCACTCACAGAACCCACTCAGAGTGCCCACACTCATAGACAACACTCAGAGTGCCCCCACTCACAGCCCACACTCATAGAACTCACTCATAGCCCACACTCATAGAACTCACTCATAGACCACACTCAGAGTGCCCCGCTCATAGACAACACCCACAGAACCCTCTCAGAGCCCACACTCACAGAACTCACTCAAAGCCCACACTCACAGAACCCACTCATAGCCCACACTCACAGAACTAACTCATAGCCCACATTCACAGAACTAACTCATAGCCCACACTCACAGAACTAACTCATAGCCCACACTCACAGAACCCACGCATAGCCCACATTCACAGAAACCACTCATAGCCCACATTCACAGAATTCACTCATAGCCCTCACTCACAGAACCCACTAAGAGCCCACATTCACAGAACTCACTCATAGCCCACACTCACAGAACTCACTCATAGCCCACACTCATAGAACTCACTCATAGACCACACTCAGAGTGCCCCGCTCATAGACAACACCCACAGAACCCTCTCAGAGCCCTCACTCACAGAACTCACTCATAGCCCACACTCACAGAACCCACTTATAGCCCACACTCACAGAACTAACTCATAGCCCACATTCACAGAACTAACTCATAGCCCACACTCACAGAACTAACTCATAGCCCACACTCACAGAACCAACTCATAGCCCACACCTCACAGTAGGAACCCACGACCATATTCACAGAAACCAATCATAGCCCACACATTCACAGAATTCACTCATAGCCTCACCAATAAGTAGAACCCACCAAGAGCCCACATTCACAGAACTCACTCATAGCCCACACTCACAGAACTCACTCATAGCCCACACTCACAGAACCCACTCATAGAACTCACTCATAGACCACACTCAGAGTGCCCCGCTCATAGACAACACCCACAGAACCCTCTCAGAGCCCTCACTCACAGAACTCACTCATAGCCCACACTCACAGAACCCACTCATAGCCCACACTCACAGAACTAACTCATAGCCCACATTCACAGAACTAACTCATAGCCCACACTCACAGAACTAACTCATAGCCCACACTCACAGAACCCACGCATAGCCCACATTCACAGAAACCACTCATAGCCCACATTCACAGAATTCACTCATAGCCCTCACTCACAGAACCTACTAAGAGCCCACATTCACAGAACTCACTCATAGCCCACACTCACAGAACTCACTCATAGCCCACACTCACAGAACTCACTCATAGTCCAAACTCACAGAACTCACTCATAGCCCAAACTCACAGAACTCACTCATAGCCCACACTCACAGAACCCACGCATAGCCCACATTCACAGAATTCACTCATAGCCCTCACTCACAGAACTCACTTATAGGCCAAACTCACAGAACTCACTCATAGCCCACACTCATAGAACTCACTCAGAGTGCCTCCACTCACAGCCCACACTCATAGAACTCACTCATAACCTACACTCAGAGTGCCCCCACTCATAGCCCACACTCAGAGTGCCCCCACTCACAGCCCCCACTCATAGAACTCACTCATAACCTACACTCAGAGTGCCCCCACTCATAGCCCACACTCATAGAACTCACTCATAGATCACACTCAGAGTGCCCCCACTCACAGAACCCACTCACAGAACCCACTCAGAGTGCCCACACTCATAGACAACACTCAGAGTGCCCCCACTCACAGCCCACACTCATAGAACTCACTCATAGCCCACACTCATAGAACTCACTCATAAACCACACTCAGAGTGCCCCGCTCATAGACAACACCCACAGAACCCTCTCAGAGCCCTCACTCACAGAACTCACTCATAGCCCACACTCACAGAACCCACTCATAGCCCACACTCACAGAACTAACTCATAGCCCACATTCACAGAACTAACTCATAGCCCACACTCACAGAACTAACTCATAGCCCACACTCACAGAACCCACGCATAGCCCACATTCACAGAAACCACTCATAGCCCACATTCACAGAATTCACTCATAGCCCTCACTCACAGAACCCACTAAGAGCCCACATTCACAGAACTCACTCATAGCCCACACTCACAGAACTCACTCATAGCCCACACTCATAGAACTCACTCATAGACCACACTCACTCATAGACAACACTCACAGAACCCTCTCAGAGCCCTCACTCACAGAACTCACTCATAGCCCACACTCACAGAACCCACGCATAGCCCACATTCACAGAATTCACTCATAGCCCACACTCACAGAACTCACTTATAGGCCAAACTCACAGAACTCACTCATAGCCCACACTCACAGAACCCACTCATAGCCCACACTGACAGACCCTACTCACAGAACTCACTCATAGCCCACACTCACAGAACTCACTCATAGCCCACACTCACAGAACCCACTCATAGCCCACACTCACAGACCCCTACTCAGAGCCCTCACTCACAGAACTCACTCATAGCCCACACTCACAGAACCCACTCATAGCCCACATTGTGATTGTGATTATATGATCAAAGAATGATCACTACGGAAGAATTGAAACAAAATACTGCTATTTCTCTGTAATATCCTGTACATAGGTCTATAAATCACTGACTGCTCTTTATCGTGGTCCCTGTATCACACCTCAAAGTAATATTTAAAGAGACACTCGGCACACATAAAGCACGCCAGCTTTCTCAGGGTTCACTGATCAGGCATGCCATTAAATCCACCTGCCTAATTTCATGTAGGGCCCCTCGTACTTCCAAAACAGCTCTTATACATTGAGGCAGGGACTCCAAAACCTCTGAACGTGTCCTGTGGGATCAGTGCAGCAGATCCTTTATTCCTGCAAGTTGCAAGGTGGGACCTCCATGGATCCGATTTGTTGTTTTGAGCACATCCCACAGATGGTCAATCTGATTGAGAGCTGGGGAATTTGGAGGCCAAGGTAACACTATTGCCATTAAGGAGTGTACGTGGTCTGCAACTATCTCTAGGTAGGTGATATGTGTCAAAGTCACCCAGATGGTCTCACTTGCCCATTTTTCCTGCTTCCAACACGTGAAATTCAAGAACCGACTGTTCACTTACTGCCTAATATATCCCACCCCGTGACAGGGGCCATTGTAACGATAATCAATGTTATTCACTTCACCAGGCAGTAGGTTTAATGTTGTGGCTGATCAGTGTACACTCATAATTGCAATTTATAAAAGTACTGATTTCTGTTTGAAATTTACACTTTTATAAATATTTGCAGAGACCCCCCTCTCTCCCCCTCCCCCAGCATGCAGGTTAACTTTCCGATGCTGTTAGAGCGTGTCTGCCTTCTCCCCCAAGTCACAGTGAGTCTGTGAGCGAGCGTCCATGGAGCTCAGTGTACCTCAGCACCCCTGCCCCCTAGGGCCGAGCACGCACACTTGGAAGTGGCTTAAAATCAAAGCCCTCCCAGTAATTGGTCATCTTTCCACACAGACTGAAAAGAGGGGAGGGCTTGCAAAATGATCTCTATATAATGCGATTCTATCACCTTAATAACACCGCTTACCTTTCATTATTTGCCCGTTCTCGATCATCCAAGACACCATGTGTTGAATCTGACAGGTACAGGCCCAGGGGTTCCCATCCAGTCGCAGTTCTGTTAGCGCTGGAGCGCAGGTCAAGACCTCGACCTGGAGCCCGTTCAGGGCATTATTGTACAAATAAAGGCTTTGCAAATGTACTAACGGCAGCAGGATATTTGCAGGCAGCTGGGAGAGCCGGTTGTTTCCCAGGTTGAGTTTGGTCAGCCTGGACAGGGGGGTAAAAACATCGGGCGTAATGGACGTTAGTCGGTTGCTGCTCAAGTCGAGGTAGCTCAGGTTGCGCAGGCCGTGGAAGCCATTCCTGTGTATTCTGGACAGGAGGTTGTTCTGCAGCTCCAGGTGTGTAAGAAGATGGAACGCTGAGAAAGCCATCGATTGAACGCTAGATATTTCATTGAAGGCCAGTAATATGCTGTCTGTTTTATGGTCCATGGTTTCCGGAATAAAGTAAAAACGTTTTCCATTGCAATCCACTCTTGCAACCGAACACTCACAAAGATCAGGACATGCCAACGTTTGAAAAGTTTTTACCAATAAAACCACCAGGAACGCACTTTGTTTGCCATAACTGAGCATCTCCCGTGACATCCTCCTGGCCAAAACCTAATTTAAAAAAAGATATTTTAAGCCATATTTCAAGAGCGGAATGAAGGATCCACACGTGTGTTTTTATACCATCGCCATTATCCTTAAACGTGGCAAAACATTGAATAAGTCAGAGTCTCTGCGTTTCCCAACGAGGCTTCTTATTTTACGTCTTTTAGTTCACATCACATGAGCTCTGTAAATATTAGCAGATTAATTAGCAGTTATAAATCTCCTATACTAATCCTTTGTTCTATGACTGACAAACACTGCTCCGCCCTGCCACATCAAGAACAGGACACACCGTGCGTTAAAAGGTGAAAAATTCTGAGAAAGGACATGGGTTTTGAGATTACCAACCTGCGGAATGCAATGGATTGAGGCGTCTCTGATCAAATTCTTCACTTAGTTCCACTGTCTGCGTATCTCTGCTCAAATAAACCACCACACCGCACAAATTAAACCAGAATGGGCTTTATTCACTAAACAATGAAAAATTCTACAACTTGGCTGAAAGTTACTTGGGCTGAAAGAAATAGTCGTTTCCTAGTCCAGCCTCTCTCACACCTGTTATTAAAATACACTAATACTGTATAACGCATCCAATTCGTATAAAACTGTACATATAAATAACTAAAACGATTATAACTCTATAAATAACGGTGCATAATCTCATACAGTATGCCCTTAATGTAATCAAAATGTCCTTGCCAATCTAGCTCACCCCTTCCCAAAGGCTCACCTTCCCCCTCGGCATAATAAATTCCTCTTCCCTTTTGGGCTCCCCACCAGCCGGCTTTTAGCTCGGTGGGGACACGTCCAACCTGGCACCCCTTACGGTTTACCATAAGAGACAGGGGAGGATGAGGCCCGGCCATTATCCCTTTACTTATCTACCTGCTAACCATCTCCCACCTTATTTGGCAAGGATATGCCCCCTGCCTAGCTGTGACAACACCCCGAGCCCAAATTACAAAGTGAGGGTGGGCGTTAAACTGTTGCTGGCCCGGATACTAAGTGACACTGAGGTCAGCTTAATTTGTCACCAACCCCTTCCTCACATCCAACACTTCCACACATAACAAGCAGCCATTCATGTTTCCTCCATTCCCACACTCATACATGTGCCCTTGTCTGCTAAGCTGCACACTCTCCCTGGGGCCTAATATAGTAAAATAGAGAGTCTGAGGCCACAGATTGCGAACGTGTGCCTGAGTTATGAGCAAAGCACCAAAATCCACAGGCACTCCAGGGCTGTAATTCTAAAACGTAGCTTTCATTAAAAATAGTTAAAGGGTTACTCCAACCACCATGACCACTTCTGCTTGGAGTGCTGCACATCCCAATATATTGGCAGTTGTGCGCTTGGCGCTAGTTGCACCATCGGCACACTTCTTAGGCAGTCTCCTAGGGTTGGAGTTACCCTTTATTACTAAAAGATCGCAACAAAAAACACCATAACATGTGAATAATAACACACACACTATTTTAGTCTGAATTTTGTTGTTTATTTCTTTTTTTCATTCCAATGTAACCACGAGTTAGTGTTTAGTGAATAAACCTCGAAGTCCATCATTCCAAATGATCCGATCAAGAGAGAGAATGAGGAAACAGCCGACATTCATTGTTACATTTAATGATTATTGCAACATTGGGAGACAGAACGTTTACAAAGAGATGGTGGAATTATTGTTATATTTCCTTTAATTGACTGTTTAATAAAGACTTGGGTGTCCTGCAGTGTCGGTACCTCACGTGAAGTGCTTTGGGGCTGCCGTAGACCCCAGAGTATCACTGACTTTGGGGTAACATCCATTTTGATGTCTTCATACTGTGCTTACCTAGCAGGGTGGTTGTAGCCTACCGGTCTTTGGGCAGTCCAAATGTTGTGAACTACATCTCCCATAATGCATCAAGGGAAATGTAGTTCCGAACATCTGGAGTGCCGAAGGTTACCTATGCCTGGCCAAGGGTATACCTACAGTATTACTGCCTAGGGCAGTGGTTTCCAAACGCCTAGGAGTCCAAGATTTAGGGATTACCCCGTTGTGTCTAATGTCTTATTAGAAAAAAAATAAAAAATAACACCTTGACACAACTGGCTAATCCCTAAATCTTGGACTGGTAGACATGCCTTGAAGACTGGTTTGGAAACCACCGGCCTACGGAGTTTCTAAAGTTTCCATGGCTAGGTTCCAAAGCTTTGCAGCCTCTGCAGTGAGCTCTACAAAACCAGGAAGTGACTCAACCAATCAAGCTCATGTAACATCACTGTTGAGTATATTTGATAAGCAGAACTCAGCAGAGCACAGCAATGGTTTCAGGGAGTTGTAGTCTGCTTTCCGCTGTAGGAGCTCCCAGAAACCCAAAGCGTTCTCTTATTGCAGCAGTTGTGGGTGTGGGGGGGCAGGGGGAATTATGGAATAATACTTCTATTTATTTTCATTAAAACTGAAGAAGATTATAAATAAACCTAGAATTGCAATCTTTAACCCGTTCTTTATATTGCACCAAGCATGTGGATGATGGCTGGGCCCTGGAGAAAGCGTTATATCTCATCTACACATAGTAATTAAAGATTGGGAAGACAACATGGGTTTACTTCAGGGAGATCATGCCAAACTAATCTTATTGATTTTTTTGATTGGGTAACTAAAATTATAGATCAGGGTGGTGCAGTAGACATTGCTTACCTAGATTTCAGTAAGGCTTTTGACACTGTTGCACATAGAAGGCTTATCAATAAACTGCAATCTTTAAGTTTGGATTCCAATATTGTTGAATGGGTAAGGCAGTGGCTGAGTGACAGGCAACAGAGGGTTGTAGTTAATGGAATATATTCGAAGCTTGGACTTGTCACCAGTGGGGTACCTCAGGGATCTCTACTTGGACCCATTCTCTTTAATATTTTTATTAGTGATATTGCAGAAGGTCTTGATGGTAAGGTATGTCTTTTTGCTGATGATACTAAGATATGTAACAGGGTTGATGTTCCAGGAGGGATAAGCCAAATGACAAATGATTTAGGTAAACTAGAAAAATGGTCAGAATTGTGGCAACTGACATTTAATGTGGATAAGTGCAAGATAATGCATCTTGGACGTAAAAACCCAAGGGCAGAGTACAGAATATTTGATAAGAGTCCTAACCTCAACATATGAGGAAAGGGATTTAGGGGTGATTATTTCTGATGACCTAAAGGTAGGCAGACAATGTAATAGAGCAGCAGGAAATGCTAGCAGAATGCTTGGTTGTATAGGGAGAGGTATTAGACCCTGGGGAGACAGCGCAGCTAAGCGGACAAGGGCACATGTAGGAGTGTGGGGATAGATGCATGGGATTGGATGGGAAAGAGTGTGTGGGTGGGATTATGTTCTGTGTAAGTTAGCGTGGGGGAGGTCTTACCTCAGTGCCACTTGGGATACGGGCCAGCAAACAGCTTCCCGCCCACCCACCCCTTTTGAGTCTTAGTTAGTCACAGCGAGCCGGGGGAATGTCCTTGCCAATTGAGTTTGAGGGGTTATGTTTAAGGATGGAGTAAGTTTTTATGTTTTGCAGGTCTCAACCTCCCCTGCTTCAAACGATTAACATTAGGTTGCCTGAGGTGTCGTGCCCATCGAGCGTGGATAAGGTCGGCTGATGACGGGCATTGGAAAGATATGATTTTTATGACGAGGGGGAGGTGAGAGGAAGTGGTGATTAGGAACCACTGTATGTTTATTGGCAAGGACGGTTGGGTCACTGTATAACACTATGGGTGGAGTTATATATGTATATATGTTAATTTATGCTTATTTATGTCTAACGTTTTGGTTACAGAAAGAAGAGATTTAATAAATAAAGTTATGGATGTGTTATGCAGTAATTTAGTTTGTGATAATAAATGCTGTGGCCTGTTTCATCCATACTAAGTGGTCTGTCATTATTGGGGGGTTGAATGGGGTTAGTTTTTGTTCTAGGCTACATCGCGATTCCCCACTACGTACATACAAGCAGTAAGTAAGAGGGAAGTGCTCATGCCATTATACAGAACACTGGTGAGACCTCACTTGGAGTATTGTACACAGTACTGGAGACCGTATCTTCAGAAGGATATTGATACCTTAGAGAGGGTTCAGAGAAGGGCTACTAAACTGGTTCATGGATTGCGGGATAAAACTTACCAGGAAAGGTTAAAGGATCTTAACATGTATAGCTTGGAGGAAAGACGAGACAGGGGGGATATGATAGAAACATTTAAATACATAAAGGGAATCAACACAGTAAAGGAGGAGACTATATTTAAAAGAAGAAAAACTACCACAACAAGAGGACATAGTCTTAAATTAGAGGGACAAAGGTTTAAAAATAATACCAGGAAGTATTACTTTACTGAGAGGGTAGTGGATGCATGGAATAGCCTTCCAGCTGAAGTGGTAGAGGTTAACACAGTAAAGGAGTTTAAGCATGCATGGGATAGGCATAAGGCTATCCTAACTATAAGATAAGACTAGGGACTAATGAAAGTATTTAGAAAATTGGGCAGACTAGATGGGCCGAATGGTTCTTATCTGCCGTCACATTCTATGTTTCTATGTTTCTATTAATATTGATTAATGGTTTATCGTATAATTGATGGCCACAATATGTGGTCCGGCTCTGTGTGAAGAATAATTCTCGGAAAGTGGAGCATTTAGTGAGAAATATTGCATTGGTTTCCAAGGTAACTGCTGTACTTTCCCCAGAGTGGATATTTGTGAATTAGTTTCAATGTACTGACTGGGATTCATTCCCCGGGGATGTTGGCGTGTCTGTGCAGCCTGTGTGCTCTGATTATATCGGAATTTACATCTTAATCCGAGTGTTTGGAAGCAAGGGTGTGAACAGCGATGTTTGCCATCTCTTACTATCCTGGGGGAACTTCACTCAAAGTTATAAGATAAACCCACTGACTCCACACAGAGTGCCCAAGGAAAAACCGACATGAAAGATGCTATCAGAAAAACACGTTAAATACTGTCTGACAATGCAGGGATACTGGCTATCCTACCGCGCCAGTATAAAGCTATCACATTATTATACACTGTCTGACAATGCAGGGATACTGGCTATAACATTATTATACACTGTCTGACAATGCAGGGATACTGGCTATCCAACCGCGCCAGTATAAAGCTATCACATTATTATACACTGTCTGACAATGCAGGGATACTGGCTATCCAACCGCGCCAGTATAAAGCTATCACATTATTATACACTGTCTGACAATGCAGGGATACTGGCTATCCAACCGCGCCAGTATAAAGCTATCACATTATTATACACTGCCTGACAATGCAGGATACTGGCTATCCAACCGCGCCAGTGTAAAGCTATCACATTATTATACACTGTCTGACAATGCAGGGATACTGGCTATCCAACCGCGCCAGTATAAAGCTATAACATTATTATACACTGTCTGACAATGCAGGGATACTGGCTATCCAACCGCGCCAGTATAAAGCTATCACATTATTATACACTGTCTGACAATGCAGGGATACTGGCTATCCAACCGCGCCAGTATAAAGCTATAACATTATTATACACTGTCTGACAATGCAGGGATACTGGCTATCCAACCGCGCCAGTATAAAGCTATAACATTATTATACACTGTCTGACAATGCAGGGATACTGGCTATCCAACCGCGCCAGTATAAAGCTATAACATTATTATACACTGTCTGACAATGCAGGGATACTGGCTATCCAACCGCGCCAGTATAAAGCTATAACATTATTATACACTGTCTGGCAATGCAGGGATACTGGCTATCCAACTGCGCCAGTATAAAGCTATCACATTATAATACACTGTCTGACAATGCAGGGACACTGGCTATCACATTATTATACACTGTCTGACAATGCAGGGATACTGGCTATCGCTATCCCACCACGCCAGTATAAAGCTATCACATTATTATACACTGTCTGACAATGCAGGGATACTGGCTATCCAACAGCCCCAGTATAAAGCTATCACATTATTATACACTGTCTGACAATGCAGGGATACTGGCTATCCAACCGCGCCAGTATAAAGCTATAACATTATTATACACTGTCTGACAATGCAGGGATACTGGCTATCCAACCGCGCCAGTATAAAGCTATCACATTATTATACACTGTCTGACAATGCAGGGATACTGGCTATCCAACCGCGCCAGTATAAAGCTATCACATTATTATACACTGTCTGACAATGCAGGGATACTGGCTATCACATTATTATACACTATACAAAAAGAATGAGGAGCAAGAATCCCTGAAACACCGGGAACAAATCCCCTCAAAACTAGTACCCCCTCTGGAGCAATAGAAGTATATTTACCCACTAACCGTGTATAACACAAAGTGAAAAAATAATAGAAATATATTGAAAAACATTAGAAGTCCCATATATAATATCTATAATACACCAAACTGCTACAAACTAGGAATAAAGGGACATAGAGGATCAGCCTGAGGTGCACATAACTGAATAATGCACCTCGATACTAAGTGTGACAGAACCATCTGTCTGCTGGATTTTTGCCCGTTCGTCTGTTTGTCCCCGTTCGTATGAATGGCTGGTTTCTATAGCCCAGCCATTCGAATGACTCTTTTTCCCGAACAAATCTGCCGAACGAACGGCCACCCAAGTGAGGAGTGTGCTGCAGGTTAACGAAGTGATCACCATTATAACGTTGTGGTTAACCGCAGACACTTCTCAATTAAACCGAACTCAGGGTGGTCGTCGTTCGTATATCGACCACGAGGCAGCGGCCATTTTACATCATGCGAACGCTCAGCGGTGTTTGGCTCTATTTCTATGGAACTGAGAACGGACACTTTTTCTGTCGAACACCGCTGAAACAAGGGAACGCCTGGCTGCCTCCACGAAAGCATGCGAACACCGGCCGTTCGGGAGATTGAGAGCATACAAAAGACTTAACCCAGATAGCCCTCCCATGGAGTCATTCGTATACCGAAGGACTGTAAGAACTTTGACTCCATGGCGATTGAACTATGTGTGTGGGATCTGAGCACTATTCGCCAATAATATGCACTCAGATCCAGGCTATCTGGGGACATGTAATACGAATGGGAAATGTTCAGTTTTCATGTAGTTATGCATTTTTATGTCTTTTATTATTTTATGTTTAAAATGGCGACTGTCCTTGTCCTGGGGTTAATTGAGTTACTTGGTAATTAACTCCAGGACAGAGGGGAGGGAATCAGAATGCACTGTGGGTAAGATATGTGACTGTGTGTCAGAAATGTCCTTCTGTCTGTCTGTAGTTTAAGTCTTCCATTTGGTCCCCTAGGGGAGTGTCCACCAGGTGGGAGACCTGCATAAATACGGGCAGGTAGCCCACAGTAAAACCAGATCTTATTTGACCCTCAATGCGGAGCTTCTGTCTCGTTATTGGGGGGATTTCTTCTTCACGGTTAGAGACTGCTGGATGGAACGAAAGCCGCTTTGGGGATATTGTTGTTCGACGGTTCCTAGCAGTTCGTATATTGCCGTTCGAGAGTTTGGAGCCGTTCGTGGATATCGATCGGGAGATTACCGCTTCCCCTGCATTGCGTTCGTGGGTTACAGAGTAAGCGAACGGAGACGGTACTGCAGCCGGGGAAGGTTTACTAAACGGCGGTTTTGCCTAAAGACACTGGAGGTGTCTTAACACTAAGTTGCTAAAATTCCAGTAGAGAAGTAGTGAAAAAAAAGCTACTTCAAATTAGCAACAGTATCCATGAAGCGACACATATAAGTATAGTTGAAACTGGCTGAAAACAACATTCCAATTCCTACAATAAACAAATATACTCTTCACTATTAGATATCCAAATTTAAATATAGAGATATATACATCCTAATGATTTACTACAAGTACAAATTGGTATATCTTGGCCATAGTGGCTCCAAATGTCTTATCAAAGTAAGTAAATCGAAAGGACAGAAAGATATCAGTGAAGAGAATGAAAAATTAAATGGGGAGGCAATAGAAAAAGTTCAGTAGGTCAATGACCCTGAGCTATAATTCAAACAGTAAAGAAAGGCTAATTGCCCAAGTCCACCCCCCCACCCCCCACACATATAGCAGGAGCCCAACGCGTGTTTCGGCAGTAATGTCCGCCTCTCTCAAGGGTTTAGTAGTGTGCAAATACCCTCCCTTCGTCCCCTCCCTTATATGCACTTACAATTGACGCCAGAAAATAACCGCCCGTCATAAGTGGGCTGGGTCTCCGTTTCGGCACGCCCAAGTAATTTGCCGGTAAGAGGTCCCCCATTCACATATGTGAAGCAGGATGAACTGCGCATGCGTCAAGGACCAGCGCTCAGTCGGAAAAAGAGCGCATGCGTATGCACTCTGCCGGCATCAATGGAGTCCCCAGTGTATCAAACATCCCATAGAGGCTATTGCGCATGCGCCGGAGTTGGCGTTTAGCCAAAAGACGCGCATGCGTAAATCCTCACACAATAAGATACAAATTATCACACTATGTTGCTTTTATTATTTTTATTGTTGCTTTTTATTTTTATTAAAAAATAAATAAATAAATAAAAATAAATAAAAAGCAACATAGTGTGATAATTCTTGCTCCTCATTCTTTTTGTATATTTGTTAATATAAGGGTTAGGCCCTTTTTAGTACCCCAGTAATCCATTTCTTTGTATCCTTTTTGCTGGAATTTTTCCAGCTAAAAGTGCATTGTGTTTGTTATTATTATACACTGTCTGACAATGCAGGGATACTGGCTATCCAACAGCCCCAGTATAAAGCTATAACATTATTATACACTGTCTGACAATGCAGGGATATTGGCTATCCAACAGCCCAGTATAAAGCTATCACATTATTATACACTGTCTGACAATGCAGGGATACTGGCTATCCAACAGCCCCAGTATAAAGCTATCACATTATTATACACTGTCTGACAATGCAGGGATACTGGCTATCCAACCGCGCCAGTATAAAGTTATCACATTATTATACACTGTCTGACAAGGCAGGGATACTGGCTATCCAACCGCGCCAGTATAAAGCTATCACATTTTTATACACTGTCTGACAATGCAGGGATACTGGCTATCCAACAGCCCCAGAATAAAGCTATCACATTATTATACACTGTCTGACAATGCAGGGATACTGGCTATCCAACCGCGCCAGTATAGAGCTATAACATTATTATACACTGTCTGACAATGCAGGGATACTGGCTATTGCTATCCCACCATGCCAGTATATTGCCGTGGAGCTCTGTTACACACTCAGAAACATTACTGGGTGTATTATTGCTGTGGAGCTCTGTTATACACGCAGACACCTTACTGGGAGTATTATTGCTGTGGGGCTCTGTTATACATTCAGATACATTACTGGGAGTATTATTGCTGTGGAGCTCTGTTATACACTCAGACACATTACTGGGAGTATTATTGCTGTTGAGCTCTGTTATACACTCAGACACATTACTGGGAGTATTGTTGCTGTGGAGCTCAGTTATACACTCAGACACATTACTGGGAGTATTATTGCTGTGGAGCTCTGTTATACACTCAGACACATTACTGGGAGTATTATTGCTGTGGAGCTCTGTTATACTCAGACACATTACTGGGAGTATTATTGCTGTGGAGCTCTGTTATACACTCAGACACATTACTGGGAGTATTATTGCTGTGGAGCTCTGGTATACATTCAGACACATTACTGGGAGTATTATTGCTGTGGAGCTCTGTTATACATTCAGATACATTACTGGGAGTATTATTGCTGTTGAGCTCTGTTATACACTCAGACACATTACTGGGAGTATTATTGCTGTGGGGCTCTGTTATACATTCAGATACATTACTGGGAGTATTATTGCTGTGGAGCTCTGTTATACACTCAGGCACATTACTGGGAGTATTATTGCTGTGGGGCTCTGTTATACATTCAGACACATTACTGGGAGTATTATTGCTGTGGAGCTCTGTTATACACTCAGACACATTACTGGGAGTATTATTGCTGTGGAGCTCTGTTATACACCCAGACAAATTACTGGGAGTATTATTGCTGTGGAGCTCTGGTATACACCCAGACACATTACTGGAAGTATTATTGCTGTGGAGCTCTGTTATACACTCAGACACATTACTGGGAGTATTATTGCTGTGGAGCTCTGTTATACACTCAGACACATTACTGGTAGTATTATTGCTGTGGAGCTCTGTTATACGCTCAGGCACATTACTGGGAGTATTATTGCTGTGGAGCTCTGTTATACACCCAGACACATTACTGGGAGTATTATTGCTGTGGAGCTCTGTTACACACTCAGACACATTACTGGGAGTAGTATTGCTGTGGAGCTCTGTTACACACTCAGATACATTACTGGGAGTATTATTGCTGTAGAGCTCTGTTATACACCCAGACACATTACTGGGAGTATTATTACTGTGGAGCTCTGTTATACACTCAGACAAATTACTGGGAGTATTATTGCTGTGGAGCTCTGTTATACACTCAGACACATTACTGGGAGTATTATTACTGTGGAGCTCTGTTATACACTCAGACACATTACTGGGAGTATTATTGCTGTGGAACTCTGTTATACACTCAGACACATTACTGGGAGTATTATTGCTGTGGAACTCTGTTATACACTCAGACACACCAACAATATGGAGCTCCTAGAAAAGAGTGACTGTGGAAAAACCTAGCCACTTTAGATTGTGCGGTTATATGTCTAAAGGTTGTCCTAGAAAGCTGGTCCAATTCTGTTAGTTTCTGTATTTACTTATAACTGTAATAGAGAGCATTCGTATGCTAGTGACCGAAAGCCGCTAGCATTCCTATGGTAGTTTCACGAACAGTGACTTTCCACACTGTGCGTGAAACGAATAAAGTACCGAATGGGAGCCCACACACGGGGGGTCGTGTGGCTCCCATTAACCGATTGCAACATTGCAGCAAATTGATTTCCCGGGTGGAAAATACCGACCACGAGACGGCGGCCATCTTGGATTTCACTTTTGCCCAGTGTTTGGTCGTCGAGTGCCTGGAACTAAAATCGGCTACTCAACGGCACGAACACCGCTGGTCTTTCGGTGCTTTTTCCCCAATTGTGTATTCGTGACTTTTATGATGAATGTATATTAAAGTGTGTTTCGTGCGGCGTTCGGTTATTTATGCTGGGATCTGAGCGGTACTTTCACAAAGTGTGCGCTCAGACCCCAGCTATCTGCCGAATGGTCATTCGGTACAGTAGCACAAATAAAATATAAGTTACTGATTTTTGTGTGAAAAGCCGGTTCTTCTGTACGGAGGGATAATCCACTTAACAGGATATTCTGTGGGAGTATCCCTCTCGTACAGCAGTGCATGGTGGGAAAAATGTCCTGCATATTCAGTTCCCCATGTAGTCCCCTACTGTACAACCCCTGTAAAGTGATTAAGGAAACCACATAAATACTGGAGCATGTGAATAAAATCATCAGTGGACTCCCAGAACTGTGTTTCGTCCGGTTACTGGGGGATTTGGGATATTGCCTTCATTTTCAGCGCTTTACTTGGATTACTTTCTGTACCAGCAAAGATATTGGGATTTAACATTGCAGCTCCGCTACAGTGACAAAGGGATTCGGGCCCACAATAGGGACTGTCCTCCTATGCAGGGACATTTGGAAGGTATGAATTCCAGCATGGAGACTCGTTAACCTGAAATTGCCTGTTGTGTTCACTGAAACTATCATATCAAAGCCTTTCCATTCTTATAATTAGTGAGCTATATGTCATGGCACAATATCATGCTACCAGAGGATCATGGGAAAGGTTACTTTGCATGGAATGCCCTGTCTGTGCCTTTTCAGACAGCAGTGATGTTGTCAGAGTGTAATTTTACATATAATTAAACGGAGCTCTGTATAACACGAATCACACCAATTACAACTACTGTGAAATGCTGAATTTATTACCTATCCAGCGTGACAGCTCCGTCTTAATAAGTAATACATGTGAACAGTGTAACAATTAGAACAGATCTCAAACAAATCGTAAATCTGCCATTGAATAAACTGCGTTCCTAGGGCGAAATCAGTCAGTTTACTATCCGTAATACATTTCACTAATCTGGGATTATAGAGACATAATATAGAGGAAATTCTTCCATCACAGCGAGTTTATGGTAAATTCTCTGTGTTTCACGGTTTAGCGAATCTGCCCCGGTATGTCACATGACACAATATAGAATGAAACCAATAAGAAATGACAATGCGATCGGTTTATCATGTTCCTGGCATTGGGAGATAAATGATCAGAATGTTTATATCACATTCCTAATAGAAAGACGTATAACTCATATAAATACAATAAACACTGCGGCCAGCCATGGGAAAGTGGTTATGGTTTGTTATCGCTGTACAGGATGTTTCTGGAAGAATTCTGAGGATCCACGTCTTTATCAACTGGAGACGCACTCAGGAACTGTAAAACCTTATTCTCCATTCCAGACACAAACGAGACTTCTTCTCTGCTAAGCACCCCAAAACCTCTAGCTAGGAGAGAAAACAATATACTGAGAGACAGAGAGAGACAGTCAGAGACAGAGAGAGACAGGCACAGAGACAGAGAGAGAGAGTAAGAGACAGAGAGAGACAGAGAGATAGAAAGAGAGACAGCCACAGAGACAGAGAAAGACAGGCACAGAGACAGAGAGAGACAGGCACAGAGAGAGAGAGAGAGAGAGGCACAGAGACAGGCAGAGAGATAGAAAGAGGCACAGAGAGATAGAAAGAGAGAGACAGAGACGGACCGTTACAGAGACAGAGAGACACCAAGAGAGGCAGGCACAGAGAAAGAGAGACAGGCACAGAGACAGTCACAGAGACTTAGAGAGACAGAGACAGTCACAGAGACAGACAGTTACAGAGAAAGAGAGAGACAGAGAGAGAGACAGAGAGATAGAAAGAGGGTCAGAGAGAGACAGGCACAGAGACAGTCAAAGAGACTGAGAGACAGTCACAGAGACGGAGAGTCACAGACAGATAGAAAGAGAGACAGTCAGAGACTGAGAGAGACAGTCAGAGACTGAGAGAGACAGGCACAGAAAGACAGACAGTTACAGAGACAGAGAGATACAGTTACAGAGACAGTCACAGAGACAGAGAGAGACAGTCACAGAGACAGAGAGAGACAGTCACAGAGACAGTGTCCGGATCCTACCCTGACAAACAAGACTTTTTGTTCGGTTTATTCTGTTCCTTTAAACCCAAGTTCCTGCACTGATTATGTTTGACCACTAGTGACCTCCCTTGGCTCTAGTTCTGAAAACTTCCCTTATAATCCTCACCAACCAAGACTAATTGAGCAACCGACAAAAGGCTACACCCAACTCAGCACAGGGCCTTTACATTGAAGATGATGCTCATCCTGAAACACATCAGATCCTGGCTCCTGTGAACCAACCTGTGGACTTACCTTCTTTGATTCAATCCTGCTTACTACCAACCTTGCTCAATACCAGCCTGAACTACTCCCCAATCCTGCTTACTACCAAACCAGCTCAATACCAGCCTGAACTACTCGCCAATCCTGCTTACTACCAACCCTGCTCAATACCAGCCTGAACTACTCCTCAATCCAGCTTACTACCAAACCAGCTCAATACCAGCCTGAACTACTCCTCAATCCTGCTTACTACCAACCCTGCTCAATACCAGCCTGAACTACTCCTCAATCCTGCTTACTTCCAACCCTGCTCAATACCAGCCTGAATTACTCCTCAATCCTGCTTACTACCAACCCTGCTCAATACCAGCCTGAACTACTCCTCAATCCTGCTTACTACCAACCCTCCTCAATACCAGCCTGAACTACTCCTCAATCCTGCTTACGTCCAACCCTGCTCAATACCAGCCTGAACTACTCCTCAATCCTGCTTACTACCAACCCTGCTCAATACCAGCCTGAACTACTCCTCAATCCTGCTTAGTACCAAACCTGCTCAATACCAGCCTGAACTACTACTCAAACCTGCTTACTACCAAGCGGCTCAATACCAGCCTGAACTACTACTCAAAGCTGCTTACTACCAACCCTGCTCAATACTAGTCTGAACTACTACTCAATCCTGCTTACTACCAAACCAGCTCAATACCAGCCTGAAATACTCCTCAATCCTGCTTACTACCAACCCTGCTCAATACTAGTCTGAACTACTCCTAAATCCTGCTTACTACCAACCCTGCTCAATACCAGCCTGAACTACTCCTCAATCCTGCTTACTACCAACCCTGCTCAATACCAGCCTGAACTACCTCACCTGCTTAGTACCAAACCTGCTAATACTTTCAGCCTGAACTACTACTCAAACCTGCTTACTACCGCCGCTCAATACCAGCCTGAACTACTTCCTCACCCTGCTACTACCAACCCTGCTCAATACCAGTCTGAACTACTACTCAATCCTGCTTTACTACCAACCTGCCTGCCACCAGCCTGAAATACCTCAATCCTGCTTACTACCACCAAAACCAGCTCAATACTACAGCCTGGAACTACTGCCACCCTGCTACTACCAACCCTGCTCAATACCAGCCTGAACTACTTCCTCAATCCTGCTTACTACCAATCCTGCTCAATGCCAGCCTGAACTACTCCTCAATCCTGCTTCCTACCAACCCTGCTCAATACCAGCCTGAACTACTCCTCAATCCTGCTCACTTCCAACCCTGCTCAATACCAGCCTGAACTACTCCTCAATCCTGCTTACTACCAACCCTGCTCAATACCAGCCTGAACTACTCCTCAATCCTGCTTAGTACCAAACCTGCTCAATACCAGCCTGAACTACTACTCAAACCTGCTTACTACCAAGCGGCTCAATACCAGCCTGAACTACTACTCAAAGCTGCTTACTACCAACCCTGCTCAATACTAGTCTGAACTACTCCTAAATCCTGCTTACTACCAACCCTGCTCAATACTAGTCTGAACTACTACTCAAACCTGCTTACTACCAAGCGGCTCAATACCAGCCTGAACTACTCCTCAATCCTGCTTACTACCAACCCTGCTCAATACCAGCTCAGGGCCACCTCAACTTGCCAGTGCTCAAACCTGCCTGGGCCAGCCTGAACTACTCGCCAATCCTGCTTACTACCAACCCTGCTCAATACCAGCCTGAACTACTCCTCAATCCAGCTTACTACCAAACCAGCTCAATACCAGCCTGAACTACTCCCCAATCCTGCTTACTACCAACCCTGCTCAATACCAGCCTGAACTACTACTCTATCCTGCTTACTACCAACCCTGCTCAATACCAGCCTGAACTACTCCTCAATCCTGCTTACTACCAAACCAGCTCAATACCAGTCCGAACTACTCCTCAATCCTGCTTACTACCAACCCTGCTCAATACCAGTCCGAACTACTCCTCAATCCTGCTTATTACCAACCCTGCTCAATACCAGCCTGAACTACTCGCCAATCCTGCTTACTACCAACCGTGCTCAATGCCAGCCTGAACTACTCCTCAATGCTGCTTACTACCAAACCAGCTCAATACCAGCCTGAACTAATCCTCAATCCTGCTTACTACCAACCCTGCTCAATACCAGTCTGAACTACTCCTCAATCCTGCTTACTACCAACCCTGCTCAATACCAGCCTGAACTACTCCTCAATCCTGCTTACTACCAAACCTGCTCAATACCAGCCTGAACTACTACTCAATCCTGCTTACTACCAGCCCTGCTCAATACCAGCCTGAACTACTCCTCAATCCTGCTTACTACCAACCCTGCTCAATACCAGCCTGAACTACTCCTCAATCCTGCTTAGTACCAAACCTGCTCAATACCAGCCTGAACTACTACTCAAACCTGCTTACTACCAAGCGGCTCAATACCAGCCTGAACTACTCCTCAATCCTGCTTACTACCAACCCTGCTCAATACTAGTCTGAACTACTACTCAATCCTGCTTACTACCAACCCTGCTCAATACCAGCCTGAAATACTCCTCAATCCTGCTTACTACCAAACCAGCTCAATACCAGTCCGAACTACTCAATCCTGCTTACTACCAACCCTGCTCAATACCAGCCTGAACTACTCGCCAATCCTGCTTACTACCAACCGTGCTCAATACCAGCCTGAACTACTCCTCAATCCTGCTTACTACCAAACCAGCTCAATACCAGCCTGAACTAATCCTCAATCCTGCTTACTACCAACCCTGCTCAATACCAGTCTGAACTACTACTCAAACCTGCTTACTACCAAGCGGCTCAATACCAGCCTGAACTACTCCTCAATCCTGCTTACTACCAACCCTGCTCAATGCCAGCCTGAACTACTCCTCAATCCTGCTTACTACCAACCCTGCTCAATACCAGCCTGAACTACTCCTCAATCCTGCTTACTACCAACCCTGCTCAATACCAGCCTGAACTACTCCTCAATCCTGCTTACTACCAACCCTGCTCAATACCAGCCTGGGCTACTCCTCAATCCTGCTTACTACCAAACCAGCTCAATACCAGCCTGAACTACTACTCTATCCTGCTTACTACCAACCCTGCTCAATACCAGTCTGAACTACTCCTTAATGCTGCTTACTACCAACCCCGCTCAATACCAGCCTGAACTACTCCTCAATCCTGCTTACTACCAAACCAGCTCAATACCAGCCTGAACTACTCCTCAATCCTGCTTACTACCAAACCAGCTCAATACCAGCCTAAACTACTCCTCAATCCTGCTTACTACCAAACCAGCTCAATACCAGCCTGAACTACTCCTCAATCCTGCTTACTACCAACCGTGCTCAATGCCAGCCTGAACTACTCCTCAATCCTGCTTACTACCAACCCTGCTCAATACCAGTCTGAACTACTACTCAAACCTGCTTACTACCATCCCCGCTCAATACCAGTCTGAACTACTCCTCAATCCTGCTTACTACCAACCCCGCTCAATACCAGTCTGAACTATGCTTTATTTTACCCACATGATTTCTACCAGCCTTATCCATATATCTTGTCTTCTCCATACCTGCCTGCATAACCCCAATCTGGACCCTGTCTCACAGTAATATTATTTGGTGTTATTTTCCTCCTTGATCAATACTCGAAATTTAGGGCTGATTAACTAGATTTCTAAATTTCCATTAATCCTGCGACCTATTTGTTTTGTTATTTTTCCTTCTATTTTAACCTATACTTTTATCTGTAGGTTTTCTTATTATTTACTTTCATTCCTGTTTAATCTATTTAGGGCATATTGCCTGATTCCCTTTATTTCGGTTTTCTCTCTCCCTTTGCTATAATTTCTATAACAGGTGATACTCGAAAAATTAGAATATTGTGCAAAAGTTCATTTATTTCAGTAATGCAACGCAAAAGGGGAAACTAATATATAAGCAGGGCCGCCATCAGGGCATGACAACCATAACGGTTGTCATTGGCCCGGCGGTCCTGGGTGGCCCGGACTGCTCTGGGAGTCCCGGGCCCCACATTCCATTTGTGCGATTATCGCTATCTATATGTTCACCTGCGGACCCCGGCTACCTGTAGAATGTAGACGGGGACCAGTCAGCACATCTTAACTCTCCAGCAGCTCCTGTGCCTGTAAGTCTCGCGAGCTCCGCGGCCTGGCAGAGCGTTGTCACGGGTTACCATGGCAACGCTCCGCGTGGCAAACAGGCACAGCTTGCGAGAGTTACAGGCAGGAGGTGCTGGAAAGTTAAGATGTGCTGGCTGGTCCCCGTCTACATTCTACAGCGGCTGGCTCCCTCCACTATACCACCGGACCACCAGGGATACGATCTCCCCACTCCCTGTAAATGCCACCAAATAGGCTCCCCTCCCACCCCCCAATGCAGCCCCCTATTTTACACATTTACACACACTAAAACCACAACACAAACACTGCATTCCCCATACATCCATTATACAAATGTGCAATCTGTATCCATTTTACACACCACACAGGGCATCCTTGTGGGCGGACTCAGAATGGGCCCCCGGGGGCAGACTCGGGGGCGGGCCCAGGGGGCCCACACTTTGAACTGTGTCAAGGGCCCCAAAATTTCTGATGGCAGCCCTGTATATGAGATAGACGCATTACATGCAAAGCAAGGTAGTTCAAGCCATGATTTGTCATAAGTGCGATGATTATGGCTTACAGCTCATGAAAACCCCAAATCCACAATCTCAGTAAATTAGAATATTGTGAAAAGGTGCAATATTCTAGGCTCACAGTGTCCCACTCTAATCAGCTCAGTAAGCCATAACACCTGCAAAGGGTTTCTGAGCCTTTAAATGGTCTCTTAGTCTGGTTCAGTAGGAATCACAATCATGGGGAAGACTGCTGACCTGACAGTTGTGCAGAAAACCATCATTGACACCCTCCATAAGGAGGGAAAGCCTCAAAAGGTAATTGCAAAGGAAGTTGGATGTTCCCAAAGTGCTGTATCAAAGCACATTAATAGAAAGTTATGTGGAAGGGAAAAGAGTGGAAGAAAAGGGTGCACAAGCAGCAGGGATGACTACAGCCTGGAGAGGATTGTCAGGAAAAGGCCATTCAAAAGTGTTGGGGACTTTCACAAGGAGTGGACTGAGGCTGGAGGCAGTGCATCAAGAGCCATCACACACAGACGGATCCTGGACATGGGCTTCAGATGTCGTATTCCTCTTGTCAAGCTGTTCCTGATCAACAAACCATGTCTGAAGCGTCTTACCTGGACTAAAGAAAAACAGGTCCAAAGTCCTCTTTTCTGATGAGAGCAACTTTTGCACCTCATTTGGAAACCAATGACCCAGAGTCTGGAGGAAGAATGGAGAGGCACACACTGCAAGATGCTTGAAGTCCAGTGTGAAGTTTCCACAGTCTGTGTTGATTTGGGGAGCCATGTCATCTGCTGGTGTTGGTCCACTGTGCTTCATTAAGTCCAGAGTCAACGCAGCCGTCTACCAGGAGATTTTGTAGCACTTCATGCTTCCTTCCGCAGATGATCTTTATGGGGATGCTGACTTCATTTTCCAGCAGGACTTGGCTCCTGCCCACACTGCCAAAAGCACCAAAGCCTGGTTCAATGACCGTGGGATTACTGTGCTTGATTGGCCAGCAAACTCGCCTGACCTGAACCCCATGGAGAATCTATGGGGCATTGCCAAGAGAAAGATGAGAGACATGAGACCGAACAATGCAGAAGATCTGAAGGCCGCTACTGAAGCAGTGCGCACTTATGACAAATCACGGCTTGAACTATCTTGCTTTGCATGTCATGCGTCTATCTCATATATTAGTTTCCCCTTTTACGTTGCATTACTGAAATAAACGAACTTTTGCACGATATTCTAATTTTTTGAGTATAGCACAAATAAAGTACCTAAAGGCAACCCTGGCATACGTCTCCTCTCTGACCTTCTCAGAATCATGACAGACAGTCACAGAGAGCCAGTCACATAGACAGAAAGAGAGAGGGACATAGAGAAAGTCACATAGAGAGACATACAAAGAGTGAGACAGTTATATAGACAGAGACATAGAAAGAGGAGACGAAAGAGAGAGCACTGATGATGATGATGATAATTAAAGAGACACTACGGACGTTAATACGTTTCCCAGACATGCAGGCCCTGGGGAGATAGCGCAGCTAAGCGGACAAGGGCACATGTAGGAGTGTGGGGATAGATGCATGGGATTGGATGGGAAAGAGTGTGTGGGTGGGATTATGTTCTGTGTAAGTTAGTGTGGGGGAGGTCTTTCCTCAGTGCCACTTGGGATTCGGGCCAGCAAACAGCTTCCCTCCCACCCGCCCAATTAGTATATTTAGTCACAGCTAGCCGTGGGTATGTCCTTGCCAATTGAGTTTGAGGGGTTACGTTTAAGTATATGGAATGAGATGAACAAGTTTTTAAGGTCTCAACCTCCCCTGCTTCAAACGATTAACATTAGGTTGCCTGAGGTGTCGTGCCCATCGAGCGTGGATAAGGTCGGCTGATGACGGGCATTGGAAAGATATGATTTTTATGACGAGGGGGAGGTGAGAGGAAGTGGTGATTAGGAACCACTGTATGTTTATTGGCAAGGACGGTTGGGTCACTGTATAACACTATGGGTGGAGTTATATATGTATATATGTTAATTTATGCTTATTTATGTCTAACGTTTTTGGTTACAGAAAGAAGAGATTTAATAAATAAAGTTATGGATGTGTTACGTAGTAATTTAGTTTGTGATAATAAATGATGTGGCCTGTTTCATCCCTACTAAGTGGTCTGTCGTTATTGGGGGGTTGAATGGGGTTAGTTTTTGTGCTAGGCTGCATCGCGATTCCCCACTACGTACATACACGTAACATCACCGTAACCTAAACTCTAACCTGACCATAGAATTCCTTGCTGTCACCCTGACTTGCCCCGTATCTCTATCACCTCTCCCTGATCTGCCTCCTGTAGCAGCAGTGATTGTATGAACGCGGTGACGTTACGGTCTCACTAGAGTAATGTTTCAGATAATGTGTGTGAGTCGCGGGAAACGCTTGTCTTTGGCCCAATTCGCTCACCATGTGTTTACTGTAATAATGTCACTACACTTACCGGGACATATCGGGACGCACGCTGAGCAATCCGCCTGCAGTTTCTGATCTGTACAGAACTTTATACAGTCTTGCACAGGAACTTTACACACTGTAACACACAGCATGCCACCATTTATAAACATAGATATATAGCATGCCGCCATTTATATAGACATAATTTATAAACATAGACATAGAGCATGCCGCCCTTTATAAACATAGACATATAGCATGCCGCCATTTATAAACACACACATATAGCATGCCGCCATTTATAAACACACACATATAGCATGCCGCCATTTATAAACACACACACATAGCATGCCGCCATTTATAGACACACACATATAGCATGTCGCCATTTATAAACACACACATATAGCATGCCGCCATTTATAGACACACACATATAGCATGTCGCCATTTATAAACACACACATATAGCATGCCGCCATTTATAGACACACACATATAGCATGCCGCCATTTATAAACACACACATATAGCATGCCGCCATTTATAAACATAGACATATAGCATGCCGCCATTTATAAACACACACATATAGCATGCCGCCATTTATAGACACACACATATAGCATGCCGCCATTTATAAACACACACATATAGCATGCCGCCATTTATAAACACACACATATAGCATGCCGCCATTTATAAACACACATATAGCATGCTGCCATTTATAGACATACACATATAGCATGCCGCCATTTATAAACACACACATATAGCATGCCCCCATTTATAGACACTCATATATAGCATGCCGCCATTTATAAACACACATATAGCATGCTGCCATTTATAGACATACACATATAGCATGCCGCCATTTATAAACACACACATATAGCATGCCGCCATTTATAAACACACACATATAGCATGCTGCCATTTATAGACATAGACATATAGCATGCCGCCATTTATAAACACACACATATAGCATGCCGCCATTTATAAACACACACACATAGCATGCCGCCATTTATAACACACACATATAGCATGCCGCCATTTATAGACACACACATATAGCATGCCGCCATTTATAAACACACACATATAGCATGCCGCCATTTATAAACACACACATATAGCATGCCGCCATTTATAAACACACACATATAGCATGCTGCCATTTATAAACATAGACATATAGCATGCTGCCATTTATAAACACACACATATAGCATGCTGCCATTTATAGACACACACATATAGCATGCCGCCATTTATAGACACACACATATAGCATGCCGCCATTTATAAACACACACATATAGCATGCCGCCATTTATAAACACACACATATAGCATGCTGCCATTTATAAACATAGACATATAGCATGCTGCCATTTATAAACACACACATATAGCATGCCGCCATTTATAAACACACACATATAGCATGCCGCCATTTATAGACACCCACATATAGCATGCCGCCATAATAAATACACACACGCGGTATGCGCATTTATAAGTACACACATATATATGCCGCCATTTATAAACACACACATATAGCGCGCTGCCATTTATAGACACACACATATAGCATGCCGCCATTTATAAACACACACATATAGCATGCCGCCATTTATAGACACCCACATATAGCATGCCGCCATTTATAAACACACACATACAGTATGCCGCCATTTATAAACACACACATATAGCATGCCGCCATTTATAAACACACACATATAGTATGCCGCCATTTATAAACACACACATATAGCACGCTGCCATTTATAGACACCCACATATAGCATGCCGCCATTTATAAACACACACATACAGTATGCCGCCATTTATAAACACACACATATAGCATGCCGCCATTTATAAACACACACATATAGCATGCCGCCATTTATAGACACCCACATATAGCATGCCGCCATTTATAAACACACACATACAGTATGCCGCCATTTATAAACACACACATATAGCATGCCGCCATTTATAAACACACACATATAGCATGCCGCCATTTATAAACACACACATATAGCATGCCGCCATTTATAAACACACACATAGAGCATGCCGCCATTTATAAACATAGACATATAGCATGCCGCCATTTATAAACACACACATATAGCATGCCGCCATTTATAAACACACACATATAGCATGCCGCCATTTATAGACACACACATATAGCATGCCGCCATTTATAAACACACACATATAGCATGCCGCCATTTATAAACACACACACATAGTATGCCGCCATTTATAAACACACACATATAGTATGCCGCCATTTATAAACACACACATATAGCATGCCGCCATTTATAAACACACACATATAGCATGCTGCCATTTATAGACATACACATATAGCATGCCGCCATTTATAAACACACACATATAGCATGCCGCCATTTATAGACACACATATAGCATGCCGCCATTTATAAACACACACATATAGTATGCCGCCATTTATAAACACACACATATAGCATGCCGCCATTTATAAACATAGACATATAGCATGCCGCCATTTATAAACACACACACATAGCATGCCACGATTTATAGACATAGAATATGCTTAATGTAAGAAAACATTGCCTGGGGCAGTTAGAAATTAAAAAACGTAGAAATTAGTTACTTGCAGACTATCCCAAAACCCAGCGCACATTTAAATAACTGGAGGTTTTTACTCCAATGGCCAATAGATTGTAAACCCACCTGCCACGTCACGGCAAACCTCTTAGGTGGTCCTACACTGCCTTATTTAGCTTGCTTCCTTCAGCTTCAGGTAAAAAAATCTCTAACGAAACAGAGAGGGGTATTTTCTAAACCCCTTGTGACGAAGTGCCCTTCGCCACTTGTGCCTGGAGAGGACTGCTTGCCCGCCTCTTGCCCTGTGACTATGGCCCCTGGTTTGTATTGCCCTTTAAAAACATGATTTGGGCATAATGGATTTGTGTTGTGCTGCTGCTGGCCCTTTTAAGAACCATCTGGGGACATACTGTGGAGTTACTGGGTGGCCACCATTTCCTGTATCAGAAGCACATGGTGAGAACAATGGATGGCGGCCATTTTAACTCACAGACACTGTGTGGACTTTTCGACACGGTGCCATCTCGCCAGTATTTGTTGCACAGAGACATCGTGCAGTGGTTTTGGACTATACAACAGGGGACACATTATACAGTGATTGTTTTTCATTTAGCCTGTATATGTTCTGCAGAATCTGCATTAAATTGTATTTTCCAAAGTACTGAACGGATCAGGGTGAATTTTGGATATGTGGTTCACCCAGATCCCCCGGTTCCAAGGATATACGTTTTATGGGGTTATTGCATGTTTTGGGGTCCCTGTGTGTTTTATGAAATTGTAATGTTTCTGGCCAGCAGATAATTGAGCTTTGTGTATTGTAGAAACTCAATTATCTAGCCTGGCCCAGAGGAGGAGTTTTGTGTTCCATAAATTGTGAGTTCTGTGTGCCAGTAAATCAGTCTTGTTCCAGCATTAAGCCTTGGCTCATGTTTGGGGGAAGGGATACCTACACTCTGGGGATTGCTATAATCACTATACTCCCCAGGGTATGATCACAAAGTTCTGCTAAGAGCTTGTTCCTGCTCTCTGGGGAAAGAGAGGTTCACCCACTGGAAGCTGGATCCTGGCCTTGGGTCCAGGGTGGGTGGAGACAGCAGAGACCCTGTCACAGTTGCATCGCTGGAAGTGGGGTATGCAGTGCTGATGGTGTCGGTTGGAGTGCTTGGAGTCCTCGGCAAGCGCTAGGAGCATCGATTGGCGGAGGTACTCAGTCGGAGTGCCAGCGTTCCGTCACACCCCTACATACTTATTAACCTTTAATGGGGTGTAACATGGCTGTGCGATACAAAAGTGAATACAAATATATTTTAAAAAGTCCTGCGCTCACTCCCATCACTCCTGGGCAGCAGCAACCATAGTACACATCAGCCCCAGTACTTACAGTAAAACCATAAATAAGAGTTACCTGCGCACTTCCCAAATCCCGGTATATTTCTATAAATGGAAGTTTTTACTATCACTCCAGTGCCCACCCCATGTGCTCCCTATTAAGGGTTAATAAGTATGTCGGGGCTTGCTTTAGGAAAATCCCCCTCTCTGTCTCATTGGAGATTGCTGCCGCCCACCCCATGTGCTCCCTATTAAGGGTTAATAAGTATGTAGGGGGGGGCTTAGTTTAGGAAAATCCCCCTCTCTGTCTCACTGGAGATTGCTGCCGCCCACCCCATGTGCTCCCTATTAAGGGTTAATGCGTATGTAGGGGCTTGGTTTAGGAAAATCCCCCTCTCTGTCTCACTGGAGATTGCTGCCACCCACCCCATGTGCTCCCTATTAAGGGTTAATAAGTATGTAGGGGCTTAGTTTAGGAAAATCCCTCTCTCTGTCTCACTGGAGATTGCTGCCGCCCACCCCATGTGCTCCCTATTAAGGGTTAATAAGTATGTAGGGGCTTGGTTTAGGAATATCCCCCTCTCTGTCTCACTGGAGATTTTTTTCCTGAAGCTGAATTGTTAGTGTAGGGGTTTTTGTACTAACGTGGCAGGTGGGCTTCCCTCTAATGGCCACAGGAGTGCCACTAATAACCTCCCGTTATGGAAATATGTCCAGGGAGTTGAGCTGGAGCGCAGGTAACTCTTTTCTCCATTTTGTATTGGGGATGAGTGGACAGTTGCAGTCAGTCTCCCATGCGGTCAGTGGCTCAGTATTTTATAGCTATTCAGTAAACTGTGAATTGAAAGGAATCAACTGGCGAACAGTTAGGCGAATTTAGTTCTGCCGTTCAATTTTTAATTCGCTATATTACCGAGTCTAGTAAATAACAAGATTCAAGAAAAAGACATAGCTTCATGTGTTGGACAAGATATGCCCATCCCTGACGCAAAAGCGGACTGTGTGGATAATTAGGGCATAACCTGAATAAGATACAATGTATTAACTAATATGGATAACGTTCCAAAACTGGAGCCAAACCTCCAAACACTTTGGTTTGATTGTCTGTAAACCCCTCGTTCGTTTACCAACTCTGTGTGGTCCCCTGTTAACACCTCACAATCACCGACCACCCCTGGCTGCTAACCACAAATTGATCATTAGTGCAAGTGTTTTCCCTGTGTGGCCACTGTTCGTATAACCGAACACGTGCTCCTAGAATTGGCGGTCTTTTTGTCTCACATGATTGTCGACGGCCTGGAACTATATCTCGGATACGCGACCCCGCGAACACTCAGGAAACTGGTACCTACTTCCCGAACAGTTATCAAAAGGCGTTCGGGAGGCATGAAAAACTAGACATGGAGCATTCACTCCCTAATAGCCAGGGGGAGCATTCATCGGTGTTCGTGTGAAAGCCCTCGAAAGATGACCGATCGTTGCCTTGTTTCTATGGAACTGTTTTGAGGCATCACCTCGTGACCGACCGGTCAAAACTTCATTTGAATAAAGTTTCCGAACCACCGAAGGGATCTGAGCTCTGTTTCAGCAAAGTGGGTGCTCAGACCCAAGCTATTCGGTGATATGACTTTCGTGGGGTCCCTATAATATTAAAATGTATTTTTATGGAAAACTGTAAAATTGTGCATGTTTTCTGTATCTAAGAGATAATTGAGTTATAGCTTTCCCACTCAATTATCTCTCAGAAACAGAGACTATTGGGAGGAAAACCCTTGAATTTGATGTGGAGTCCCCTTGCTAGGGGTCAGTGTATAAAAGCAGTGTGTGGCCAAATTACACTCGGTTGACTCCCAGAACGATGTGTTGTCTAGTTGCTGGGGGAAAGGGTCTTGGATTATGTTACGGCACCCCCAGGCATAAAAGGGTTAAACCACCGTTTAGTCGATCTTCCCCTTCCAGAGATACAGGCACAGCTACTGCAGAACACCAAACTCCTGAACTGCATTCAAAATAGCACTCCAAACTCCCGAACTGGAACCTCACGAATAGCTGCTAGCAGACGAATAGGAAAAGCACCCAAGCGGCTTACACTCCTAGCAATCAGTCTCTATCAGCATACAGTAAATCCCCCCAAAGACGAGACAGAGCTCCGTGTTGAGGGTCAAGCAGTGGTCTGTTTAATGAGGGCTACCTGCCCAGCTTTTATGCAGGTCTCCCACCTGGTGGACACTCCCCTAGGGGACCAGATGGAAGACTGTGACAAAGACATTGTAGCAACCAATCACAGGGTACACACTTAGCCATTCCCCTTTCCTTACCCAGAACCCTCTGCTCTGCTCAGGGAGACAAAAGGTCTGTTTCAATCCACGAGGCTCTCTAGTGGCGGTCTGGTAGACATTCTGGTAGACAGCCACTGAAGGCAGACTTCGTGCTGCAATGTAAACATTGTTATTTCTCTGGAAATATTTTACATTGCAGCACAAGGGACACAGCACCCAGACCACCTCAATGAGCTGAAATGGTATAGTCTCCGTTTATTAACAGAGGAACCAAATGGCCAAAGAAAATGAGTTGTTATAGGATTATAGCAATTCTTCTTGAGGAGATTTACATTTTCAGTCTGATACGTTCAGCATTTACTTTGTTTTAAAGGACCACTCTAGGCACCCAGACCACTTCAGCTTAATGAAGTGGTCTGGGTGCCAGGTCCAGCTAGGCTTCACCCATTCTTTTATAAACATAGCAGTTTCAGAGAAGCCTTCCCCCAAAGCCTCTAGCGGCTGTCTCATTGAAAATCACAGTGAGAGCACGCCAGCGTCCATAGGAAAGCATTGTAAATGCTTTCCTATGCGACCAGCTGAATGCACGCGCAGCTCCTGCCGCGCGTTCGCATTCAGCCGACAGGGAGGAATGGAGGAGGATCGGAGGAGAAGAGCTCCCCACCCAGTGCTGGAAAAAGGTAAGTTTTAACCCCTTTCCCCTTCAAGAGCCGGGCGGGAGGGGGACCCTGAGGGTGGGGACACCCTCAGGGCACTATAGTGCCAGGAAAACGAGTATGTTTTCCTGGCACTATAGTGGTCCTTTAAGAGTCAGCTCAGTTACAATGTAACTCGAGTAATAGGTTATTAAAACACATTCTTCACTTTTGAATTCAGGCTGTAATTTAAAAGATTAAAGGGGCATTAAAGTCACCAGGACAACTACAACTTATTGTACATTATACAGCTTATTGTATAGTATACAGCTTATTTTGTACAGTCTACAGCTTATTGTACATTATACAGCTTATTGTACAGTATACAGCGTATTGTATTTGTTATGGTGAGTAGAATCATTACCTTCAGGCTTTTTGCAGTAAGCAATGTCTTTTCAGAGAAAATGCAGTGTTTACATTACAGCCTAGGGACAACTCCACTGACTACTCCTCAGTTGGCTGCTAGAGGTGCTTCCTGGGGCAGTGCTGCACAGTGTGACTGACATTCATTGTCTCCACCCTCTGCATGGAGAAACTGAACTTTCCTCATTGATTCAATGTATCTCTATGAGGAGATGCTGATTGGCCAGGGCTGTGTTTGACTTGTACTGGCTCTGCCCCTACAATCTCAGCCAATCCTATGGGGAAGCATTGTGATCGGCTCAGAGAATCACTTCAGGTCAGACGCAGACAGGGCAGCAGCACAAGGAGCTGTAGAATTGAATACAAGTAAGATTTTTCTATATTTGGGAGGGGGCAAGAGGAGGCCAGGGTTTTTAACACAATAGGGTCAGGAACACATGTTTGTGTTAGATGTGATGTTCCTGACCCTATAGTGTTCCTTTAAAGGGAAACTCCAGTGCCAGGAAAATAATCAGTTTTCCTGGCACTGCAGGTTCCCTCTCCCTCCCACCCCCCAATCCCCGGTTGCTGAAGGGGTGAAAACCCCTTCAGTAACTTACCTAAGGCAGCGACGATGTCCAACGTCGCTGCTTCTCCCTCCGTGCCGCTCCTCCTTCTGACTGCGTTGGCCGTTGGGCGAGACTGATCCCGCCCACCGGCCGGGGAGCCCTAATGCTTTCCTATGGGGAAATGAGCGACACTGGAGGTCCTCACACAGCGTTAGGACGTCCAGGGACTCTCTAGCACAGGTTTCCTGTGCTAGGAACCAGGAAGTGCTACTAGACAGCCACTAGAGGTGGAGTTAACCCTGCAAGGTAATTATTGCAGTTTATAAAAAAACTACAATAATTACACTTGCAGGGTTAAGGGTAGTGGGAGTTGGCACCCAGACCACTCCAATGGGCAGAAGTGGTCTGGGTGCCTGGAGTGTCCCTTTAATGTGAGCTCTGTGAGATTGCCTCGGACAGGATATAATCCTAGAACTCTTACTTGTTGGCCAGTTGGTTCCTCTGTTAATAATTTCACCTTTCATTTTATTTTTGTACATTAATTGTATGTGTCTTGTGTGTTATGTGGCGTTATACTTTAATAATAAAAAAAAATAAAAAATCGTTGGATTACCAAGAGGGATGGTAATTAAATGGTGGTAATTTCTGCGGTTTGGCTCCAGTTTTGGAACGTTTTCCATATTAGTTAACACAGAAAATAACCATGGAGTTAAAATGTCAATTATCAGAAATTCACATTGTAAGTCACAAAAGAGAAAAGATTCTTCGTCTGCCGTATTTCCAATTCCCACATTAGTAAATAATGTTATTCTCTCCACAATTATTGCACAGCATCAATCAATCACATTACAATTAATGAGCCATGCTAAAAGGGACACGGTATCAGATTCCAGGTTCTGCCTTGGGCGCAGCTAGATTTAGTTTATCATAAGAGAAGTCTATAAACAGACTAAAAGATCCTCTATGGGTCTTACCTACTCCAACAGACGTGGTTATGGAGCCATTGCAGTCACAAGACATTTTGTCCGTGGGTTTCGTGGGCACGGTGCATGCACTGCCGCTCATCTCATGAGCACAAACTGTATAAACAGATCAATAATCAATATGTATGGGGGTTTTAGTAGTGGAGAGGGGTGTTAGTAGTGGAGAGGGGGTGTAAGTGGTGGGAGAGCGGTTAGTGATGGGGAGTGGGGTTAGTGATGGGATTTAATAATGGAGAGGGGGTGTTAGTGGTGGGAGAGGGGGTGTTAGTGGTGGGAGAGGGGGTGTTAGTAGTGGGGAGTGGGTGATAGTGATAGGGAGGGAGTTATTGGTGGGAGAGGGCATATTGGTGATGGAGAGGGGTTGTTAGTGATGGGTAGGAGGGTTAGTGGTGGGAGAGACGATGTTAGTGATGGAGAGTGGGTGTCAGTGATGGAGAGTTGGTGTTAGTGATGGGGAAGGGGGGGGTTAGTGGTGGGAAAGGCGATGTTAGTGATGGAGAGGGGGGTTAGTGGTGGGAGAGGCGATGTTAGTGATGGAGAGGGGGTAAGTGATGGGAGAGGTGATGTTAGTGATGGAGAGGGGGGTTAGTGATGGAGAGGGGGGCTAGTGGTGGGGAGACTGAGCATTAATACTAAAGGGTTTTTAAAGAAACATTCCAAGCACCATAACCACTACGGCTAATTGCACTGCAGGGCATAGCTCAGAGGAGCTAACAGAAGTTTCTGTTTAGAAACATTGGTCTCTCCTATGTTACTACTTACAATGGGGAGCGACAGGGCACCCCTGGCACCATAACAACTACAATGCACTGTAGTGGTTATAGTGCTTCAAGTAGTACTGGTAATATTTCAATATGAGTCAGTTGTTATGAAAGATAGCTGTTTCTCACTATTTGCTTTGTAAGCTGTTACACCACTGCTGGATTGCAGCGCCGCACTGCTGGTGACCAAATAGAACTGCGTCCCATTTCTTAAAATCGTGAAGCACCAGGTTTTTTGGCGCAAGCAGGTTGCTTTAGCGCTGCTGAGGTCTGTCTCAGACGGTAACAAGGTAGAGAGATCGCCAGGTAATCCGCGGTCTGCCGTCTCTTCAAACCATTCCGTGTCTAGGGAGACAAGAACAGACGCTATTATCATTATTTAATTATCTATATAGCGCCAGCAGGTTCAGTAGCGCTGTACAATGGGGCTAATCTCTTAATACTCTATCAGGGCTGTTTACTAAAGCGAGAATTCAGAGTGAATTTAAGGCCAAAATAGCAGAACATCAGCTATTTTAACCTTAAATTTGAAATTCACGTTGAATTCTATTCAATATATAACACACACTCACACTCAGCGTAGTACTAATACACACTAAAACTCAGCTTAATACCGGTTTAATAAATAACACACTCACACTCAACATAGTACTAACACTTACACCTAGCGTAGTACTAACACACACTCTCACTTAGCGCAGTACCTGTTCAATAAATAACACACTCACACTCAGCATAGTACTAATACACACTCAGCGTAGTACCCGTTTAATAAATAACACACACTCACCCTCACTGCATTTGCAGATGAAGGACCTTTTCTCGTTGCAATTTGCGTCATTTAGAAATTGCGCCTCTGTGTTAATTTTCACGCAGTCTTTTAACCCTCCGTCCGCCATGTCATCTCTCAGAGATCTAAACACAGATATATTGACTGATTATCAATGAAAATTAACCCTTTAACATAGCTCACACCGCGCCTCCTCAAACACCTCACTCATCCGACCAAACAGCAGCGCCTTGCGCATGACGCCAGGACTCCTAATAACTCCTAATTACCTGCGTGAGCTTTGATAGGTTTCATGGGTATTCCGACCACAGAATAGTGAATGGTGGCCTCCGCCACAGAGCAAGGGTGATAATAATTCCCACACAATCTCTAATATCGACAGAGGGATTCGGATAAACTGAGGGACTGGGCATTTCATTAATGAAAGGGACAATAAAGCACGCTGTAGTGGTTATGGTGCCAGCAGTGCCCTGGCCCCCGCTCCCCCCACTGTAATTACCCAAATTGTGATTTATCCTTAGACCTTGTTGGACTTTTCTAGCCTAGATTACTATGAAAACAATGTGTGATATACGTGTGTAAATAGCGTGATATATTACTATGGAAATAGCGTGATATATTATTACTATGTAAATAACGGGATATATTACCATGTACATAACATGTAATTTATTACTAGTGATGTCCCGAACGGTTCGCCGAACGGTTTGCGAACGGTTCCCCGCGGACTCATCATTGAGTAAACTTTGACCCTGTACCTCACAGTCAGCAGACACATTCCAGCCAATCACCAGCAGACCCTCCCTCCCTCCCAGACCCTCCCACCTCCTGGACAGCATCCATTTTGAAGCTGCATTCTTAGTGAGCTGTCCAGTAGGTGGGAGGGTCTGGGAGGGAGGGTCTGCTGCTGATTGGCTGGAATGTGTCTGCTTACTGTGAGGTACAGGGTCAAAGTTTACTCAATGATGAGTCTGTGGCGAACCGTTCGTGGCGAACCGTTCGGGACATCACTATTTATTACTATGGAAATAACATGTAACGGTTTGTCTCTGACACCTTCTCCCTGCATGGACCCCAAATGAGCAATCTGTTGACACTCTCAGCCAATGAGCTACCCCAGCCATTATTGGCCATGTATTAATTCACATTATTGGGCATTTATTAATTCACATTATTGGCCATTTAATAATTCACATTATTGGCCATTTAATAATTCGCATTATTGGCCATTTATTAATTCACATTATTGGCTATTTATTAATTCTCATTATTGGCCATGTATTAATTCACATTATTGGCTATTACATAATTTACAATATTGGGCATTTATTAATTCACATTATTGGCCATTTATTAATTCACATTATTGGGCATTTATTAATTCACATTATTGGCCATTTAATAATTCTCATTATTGGCCATTTATTAATTCACATTATTGGCCATTTAATAATTCACATTATTGGGCATTTGATAATTCACATTAGCCATTAAATAATTCACATGATTGGCCATTTATTAATTCACATTATTGGCTATTACATAATTTACAATATTGGCTATTTATTAATTCACATTATTGGCTATTACATAATTCACATTATTGGCTATTACATAATTCACATTATTGGCCATTTAATATTTCTCATTATTGGCCATTTATTAATTCACATTATTGGCTATTTATTAATTGTCATTATTGGCCATGTATTAATTCACATTATTGGCTATTACATAATTTACAATATTGGGCATTTATTAATTCACATTATTGGCCATTTATTAATTCACATTATTGGGCATTTATTAATTCACATTATTTTCCATTTAATAATTCTCATTATTGGCCATTTATTAATTCACATTATTGGCCATTTAATAATTCACATTATTGGGCATTTGACAATTCACATTAACCATTAAATAATTCACATGATTGGCCATTTATTAATTCACATTATTGGCTATTACATAATTTACAATATTGGCTATTTATTAATTCACATTATTGGCTATTACATAATTCACATTATTGGCCATTTAATAATTCTCATTATTGGCCATTTATTCATTCACATTATTGGGCATTTAATAATTCTCATTATTGGCCATTTATTCATTCACATTATTGGGCATTTATTAATTCTCATTATTAGCCATTTATTCATTCACATTATTGGGCATTTATTAATTCTCATTATTAGCCATTTATTAATTCACATTATTGGCCATTTATTAATTCTCATTATTGGGCATTTACTAATTGACATTATTGGGCATTTATTAATTCACATTATTGGCCATTTAATAAGTCACATTAGCCATTAAATGATTTACATTATTGGCCATTTAATATTTCTCATTATTGGCCATTTAATATTTCTCATTATTGGCCATTTAATAATTCTCTTTATTAGCCATGTTAATGGGATTCAAAGCCTCCCAATACTGGAGGAAAATGTGGTGTGATCTACTGCCTCCGATTGGTTACTGCGCGAATTACATGCAAACGCAGGATCCTTTACATTAAAGGTATATTCCTACTGCCCCCGTGTGGGTTACAGTGCAAACTGCATTAATATCTGATTCAATTCCTACAAATTAGTAAAATATTTGCACACATTACTACATTTACATGGGAGGGGAAAAAAAGCAATCTAGATTTTTCCACTGACAGTTTTATGAAATGCCGTATTCATTCAATGTGAAAACTCACTGCCAGGGGTGTGTGCAGCCTTGGGCAATAGGAGGTAAGTACTCGCTGTTGAGGCTGCCCTTCCTTTGATTTCATTAATGCCTCTGGGGCAGTGCCTAGTACCCCCAATGTGTAAATAGAATTAGTTTTTACCCCCAGTAAGTCAGGGGATATTCCTTGATTTTTTCGATATCCTTAGTGATATGATAACGTCACTCACTGCGCAACCTCTGGGCTGATCGACTCTCCCGTGGTCCATACAAACACGGACTCCACGTTCTGATCATTGAGTCCTGTCCACGAAGACCCTTTAAACAAGGAGCAGACCGCGTTCTGGAAGAGAGAAGATTTATTATTATTACATTATTATTATTTACACTTTATTTACTCTGGGACTAAGTCGATTCAGGGATATACTCACTGAACATGAACGGTAACGTTTTAACATTTAAATTTGTTTCCGACGCAGTTTTTTTCTTATGAATTTTACATCAGTTCTCAATTCTGCGCAATTCTCTGTTTAGAATTTAGAAATAACTTTTCACCTTTTCCTTGGTTGATGTTAAGTACAGGAGCTGTGTCCCTTTATAACTGTTACAGATTAGCCGAGCCTCTTGCCAGCTCACCGAGAGCGAAGGATCCTGGAAATAACAGCTCCCTCGCCAATGCTGCCATTTTGGATCCACCGGGCAGCGACTTAGCAAACCTACGGGAGAAATCAAACAAAATCTTATTAAATGAGAACTGCTTTGGTTGTAGTAACCCAGGCTGGTATGGTGTCCGACCGTGAAAAATAATAATAAAGAAATTAAAGGATAAACTGAACTGAGATCCGACGCTGAGGCCATGTTCTCCCGGCAGCCCGATCCCCCTGTAGTGGCATCACTCCCCCTCGCATGAAAAGCGGGCTCAGGGGAGGACGTGAGCAGCATGGAATGTGCGAGCGCCATTGATTGTCAGTCGCCAACATTCCATGTGTGCGGACGGCAGTCGCCAAATATGCTCAAAATTAACATCAGAGAGCTCAGAACTCTCGTTGCTTGTTATATGAAAAATGTGATTAAAGCAAGTGTGGTATCAACATAATGTATAAAGCATCCACATATCCCAGAGTGCAGTACAATGTTCATTTAGCTATTCTATGAAAATGTTCTTTGTTGTGCGGATTGTCGTTCCTGTAATTAGTTTGCACATGGTACACAGCAATTGTACGCCATTCCGATCCGCTACGCTATTTTTAAGCAATTTGTTTTGTGAGGATTGGGATTGCGTTGATTTGCTGTGGCTGCGTAAATGAAAGAATATGAAATATGGAAAATATCTGATTACAAAAAAAATCCCTTCGCTGTAGCAACATAGTGATGGCAGCCTATGGAACCAAAGGCATTGATAGCTTCAATTGCCTTACGGCTGCGGAAGAATCTTGGGAAACGTAGGCCGAAGGGCTGCAATACCCAAAGTTAGCCCACCCTTCACTATGCTAGTAGGTAATATTACTGAGACCTACCTTCTTTACCCTCACATATAAATAAAGATGGCAGTTGGCAGGATCGCACCACTCGCTCTCCACCAGCTGTGATGGCGGGACAGTCCGATGTCATCCCCGCGCCACTTGCCTGCAGCCTGGAAAAAGAATTAATTGTGAACCATTCACTTACTGACCCGACGTCTTCACTGGAGTATTCTAAGACCTTCCACGGCTCCATTCGTCAATCTGACACATAATAAATTAGTGTCATGTGACCAATGGACAATAATGGATCATTTATCCATTTTCATGCAAATTCCTGAGATACGCACAGAGCTTACTTCCATAAAATTTGCAGTTTCTTTATTTCAGAATTAGCAGTTAGCTCTGAAAGGTCAATTATTTTTGCGCACAAATAGCAGGTTAGAAATGCTATTCTATAGTCTCCTGATAAATAGCAATATTTCCCATAAGACAGAGTGAGTTGGAGGTGAATTATGGGAACTGTAGTTTAACGTAGTGTGGAAGTCATAGTTTAGACTGTAAAGGTTCAGGACAATGGCAAACAGACCTGGCCGATGTATGCCCATTACCGTACCCAACACTGTATTGTACTGTCACTATTTAAAATATACTTTACCAGTAAGTACCGCTTTCAGTCCCAGAATCCTGTGTAATTCGCTGAATGGCCTTCACAATCCAGCTCTAAAGGTAAAACAATAAAGAGTAATTAGTTTCTATATTACAGCAGATGTTTCCACACATACTGTCACCTTTATGGTCCCATGGTTGGCAGAGAAGCCTCAGCACAGGGTAGGGGGGGAACCAGTGCAGTGACAGCCCCCAACACTTTCTACAAAAGTAACAACCTTAGAATACCTGAAGAACACGGAGATTCTGCGATAAAGGACTAAATACGGAGCAATCACCATGGAAACCAATAACATGTCTGCAAACCTTTAGCACTTTGCACCCAAAATAGCACTGTTTTTGTGTTGATAAATCTCCAACTAAATGTTCGATAATTTTATCATTACCGTTATCTATAACAAACAAGACGGGTGGATTTATAACGTGCATTACGCTAAATCGCTATCTTTAACACATTTATACAAAGCGTCTCCCAGGTGTTTGGTTAGTCTCCATAAATTACATTTTTACAATTACCTGCAGTGGACTCTGTGCTGTACAGGTTTTGATGATTACAAACTCATGTTAAAGGAAATTCCTGTTAATTTTATCAAAAGTACAAAAATAGAAGCAAAAACCAAATCCTCTTATCTATGATTGTTACTGGACCCGGTACGAAACCTTTTCTGTGTCTGTATCCACAGTCAGAAGGTTCGTTTCTCGAAATCTCTCACAGAACAGGGATGAATCTGGAGCAGTTTTACCGGTTGTCGTCTCTATATAATAACAGCCTTTATTCCATAATCGCCAACGGTCACCAGGGCAGAGGGTGCTGATCAGAGCTGCATCAAGAAAAAACACCCACAATACAGCCATTAGATCTCAGCCAGGAAATATAATTAGTACAGCCAGTACAGAATTCTAGTAAATACACTAAGTACAGTATATATAGTACGTACAGTTAGTACAGTTAGTACAATACAGTAAGTAGAGTAAATACAGTAAGTATAGCCAGTACAGAATTATAGTAAATACACTAAGTATAGTCAGTACAGTACAATAGAGTAGAGCAAAAAAACGGAGCACAAGAGTATACTGAGAACGGACAGCAGACGAAATAACCTGCCCTTCGGTGGGTCCCCGGTGGGTAGATCTCAAGCTGGTTTTAGCGCATCTTGTGCCATTACAGAGAGAACATTGCTGGCATTTTGGATCTGGACTGCCCGTACAGGTGGGATCAGTCTGATATGCTTCAGATATGTTTTCTCTGCTTTCAGTGGGTAGACCTCTCCTACTCTAGAGAGTGTAGCAGGATAGTCCTTACAAGTTGCCACCACATAAGGATACAATGAGGAGAAGTGGACTGTTCTGCATGATCATCAGCAGTGGGTCAACATCAACGGGCAGGAGGCAAGGTGCCTGAGAGACAATAGCGCCACCCTCACCCTAGTACAGCCACACAAGATAAAGTCACAAGCCCGAACCAACAAAACCTGGTGACCATAATATTGCAAGCCCGCCAGGGGGAGCGGTCGCACTCCGTAGGACCCTGGTACCCCCCAAGGTTTTGAACAGGAACAGGGGGCAGACCACACATTAGAAGAGTATAGGAAGGTGGCAGAGTCCCCCCAGGGAGATATAGCACATGAAAGGTTTTAATGGGAGAAGGGGTTATTATACAGGGTGACACGGGGATCGGAGCTGAGCAAGTAGCGAAAAGGCAGCAGATAGTGCCCTCTAAATATAGGGCAGAGCTTCTCAAGCTCAGCCCCGACATTCCACTAGCAGGACATCTGGGTATTCTGAAAACTAAAGACCGGTTAACCCAGACCTTCTTCTGGACAGGGATCACACGTGACCTGCAAAATTACTGCAGGAAGTGTGATGCCTGCCAAAAGATAGGGAAGAGTGGTGGCCTCCCGAGGCCCAAACTATACTCCTTGCCCCTAATAGAAGAACCCTTCCACCAAGTAGCGGTGGACTTGATAGGCCCCCTTTATAAGCCCAGTACCTCGGGTAAGAGCTACATCCTACGGTGGTAGGTTATGCTATTAGATATCCAGGGGCAGTCACTTCCCAGACAGGTAGTGTGGTCCCCGGAGTGCGAGGCCGCTTTCCAGAGACTCTAGACAGCGCTGAGCGAGGCACCTGTAATGGCTGCCCCAACCCATACTAAAAAGTTTCTTGTCCACACAGATGCCTCCATGTTTGGGCTTGGAGCCGTGCTAAGCCAAGTGGGGGATGATGAAATGGAGCACCTGGTGGCATATCTCAGCCAAAAACTGTTAACCAGGGAAGTCAGCTATGCCACCATGGAAAAAGAATGTTTGGATCTTGTATGGCATTAAAGAAATTGCAGCCCTATCTCTATGGTCATCCCTTCACTTTGATGACAGACCACAACCCCCTCACATCTGGCTGAACAGAGTCGCTGGAGATTAGACATGTGCACAAGTGAAATTTTCGTTTCGTATGCATGAATTCGTACTAACTAAAAATGTAATTCGTCCATTCCGAATTTAGTCTCTAAAACATTCGTTTTTCAGATTAATTTTGGTAAAAATAATTATTTTTCGTCCATTAAGACAAAAATAACACTGCACATGCGAAAAAAAAAAAAAAGGAAGGAAGGAAGGAAGAACGGAGCCAGCAGCGCTACTAGCTCCCTCCTTGTAATAAATAACTATTCCTACTCCCTGCATTAAAACCTATGGGGGTCACTATGATCCCCATATTAATGATTAATTACTGCTCTTGCGGTTTTGCACTTAAGTTGCTGGTGTTATCTGGTGTTCTAATGGGGTACAGGGGTGGTCCTCGTTCGGGAGACGAATGGATTCTGTTCGTATGAAGTACTCCCGAACGGAAAAAGGATAAAACATACGAAATAAAGGGGAAAACATACAAATAGGTGGTAAGTTCCGGCCCAAGACTCTTACACACACGGGTTAAGTCTCCTGCTGCTGCAGGGAGATCCAGGTTTTTTTGTTTCTCCTAAGTGCTGTGGGGGTTAATTCTCCTGCAGCACGGAGTCTATTAAACAAAAGAACTGAAACAAAAAGGTGCATTCGGTATTTGCCCTTTCGTTTCATATATAATTCGTTTGTAGGACTTTTGTTTATGTTATAGTAAACAAATACGAAAAAGTCAGAAAATTCGTCCGATAACGAATGCACATGTCTACAGGAGATAAACCCTGTTTGCTGCACTGGTGTCTTGCAACCCTACAATTTCAGTACAGGCCAGGCAAACAAAACGGCAATGCAGATGGATTATTCAGGCTGACGGAATTGGAACCGTAATTATTTTTCCTGGACATCCCCAAGCCAACCTGTCAGGGTCTAGGTGGGTGTGTGGCACCATAGAACTGGGGGGGAGCCATGTGACAAAACTATATACTTTATTCCCCAAGTTACTTTCTCTGAATTCGGTAGATAAATCTACCGAACATCGACCATCCCCCTGGTTCATTAAGTTCAAAGAAACCACAGAATTAAGTGCTTTCTCTGTTAGGCACCCCGACTGGGTACCTCCACCAATCACGCTTCCTAGTGCTCTAGTACCATAAGCACTGCACCGGACACCATAACCACCGTAGCCCCCTTAGCCACTGCAGTTTTGCTGGGGTCTCGACGTCTCTTCTCACTCTGGACCAAACACCTGGATTCAGCTCCCAGTGGGATTCAGCTCCTCCAAGAGAGTATAGCTGTATAGCTAGTAAAAGTAAAAGTGATATAGTAGTATAGCTGTTCCCCCCACACATGAGCCAATGCTTAATGCTTGGAGTCATCTCTTTATTAGAGGCCACACATGGCCTTTTAAGCAATAGCTAATGCAAGGGGTTTTCTATACAAAACAACAGGGTAATCCCTCCCCTGTGCCTGAAAGATAACTGAGTCAGGAACTGTACAAACTTAATTATCTCCAGGCACAGAAAACACACATTTTACAGACACCCCAAAAGTACGACCAAAACACATGAAAACCCCACAAAAGTCACATCCCCTGATAGCCCCGATCTGGGTGACCAGCATATCCAAAAATCACCCAGATCGGTACAGGGGTTCGGGTTTTCAATGGAAGTCATAATTTGACCGACTGCACACATGGTCCTATGCCCAAAACAGTTCCAGGGAAAAAGTGGTAGCTGTCGGTCACGTTCGGTAGTTTAAAACTAACAAACTACTGAACGTAGACAATAGTCATACCGTGTAGCTTGTTCCCCTCATCCAGACGAACTATTCCACCAAACAGTGTCCTTCCAGGTGGTGTAGAAATGAATGCAGGCGATGATGGAAGTCCAGCGGTGTTCGGGAGTTTCAGTGTCCGATTTCAGTTCCATGAGCTCGACGACTAAACACCGCTGCCTCCGTTCATGGGAACAAGATCGCCGCCACCTCATGGTCGTTCATACAAACTGCGGCCACCCAGACAGACAATTAGAACACTGTGGTTAGAATCGTTAAGAGGTGATGATAGGGCTTAACAAGCTACCAGGTGGTCCATAGTTCATGGGCATGTTCGGTTCCCGAACAGTATGGAGAAATGGCACAAACCAAGTCTTTTCTTCATGGCTTTTCCAGGGCCCTTAGTCCTGGGTCAAGAGGCTGGCAAGCAGGCTCCTCCAGGAGCCCGTGGTGAGGTTACTTTCACCACAGTTCGTATAACCGAACACCACGTGCTGGAGAAAATGGTGGCTATCTTGTCGCATAAACGCAAACAGCGGGACTTGGTTGTGGAGTGTCTGGAACTCTAAGTCGGACACTCAACCTCGCGAACAACCACAGATGAAAAGATACAAATGCCTGCATCTTTCCGCGACAAGCCAGGAGAGCGCCGTTCGGGAGGTTTGTTCGCACGAACAAGGCGAACAAAAGCTACCTATAAGCCAGGGGAACCGTTTGTCTTTTTGTTCAGTTTGGAACTCCCGAAATGGACCGACTGTTACCATTGAAACTCTGGAACGGATTTGGGCAGACGCCTCTTGAGGGGTTGGTCAAAACTTTACCCCAGTGGCGATTCGGCTGTATTCATGGGACCTGAGCGCTATTTAGATAACTTGGGCACTCAGACCCAAGCTATCCGGGGATATAATATTTGTGGGGATTCCTTATTGTCTTATATGTGTTTCTATGTATTTTTAATATTTGATGTTTTTATGCAGTCATCCTAACTCAGAAATTCATGGGCGTGTTGTGGGAGTGTTATGGGTGTATTTGACTGTATCACTGATGTGTATAAAAGCAGGCCGTCTGGCCAGAATAAAATATTTCTGATGTACCCTTCATCAAGTCTCGACTGATGTTTGGGTATGTGACTGACAAACCGCTGGTTTTACTTTATGCAATTTGGATTTCGGGAACGGACGAATCAGCACTCCAGGCGAACAGGCTATAGTCAAAGTCCCTAGCCTTTCGGGAGCATACGAACGAATGGGTATACGAAATACCAACCATTCGTTACACAGTAAATATAGTACGTACAGTTAGTATAATATAGTAAGTACAGCCAATACAGTAAATATAGTATGTATAGTTAGTACAATACAGTAAGTGTAGCCAATAGAGTAAATATAGTATATACAGTCAGTACAATACAGTAAGTACAGTCAGTACAATACAGTAAGTACAGTTAGAACAGTAAGTACAGTTAATGCAGTCAGTATAATAAATGTAGTGCAGTAAATGTGATAAGTACAGAAATAATAGTCAGCAAAGTAAATTCAGTAAGTACAGTTCGTACAATACAGTAAGTATAATAAATATAGTACATACTGTCAGTACTATACAGTAAGTACAGTAAATGCAGTAAGACAGTCAGTACAGTAAATATAGTAAATGCAATAAGTATAGCAATACAGTTAGTACAGTCAGTATAGTAGAACAGTACACACAGTTAGTACAGTCATACAGTAAGTACAGTCAGTATAGTAAATACAGTAGGTACAGTGAATACAGTCAGCACAGTTGGTACAGTAATACAGTTAAAACAGTCAGTATAGTAAATAGTACAGCCAGTATAGTAAATACAGTCAGTACGGTAATACAGTTAGTACAGTCAGCATAGTAAATACAGTTAGTACAGTCAGTACAGTTAGAACAGCTAGTATATTAAATACAGTCAGTACAGTAACTACCGTTAATACAGTAATACAGTTAGAACTGTCAGTACAGTTAAAACAGTAATACAGTCATTACAGTCATTACAGTCATTACAGTCAGTATATTAAATACAGTCATTACAGTAATACAGTTAATAGAGTAATGCAGTTAGTACAGTAATGTAGCTAGTACAGTCAGCACAGTCAGTACAGTAAGTATAGTAATACAGTTAGTACAGTCAGTACAGTAAACACAGTCAGCATAGTACAACAGTAAATAAAGTAATATAGAAATACAGTCAGTACAGTAAATACAGCCAGTACAGTCAGTATATTAAATACAGTCAGTACAGTAAATACAGTTAGTGCAGTCAGTATAGTAAATACAGTTAATACAGGAATACAGTCAGTACAGTAAATACAGTCAGTACAGTCAGTACAGTCAGTATATTAAATACAGTCAGTATAGTAAATACAGTTTATACAGTAATACAGTTAGCACAGTAAGTGTATCATAACTAATAAAGACTGACCGTATACACAATCCATTAATAGTGGTGTTTTGGACACACAAGTCTGTGTACCCTGGCACTCCCCCTGCGCAGAATTACACACCAATCCTGTCATGCAGACTGGACATCTCTGAGCACATCTGGGGCCATAATACCCCACTGAGCAAGCTGGAGGCAAAACAGATTGTATTATTAATATCAGGCTGTGTTAAATAATAGCTTATATAATAGCATGAACCCGTTTATCACCAATAATGTGTATGTTGGTTTCCCTATACTGTTACATGGGGTTATTAACAAAATATAAATTACGGCGGATGCCTAGGGATCATGAGTCAGACAAGGCCCTGACGTGTGTGGACTGTGTGCGTCCTGTTTGCCAGCAGGTTTATCTGTTACCTGATCTCAGGTAGGCTGTGCCCGCCACGAGTTGGTGCTTTACCAGCTGGGTTCCACTAACAGAGAAATACATGCCATTCCAGAGGGTCACCCCAGTGCATTGTGGGATATTACTCAGACACCCCAACTCTGCAGCCCTCAGTACTGGGTAACCGGCCATACTCTGCGGCAGAGGTTCCAGAATGATCATCCCCGGGATTGGCTGGAAGGGGGTCCGGACTACAGGAAAACAAAATATAATAATCAGAATGTGTACACGGGTGGATCCGTCAACACCTGTCCAAATTGATCCCCCATTTCTTCCCGACTCGAATCCTCCATTCGTTCAATTCATTTCTGAAGATATTTGGCCTTGCGGTGTCTTCACCATGCTCAGAGAGGAACTTACTTTGTATTTAGAGACACCATTACATGTAGCCCCAGACTACACCTATATGCTAATAATATCCGAGAGGGGACACTTATCTCGTATTTAGAGAATCCATTACAGACTGCCCCGGACTATACCTGTATGATAATATCCGAGAAGGGGACTTACCTCATATTTAGATTCACCATTACAGGCCGCCCCAGACTATACCTGTATGGTAATAATATCCGAGAAGGGGCCTTAACTCGTATTTAGATTCACCATTACAGGCCGCCCCAGACTATACCTGTATGGTAATAATATCCAAGAAGGGGCCTTAACTCGTATTTAGAGTCACCATTACAGGCTGCCCCAGACTATACCTGTATGGTAATAATATCCGAGAAGGGGACTTACCTCGTATTTAGATTCACCATTACAGGCCGCCCCAGACTATACCTGTATGGTAATAATATCCGAGAAGGGGACTTACCTCGTATTTAGATTCACCATTACAGGCCGCCCCAGACTATACCTGTATGGTAATAATATCCGAGAAGGGAACTTACCTCGTATTTAGATTCACCATAACAGGCCGCCCCAGACTATACCTGTATGGTAATAATATCCGAGAAGGGGACTTACCTCGTATTTAGATTCACCATTACAGGCCGCCCCAGACTATACCTGTATGGTAATAATATCCGAGAAGGGGACTTACCTCGTATTTAGATTCACCATTACAGGCCGCCCCAGACTATACCGTTATAGGTTATGGGAGCGCTAGTAAGTAAGCCTATCCCGAATAGGTCAGCGGGGCACATGTTCATCTATTAAACCGCCTTTATTTTCCGAGTAATAGAAATAAACTCTTACCAGACTGCTCGCACACCCAGCGGTAAGAGAGAACGCATTCCTGGGCGGCCAAAGACGCTGGCGCAGGGGTGATGACAACACAGAAAGTGTTCTTTATATAACCAAGTGGTGTAACAGAAAACCTGAAAAGATCAGAAATCGGTCAATCTCCCAGAATGCATCTGGTGTAAATTATAATAATTGAGATTATTCTGGGTTTCTGCGGAGTGGGAAATACTCTACATATTACTTTGACATCTTATATCATAACTATTAAACAGTGAAATGCCTGCCAATATAAGGAGAATTCCGCTATATTACACTCCTGACTGGTTTTACTGATTTTACCATTACATTGTCAGCCTAGTTATATCTTACCAGGAAGCAGAGACAGTCGGGGTCTGGCCGTCGGCCCAGGTCCATATAAGACCCCTGGATGTTGTACTCAGACCGGTCCAAGCCTGATCACTTATCATAGAGGACACCCATTCCTGCAGAGACACCAAGAATGCAGTATGTAATTATAAAGTCTTAGTAATATTTATCCGCATGCTATATAACATGTATTTATATAGTCTAATATTTATTGTGACGCTGTGTAACAAGTATTTATATAGTCTATATAATATTTATCGTGACACTGTGTAATATGTATTTATATAGTCTATATAATATTTATCGTGATGCTGTGTAATAAGTATTTATATAGTCTATATACTATTTATTGTGACGCTATATAATATGTATTTATATAGTCTATGTAATATTTATCGTGACACTATATAATATGTATTTATATAGTCTATGTAATATTTATCGTGACACTATATAATATGTATTTATATAGTCTATATAATATTTATCGTGACACTGTGTAATAAGTATTTATAGAGTCTATATAATATTTATTGTGACGCTATATAATATGTATATGTAATATTTATCGTGACACTGTGTAATATGTATTTATATAGTCTATATAATATTTATCGTGACACTGTGTAATAAGTATTTATAGAGTCTATATAATATTTATTGTGACGCTATATAATATGTATTTATATAGCCTATATAATATTTATCGTGACACTATATAATATGTATTTATATAGCCTATATAATATTTATCTTCATGATGTATGCAGTACTTTTTTCTATACTATATTTATGTGTAATATGCACCATTTCCATGTACTAGATTTGATTTAACACTCTATATGTGATGTTTTCAGTTGGCTAAACTATGTGAACTCAGTACCTTCTCCTCCTGACTGTTTATGGTGAGCAGTGAGGTCCCCTTGTAGAAGGTGCATGCGTCCTTTGCATCATTCCACGACTTAGTTTCAGTTTTCTCTGATATAAAATAACAGTGGTCCTCCCAGAACCACCATCCGGGCTCCTGTGGACATTCCAGGCTCACAGCTCCTGCATGGGCAGATCAAAGCTCTGGCACTCAGTGAATGCTCTGCATGGGAGGGGCTTAAATTGTATCCATTGATTTACATCCTTACAGTAGGAAGCAGTGGGCGGATGGCTCTTATTATTTAAACACGTATGAAATTGGTTGCGTGGGACCCACTCTTCACACATAGTAACATTTATGTTATCATTATCGAGGTGAATGCAGAAACAATTTTCAAGCAAATAATAAATAAGATTATTGAATAGGCTCAGCAAACAATAACTGAAACAGGAGCAATATCGCCATTGTGTCGCAGTAACGGGTTCCAGCAGTAGAGGGCGCCCGTTTGGAGTTTTTTTTCTTGAATAGAGGCTGCGGTGGCTATTTTCCCAAAAAATCTTCCACAATTCCTTGTCTAGTGCATGTACAGCGCATTATTTATAGAATATATCCTAAACAGTGAGATCGGAGAAGGCGATGACCTCACAAGCAGCGCATTTCATCGATATTCACTCCAAGCTTTGTATTTACAGCAATTCTGACTGTGTAGGAAATAGAGGGATCATGCTCTTGGTTTCCATGACAACTGCGACACGATGGCGATATTGCCCCAGAGCGTTGCATTGTTCCCTCTTAGGAGTTTGCGGTAAATAAATATGAATTATTCCCTTACTTTGACAGCCGGAGAGCTGAAGGCCACCGATGCAGGTAACGATGCTGTCGCAGAGTCCAGTGACGGCGTTGCAGATAAGATTTTGCGGACACGCGTAGCACGTGTTGGCGCATTTTATCCCATAGTACCCTGGGGCACAGGCTGAAGATAAAAACATTTTAATTCTTTAGCTGTACATCCACCACAATCCTAACAAACACAAAGCTATGCTACGGCAACAGCGCCAACACTCACGGTGTCAGTCATATTAGAGTGCAAGCTCTGCTGTCTAATGCTCAGCGTGGCAAAGGATTACCATGGTAAGGAGTTCCATTACAGTGTCAGAAAACAAACCCAAAAGATATGAAACTAAAAGAACAAACTGGAGGTGGGGTGGGGTGAGAAACCGTAATACAGGCATACCCCGCTTTACATACACTCACTTTACATACACTCACGAGTACAGACATACCTGCGAGTGTACGTAAAGGTGCCTAGCGAGTACAGACATTCCCGTGCCTCTTCTGTCCGCAAGAGAACAGGAAATGGAAGGTTCTGTTCTCGCCCGGAGCAGCTCAGTTCAGTGTCATTGGGGCAGGAACTTTTCACACCTTCTGACATGGCACAGGTTATTCATCTCAAAGTCATAATGCCTACTCCTAGCTGAACATATATATATATTTTTCTGCCCACACATTGTCCATATTCTGCAATCGGCTGCCATCCAGTGAAAGGGTTTACCCTGCCATTTTCTATAACTATGACTTAGCAGCTTAGCTGCATTAGCCACAATCCTGAGGATTCAAAGTTAAACCATAAATGCTTAAAGTGATGAAGAGGTGTTTCTAAACAAAGTGTGCAACTAAGCTCCTAACAAACACAAATTGGCACTGTATTGACAGAATATGGCCCAGTGGGCAGGTTTATTTTACTTTTCCTCACAGTTTAAGGTTGTCAGATGAGTAAAACATTAAAGATAAATGGTACGATCTGGAATAAGATTTTTCTTTTTAAGGTTTGTTTTAACTGAATAAAAGCCCACTGGAAATCACTAAATAAATCACTGGAAATAAAATCACTGGAAAGCTGCAGTTGCAGTATCAGTTATGCCTGTAAATGACTATTGCAATGCAGTACATGCATTGGGAAGTGAAAAAAGGTATTGCTTCACTTTAAGTACATTTTTGTTTTCCATACATGCTCTGGTCCCATTGTGTACTTAAAAGTGGGGTATGCCTGTTTAATAGAATAATAATGCTGATAATTAGTGTAATGACTATAACCACTGACACGGTGACCGGCAATTTATAGCCAGAGCTAAAACACCTCGGTCTGCCAGAAACGGAGAGGTTCCATCCATAACCGATGTGGCGACTGCGCGCGATAAACTGGCTGATATCGATATCGATTTAATTTTACGGTGAGAGGGAATTGGTGAAAGGGACCTACCGGTCCTTAGGTAGGCGGTCACTGGAACTAAGGTGGAAAGAACCATTTGGTTCCCAGAAACCAGTACAAAGGCTCCCTCCCACTGCGTCACGCCAGTGCAGCTCTCTGATCCCAGAATACACGCTTCCTTCGCACTGCCCAACGAGGCCAGCTGATCCGAGTTTGCACGCGGTTTCAGTAATGCGTGGCGTGGATACTCTAGAAATAAATCCACTGCTAAAAAATATAGATCTGCAATTAGTATGTTAGAAAACATTGGGGGTTATTCAGTAAACTTGAAATGACAGACGTGAGGCTTTCTGTTAATGTTTGGTGGAGAACCCATTGTGACACGGAGGGACGGGGACAGTTGACACAGACGGATAGGAGGCACAGAGGGACAGGGGACACGGAGGGCTAGGAGACACAGAGGGACGGGGGACACGGAAGGACGGGGGACACAGAGGGATAGGAGGCACAGAGGGACAGGGGACACGGAGGGATAGGAGGTACAGAGGGACAGGGGACACAGAGGGATAGGAGGCACAGAGGGACAGGGGACACGGAGGGATAGGAGGCACAGAGGGACAGGGGACACGGAGGGACAGGGGACATGGAAGGATGGGGGACACGGAGGGACAGGGGACACGGAAGGATGGGGGACACGGAGGGACAGGGGACACGGAAGGATGGGGGACACGGAGGGACAGGGGACACGGAAGGATGGGGGACACGGAAGGATGGGGGACACGGAAGGGCGGGAAACACGGAGACAAGCTAAATAACCTGGCTGTTCGTAAAAGGCAGATTTGGCTACTTTAACCCAATTTTTGCGGCCATTTGTCCACAATTTGTCTGTTGAATTTAGTGAAGTCTCCACATAAGATGGGTGACCCAGCTATTTCCCAAACAGTCGACCTGGAACCAAATTTCCTTTAACTGCAGACAAACAGCAGCTGAATGCCAGGAAATTCCATGAAAGTGCTTAGTGTGCTGTTTAAGGGCCAGTAACCCAGTTTCCCCAAGCAGGGTGAGTAGAAGTGTCCGTACCTTCATCTCTCTCACAGATCCAGGTTCTCAGAGCCGCGCAGTTTGTCTGTGACGTCACTTTGCCATCAGTACTGATCTCCGCACAGCCAGCGGGAGCTGACGTTAGGTCAATGAGCCTGTGCCGGGGTAATGAGTACAGCTAGGGGTTATTAACTAAACGGGGAATGGTGGCGAACCCACCACGGAATTCTACAATTTAGGTCAAGATAGCTGTTAGGAAATTGTTTTCCATTCCAGTTTTTGACCTAAGATGTGAAATTTGCAGGTTAATTCTCCACAGATCCATGTTTGGTAAATAGCTCAGATTGCGTTGTTTAACATAATTGAATAAGGCCCTGGGGAGATAGCGCAGCTAAGCGGACAAGGGCACATGTAGGAGTGTGGGGATAGATGCAGGGGAGTGACTTGGGTAATGTGTATGGGAGGGGTTAGGTTCAATATAAGTTAGCGTGGGGGAGGTCTTACCTCAGTGCCACTTGGGATACGGGCCAGCAAACAGCTTCCCTCCCGCCCACCCCTTTTGAGTCTTAGTTAGTCACAGCTAGCCGGGGTACATCCTTGCCAATTAAGTTTGAGGGGTTACGTTTAAGGATAGAGTACGTTTTTATGTTTTGCAGGTCTCAATCTCCCCTGCTTCAAAAGGTTAACATTAGGTTACCTGAGGTGTCGTGCCCATCGAGCGTGGATAAGGTCGGCTGATGGCGGGCATTGGAAATATATGATTTTTATGACGAGGGGGGAGGTGAGAGGAAGTGGTGATTAGGAACCACTGTATGTTTATTGGCAAGGACGGTTGGGTCTCTGCATAGCACGTTTTGTTATTATATGTATATATGTTAATTTATGATTATTTATTTCTAACAGAAAGAAAAGTTTAATAAATAAAGTTATGGAATGTTATGCAGTAATTTATTTATGTTATAATAAATGCTGTGGCCTGTTCATCCATACTGAGTTGTCTGTCGTTATTGGGGGGGGGAGGGCTTATTGGGGTTATCTATGTTTATGTGGCATCGTAATTCCCCACTACCTACATACATGAAACGTGTGTTACAGATGTGTGTATCAGAATGCTGCCTTGTTTTTCACGCACCATGTGGCTGACGTATCAGCTGGTTCACCGCCTGCCCAGCTCCACTTGCCGTCTTTATCAATATCGTTGAGTCCGATCCAGGAGTTCTCTTTAATGGCGGTAGACACCCAGCTCTGTAACGGCAGGACGGATTTAGCATTAATCGTTAGTAAAGTGCTGATCCAGGCTGTGACATGCACAGATATCAATCTGTCCTTAATGTACTGTGAGTCCTGTACCTTCTCCTCAGGGCGGTTAATAAAGAGAAGCCGTGTGTCCTTGTAATGGGTGCAGGCTGCCTTGGCATTTGTCCATGACATCCGATCCCCTGTCTCTATATAGTAACAGTGTCCAGACCACCCCTGCCAGCCTGGGGGGCACGTAGCTCTAACAACACCTGAGAACATAAAGACAGTACAGAGACACATGGCACCTTCAAACATACAGCGGGGACGGAGCAAAACACATTACTGGATGTCTGTCTGTCCAGAATCACCGACATGTAAATAGATCAGTAATTCACCCTCTGCCAGTCCTTTACCAGCATGGATCCAATAATCCCCTCTTCTATCTCTCCATCCCACGTCTGCTCTCCTCCTATCTCTCCATCCCACGTCTGCTCTCCTCCTATCTCTCCATCCCACGTCTGCTCTCCTCCTATCTCTCCATCCCACGTCTGCTCTCCTCCTATCTGCTCTCCTCCCATCTCTCCATCCCACGTCTGCTCTCCTCCCATCTCTCCATCCCACGTCTGCTCTCCTGCCATCTCTCCATCCCACGTCTGCTCTCCTTCTATGCCACATCTTGGATGGTCAGGAGAGTAAAGGGCCCAGCCTTCAGGTAAGGGCCAAACAGGATTTCGTTGCAGGACAATAGCTAATGACTCATGGCTGAGCCCCCAGTTATAAATTGACATGTTGCCATAACTCTGATTTAAGGCCACAGGCAATCTAGTCTGTTACATAAAGCAAGATCGAACAAAGGAAACAGGCATCTCCAGAATGGGGGAAATATAACATATACATACTTGGGAACATAACAGTCCCAAGATAGGGTCAAAAATCCCAGAATAAGGTCAGGAACCCCGGGATAGGGTCAAAAATCCTGGAATAAGGTCAGCAACCTTCGGATAGGGTCAAAAATCCCGGAATAAGGTCAGGAACCCCGGGATAGGGTCAAAATTCCCAGAATAAGGTCAGGAACTAAGGGATAGAAACAAGACCCCAGGATAGAAACAGGATGTCCAGGATATGGAACACAAACAGACACCTTCCCACCCAATTCATGCTGTTATGACATTGAGTCCGATATAACAGCCTGTATACATAGAGCTGGAGAGAAATAGATGGAGATCAGAGAGAGGACCCTGAACTATTGATCAGACAGGATAAACCGTACACAGAGTGAGAGCAGCCAGCACCGGGCGTGGCAGCATCATCATGCCATGTGCTGGGAGGAGCTGGGCACCTGACTAAACTGATACAGAGCAACATGACCAGCTCCCTCTAGAGGAACCTCCGGGCACTGCAGGAACAAACCTGGGGGGTAAAAATACAGCATTGGAAACTCAAAGAAACCGCAGAGATCACATTATATCCGCCCCATTTCCTTTTTTATATATCCCAGATATCACAGAGCTCCACAGCTATACAACTCACAGTAATGTGCAGTGTGTATGAGGGTATCACAGAGCTCCACAGTAATAAAACTCCCAGCAATGTGCAGTGTGTGTGAGTGTATCACAGAGCTCCACAGCAATAAAACTCACAGTAATGTGCAGTGTGTATGAAGGTATCACAGAGCTCCACAGCAATTAAACTCACAGTAATGTGCAGTGTGTATGAAGGTATCACAGAGCTCCACAGCAATTAAACTCACAGTAATGTGCAGTGTGTATGAGGGTATCACAGAGCTCCACAGCAATAAAACTCACAGTAATGTGCAGTGTGTATGAAGGTATCACAGAGCTCCACAGTAATAAAACTCACAGTAATGTGCAGTGTGTATGAGGGTATCACAGAGCTCCACAGCAATAACACTCACATTAATGTGCAGTGTGTATGAGTGTATCTCAGAGCTCCACAGTAATAAAACTCCCAGCAATGTGCAGTGTGTGTGAGTGTATCACAGAGCTCCACAGCAATAAAACTCACAGTAATGTGCAGTGCGTATGAGTGTATCACAGAGCTCCACAGTAATAAAACTCACAGTAATGTGCAGTGTGTATGAGGGTATCACAGAGCTCCACAGCAATAACACTCACATTAATGTGCAGTGTGTATGAGTGTATCTCAGAGCTCCACAGTAATAAAACTCCCAGCAATGTGCAGTGTGTGTGAGTGTATCACAGAGCTCCACAGCAATAAAACTCACAGTAATGTGCAGTGCGTATAGTGTATCACAGAGCTCCACAGCAATAAAACTCACAGTAATGTGCAGTGTGTATGAGTGTATTACAGAGCTCCACAGCAATAAAACACACAGTAATATGCAGTGTGCACAAGGTATCACAGAGCTCCACAGCAATAAAACTCCCAGTAATGTGCAGTGTGTATGAGGGTATCACAGAGCTCCACAGCAATAACACTCCATTAATGTGCAGTGTGTATGAGTGTATCACAGAGCTCCACAGTAATAAAACTCACAGTAATGTGCAGTGTGTATGAGGGTATCACAGAGCTCCACAGAAATAAAACTCACAGTAATGTGCAGTGTGTATGAGTGTATTACAGAGCTCCACAGCAATAAAACACACAGTAATATGCAGTGTGCACAAGGGTATCACAGAGCTCCACAGCAATAAAACTCCCAGTAATGTGCAGTGTGTATGAGGGTATCACAGAGCTCCACAGTAATAATACTCACAGTAGCGTGCAGTGTGTATGAGGGTATCACAGAGCTCCACAGCAATAATACTCACAGTAACGTGCAGTGTGTATGAGGGTATCACAGAACTCCACAGCAATAAAACTCACAGTAATGTGCAGTGTGTATGAGGGTATCACAGAGCTCCACAGTAATAATACTCACAGTAATGTGCAGTGTGTATGAGGGTATCACAGAGCTCCACAGCAATAAAACTCACAGTAACATAGTGTGTATGTGAAAGATACAGTAAGGATGTCCCCCAGTTTTGGTGCGCCCTTGGTAGCCGGCATATCTCAGGGAGTGAATCCGTCAAGGCCGAATCGTCAGACAGACACAGTAACTGAATGTGGTAACACTGGAACAAATTACTGGACGTTAACCCGTTCACTGCCGGAGGTAGACTGTGCAGTATGAAGCTGCGTTTAGTGATATACTTGTGATTTTTATAAAGCCACGGTCAGCAGCCAAGCTCACTCAATCGGTTTCCATTAACCTTTAGTGGTACCATAGACACACACTGATAATGAGGCTTGCTCTTGTAACCCTTGCTGGCGGCTGGCGGGCAACAAAATCAGAATTAACGGGTATACGGAGTAATAATACCCGGGTAACAGTGAGTATTAGCCGGTGTACTCAGCAATAATACCCGGGTAACAGTATGAGTATTAGCCGGTGTACTGAGTAATAATACCCGGGTAACAGTATGAGTATTAGCCGGTGTACTGAGTAATAATACCCGGGTAACAGTATGAGTATTAGCCGGTGTACTCAGCAATAATACCCGGGTAACAGTATGAGTATTAGCCGGTGTACTCAGCAATAAAACCCGGGTAACAGTATGAGTATTAGCCGATGTACTGAGCAATAATACCCGGGTAACAGTATGAGTATTAGCCAGTGTACTGAGCAATAATACCCGGGTAACAGTATGAGTGTTAGCCGGTGTACTGAGCAATAATACCCGGGTAACAGTATGAGTATTGCTTGATTGCACTGAGCGTGTAATATACCGGGTAACAGTATGAGTATTGCTTGATTGGCACTGAAGAGCAATATACCGGGTAACAGTATGAGTATTGCTTGGTGTACTGAGCAATAAAACCCGGGTAACAGTATAGTATTAGCGTTATACTGAGCAATAATACCCGGGTAACAGTATGAGTATTAGCCGGTGTACTGAGCAATAATACCCGGGTAACAGTATGAGTATTAGCTGGTGTACTGAGCAATAATACCCGGGTAACAGTATGAGTGTTAGCCGGTGTACTGAGTAATAATACCCGGGTAACAGTATGAGTATTAGCCGGTGTACTGAGCAATAAAACCCGGGTAACAGTATGAGTATTAGCCGGTGCACTGAGCAATAATACCCGGGTAACAGTATGAGTGTTAGCCGGTGTACTGAGTAATAATACCCGGGTAACCGTATGAGTATTAGTCGGTGTACTAAGTAATAATACCCGGGTAACCGTATGAGTATTAGTCGGTGTACTAAGTAATAATACCCGGGTAACAGTATGAGTATTAGCTGGTGTACTGAGTAATAATACCCGGGTAACAGTATGAGTATTAGCCGGTGTACTGAGTAATAATACCCGGGTAACAGTATGAGTATTAGCTGGTGTACTGAGTAATAATACCCGGGTAACAGTATGAGTATTAGCCGGTGCACTGAGTAATAATACCCGGGTAACAGTATGAGAGTTAGCCGGTGCACTGAGCAATAATACCCGGGTAACAGTATGAGTGTTAGCCGGTGTACTGAGCAATAAAACCCGGGTAACAGTATGAGTATTAGCCGGTGTACTGAGCAATAATACCCGGGTAACAGTATGAGAGTTAGCCGGTGCACTGAGCAATAATACCCGGGTAACAGTATGAGTATTAGCTGGTGTACTGAGCAATAATACCCGGGTAACAGTATGAGTGTTAGCCGGTGTACTGAGTAATAATACCCGGGTAACAGTATGAGTATTAGCCGGTGTACTGAGCAATAAAACCCGGGTAACAGTATGAGTATTAGCCGGTGCACTGAGCAATAATACCCGGGTAACAGTATGAGTATTAGCCGGTGTACTGAGCAATAATACCCGGGTAACAGTATCAGTGTTAGCCGCTGTACTGAGTAATAATACCCGGGTAACCGTATGAGTATTAGTCGGTGTACTGAGTAATAATACCCGGGTAACAGTATGAGTATTAGCTGGTGTACTGAGTAATATACCCGGGTAACAGTATGAGTATTAGCTGGTGTACTGAGTAATAATACCTGGGTAACAGTATGAGTATTAGCCGGTGCACTGAGTAATTAGTAAAAGTATTAACCGGTGTATGGTATTTGTGTGTGCTCACCGGATTAAAGGAACTTGCGCTGTATGGATACAGTTAGATTGGAGTAGGGCGCACACAGGGTTAAATCTCATCATAACAGTATGAGTATTAGCCGGTGTACTGAGTAATAATACCCGGGTAACAGTGAGTATTAGCCGGTGTACTGAGTAATAATACCCGGGTAACAGTATGAGTATTAGCCGGTGTACTGAGCAATAATACCCAGGTAACAGTATGAGTATTAGCCGGTGTACTGAGTAATAATACCCGGGTAACAGTATGAGTATTAGCCGGTGTACTGAGCAATAATACCCAGGTAACAGTATGAGTATTAGCCGGTGTACTCAGCAATAAAACCCGGGTAACAGTATGAGTATTAGCCGGTGTACTGAGTAATAATACCCGGGTAACAGTATGAGTATTAGCCGGTGTACTCAGCAATAAAACCCGGGTAACAGTATGAGTATTAGCTGGTGTACTGAGCCATAATACCCGGGTAACAGTATGAGTATTAGCCGGTGTACTGAGCAATAATACCCAGGTAACAGTATGATTATTAGCCGGTGTACTGAGTAATAATACCCGGGTAACAGTATGAGTATTAGCCGGTGTACTGAGCCATAATACCCGGGTAACAGTATGAGTATTAGCCGGTGTACTGCGTAATTAGTAAAAGTATTAACCGGCGTATGGTATCTGCGTGTGCTCACAGGATTAAAGGAACGTGCGCTGTATGGATACGGTTAGATTGGAGTAGGGCGCACACAGGGTTAAATCTCATCTCCAGCAATAAGGAGAGCGGGCGGCTCATTGTGTAAAGTTTGGGAGGAGGGCTTGGCCTTCCTAGAATCACAGGGTGTTTAGTCCTGATAATCTGCCTTCGGATAAAGTCAGGGAAATAAACTGAGCTCAGATTGTCCCAGGGTCACACGTTACTGGCTGTAAAGTCCCTGGAGAATCCGGTAAGAAACGTCTTGCTCTGATTACGCAGGCAGGGGAAATAGTCTGAGATTATTTCAATTTAATGATCAAACGTTGAACTGGAGGACGTTTTACAGAGATCAGAGTGGGATCTGTTTTGGGGGTTCAGGAGATGCACCCCCAATCTGTATCTATTCAATGAAAGTTCCTTAAAACCCCCTAAATATTGCCATCCTCCCTGCCCCCTGTTTAGGTCTCTCTGACTGTCTCTTTATGCAGAGTTTTCATTTTGTAATAAATTTGTTAAATTAGTATTTTCTAAATACAGATTAGATGGTGTTAGCCCGCGTATCGTACAGGTCTGACGTAGATACTGAGTGCAACTAAAATCGTATAGTCTGCGTGGGACAGGGATTCATATTGTCACACTTTCCTTCTGTGGACTTTTATAATTTTATGCTCATTACTATTAATCAATGCATGTTCTGAGTCACATCTTGACGTTTTTTTAATCTTCCAGAGATTGAAACTCGTCAATCATTGTGTCTCAGAGAGAGAGCTGGTCTGGTCTCAATAATCTGGGTTCTGTTATCCTGTCTGCAGGGAATGACCAGGAGAGTGAGGATTAAAAGCGTCAAAACTGTGTCCTGATACATTGTACGAAGGTATACTGGCATCCAATGTGTAGACATCACTGATCCCTTAGAGATCCATCACCGATCCATTAAAGATCCATCTCAGATCCCTCATACAGATCCACCGTAGATCCAATGGACCGAAGAATCTATTCTAATATAGATGATAACGTTGACCAACAGAGACCCCGTCAGATGTCTTCTAGTGATCCTCGGGGTCTGTGCCTGAATGTGGTGCTAAAGATGAAAGATACATGTGGTGGTCATGTGGCACATGGATGTGGCTATATGTGCCATACAGAAGGAGCCCCCTCAGACCGCCTTGGTCACTGCTTTGGATACAAATCTCGGCTGGTTGTGGGAGTCTTATTAAGCTTGGCTGTGATGGTTGCTTTGCTTCTGTGGAATTATAAATGTATTGTGATTGATCGGTTCTGTGAAGGGAACAGCGAATTATTGACTCCAATATTTAAAGACAATTAGGGTTTGTTCTTTGTGAATCTATTTTCTCCCATTATATTAAACATACCTCAGGTTTACTGTGAAACATAGCACCCCAACTGACTACATATATTATCATTGCTCCAGTAAGGGGAATGGCTGAGGCTGACGTGAGTGTGTGGTCTGCCGATCCCTGTGTAACAGCAGGGAATTCATCAATAGCAATCTAGGATCAGAAATAATTCTGCTTTAATGAAGAATGAATTTACTTTAAATGGGTTAAAATGGTTTTCCACATTTGTTGGCGCAGAGATCATCCATGACATGGGGCTCAGCAGGTTCAGCCATAGATACAGGTTCTCTCATGGAAACCTGTGATGCAAAATACAAAACAACCAGATATGTTTGGGCTACGGCAGAACGATCTACAATTAAAAAACAAATATATACATAGTGTAATTCAGTATAAACAGTGAATAGATGTTGTTGAAATGCACAAGATTAGATGACAAATAGCGCTCAAGGGTGCCTCCCCTGATAGTAGTGGGAGGCTAAAATCTTCCTCCAGTTGCTCCGAGGATATAGATGCAAAAACAGGACTCCCAGGATGGTAGGAAAAATTCAAAACGGCTTTATTAAGGATGAATTTTGCATCTATAGCTTCGGAGCAACTGGAGGAAGATTTTAGCCTCCCACTACTATCAGGGGAGGCACCCTTGAGCGCTATTTGTCATCTAATCTTGTGAGTGCATTTCAACAACATCTATTCACTGTTTATACTGAATTACACTATGTATATATTTGTTTTTTAATTGTAGATCGTTCCGCCATAGCCCAAACATATCTGGTTGTTCTGTATTTTGCTGTGTGCCTGGGAGGCTGTCTTACCTGAATACTAAGATAAGTACTTTTCCACTTGTATTCACTATTCGCTAAGTGGTGATATTAGGAATCTTTTTTGTCTCTTGTACCTTAAACCTATGATGCAGGCTGCTGTGCTGCTTAACAAACCTTACACCATCACCACTTCCTTAGCCTCACATATTATTATATTATTACATAAATACTACGGTTATCGATGTGTTCTACACAGATTCATTTCTTTATTCTATTTTGTTGCAGTATTTTATAAATTCACCAAAAGTGATTTTATTGGAACGATTCACCCCCCACTATTTACTCTCCCAGGTAATAAATGGCCGGCGTTACTATGGATACGGCAGGGGCGTGAGGCAGGAGCAATAATGGCTTCCTGTCGCCTGCTTTGGCTGAGGGTTTATGGTTTTATTGGCCACTACCCAACAGTCCTTGATGCTGCAGCCTGGCAACACACACGTTCTGTATGTGGGGCAAGTGATGTATGGTTACCGGGGGCCAGCAATCATTATTTATTGTAAAAACCAAAGAAAAAGGTTACCTGTGCTCTCTCCTTAATCCCTATGTATATTTAAACAAATGGAGGTCATTTAGTTACTCCAATGGCCATTGGAGAGAATGCCCGCCTGCCAACGTCAAGGCAGACCCCCCCCCTAGATGGGTCCCTTTACCTTGCTTCCTGGAGCTTTTTGCAAATATATCTCTAATGAGACAGAAAGGGGTAATTTTTATATACACCCCTTTATACTTATTAACCCTTAATAGGGAACACATGGGATGGGCGGCAGCATTGTAACATAGCTGTGTGATACAAAAAGAAAAATCCTGCGCTCACTCCCATCACTCCTTTGGGTTTTACTATATGTATTAGCTGATGGGAGTGAGCGCAGGACTTGTTTTCTTTTGGTATTTGTATTCACTTTTTGTATCACACAGCCTTGTTACAATGCAGCCGCCCATCCCATGTGTTCCCTATTAAGGGTTAATAAGTATACAGGGGTGAATATAAAAATTACCCCTTTCTGTCTCATTAGAGATATCTTTGCCAGAAGCTCAAGGAAGCAGGCCGAAGGGTCAGAGTAGGACCCGTCTAGGGGGGTCTGCCTTGACGTTTCAGATTAGCTTTTTAAATGGTTTTTTAAGTTTTTGGATTTTTTTTTTATATATTTCATTATTTTATTTTTTGAAATTTTAATATTTTGAAAAAAAATGTTTTTTTACAAGTTTATCCAAAATGATGAAATAGTCTGTATGGTGTGCTATCGTTTTATCCTTGCAATGTGTTCACTAGAACTGGAGCGGTGGTGAGCTGACAGCTGAATAAGGGGGGATTCCCTCGGAATAAAACACACGTTTCATAGATAATGAGAAATCACAAGACAATCATTCTGTAATAAAGTTCTTTATTACAAACACCAAGAACGCAGGTTCGCTCCGGCTCAGGTATCCCCTGGTGACGCAGTCCGTATAACGATGATTTATTTACCTCTGAAACCAAGATGACATATCTTATTATTCTGGGACATAATACAAACTAAGGTAACAAAAACTTGTAACCGCCACAAATTCTAGAAAATAATAAAAATGCTGCGATTGGTAATAATTTGTCTTTTTATGTTTTCACACATATTTGCCAATTTTTCATGGCACCGCGGGGGAGGAGAATGTCTGTAATCGCGGGAGGCTCTGTGAAATAATCAGATTAGCAGTGACACTCTATTACAGTCAGAGCTAAACCCTAGCAAACTGTAAAACCAGACGGAATGTGAGGAACGTCTCACAAACACACAATGTCCTCCTTGTTTTAGGAAGGCTCTCGGGCTGGGGCTGAGTAATTGGTTATTATTTGTAAAAACAAGTCACCAGATCCTATGGAGACCCTGCCCAATACGAGGTTAATAGAGGATTTGGTGATGTCACGTTACAAGTATAAATACAGGGAGGCTCAGCATAATAAGATTTGGAGTTCTGATCACTTACTGTGCGCCCGGGTGCTTCTTGTTCCTAAAGAAAAAAAAAAGCATTACATAGGAACACAGAAAATGACACAATGAGCGAGTCCGTCTCGGACTGTTTATTAATTGTTACATTTACACTTTAAACACAGCGACCCCGCCGGTTCTATTACCTACAGATGGCGTGGTACTGGTGGACGGTTTACTATTATTATTGAAGCATTTTCCCCAAAATAATTCACTAAACCAGCTGGTTATACTTACAACTAATGATGGAGTTTTGAATAAAATCTATAGACCCAGAGTACCACCAACGGGTAACACTCCATCTTTAGATACAGAGATCTAGTGGGTTTCATACACCTGTTTCTGGGATACCCTGGGCTGCTTGACAACATGCTACATACAACGACTCCGGATACTCACAGCTCTCCATTCTTTAGGAAAATGATCCAAATGGTGACCATGAGTAATGTGATGAGGTAACACATAGACATCGTCATCATCGCGCTGGAAAAGCGTTTGGACATCATGAACTGGCATTCGCACCGATCAAACACTGCATGAGGGAAACAGACAGAAAAACACGGTCCGTATCATCACACAGGGCTATTTACTAAGGGGAAAATTCAGTCAACTCCAAATTTAAGGCCAGAGTAGCGGAACTGAGCGCAGAGCTGACTTAGAGGATTTTTTTCCAGCTCGGCTATTTTAACCTTAGATTAGAAATTCACTTTGAATTCTCACTTTAGTGCATAACCGTGACACTCACCGCCACTTCTTAAACAAATTATTGTAATGCTTTTCCCAGTAAAGTTGCTCAAATGGTTTATTCAGTAAAAACAGAACAGGAGTGATTTAAACAAAAACAGTCGACAGTGAAATTCTCCAGCTCGCTAGAAACATATTTGAATAGTTTAGCTTTAATTTGCAATTTGGAGTTTACTGAATAAAATCCCCAAAATCTCATTGACATTATTTGACTAACTTAGGAAGAATAAAAGGATGGTCAATCGGCTGAGTATAAAACCTGCAACACTGAAGTTTGAACAGGTACAGCAAGTGGTGCATGAAAACTCAAACTTGTCAAGTGAAATCCAAAAGAGTCTCTAGCAGGGTGACAGTTTGATTAGTTTAGCCTGGATTCAGACATTAAGAGGTCAGTTAGCGGGATTTATTCACCAAACTTTATTAGTCATTGTAAAAGTGTCGGAGTAACATGACTCGAGGGTCTGGCTGCCTCCATGTTTACCTGGATACATATTATAAGCCATCGGTGAGCTAGTCTGGGCTCTATTTAGGATTCCTATTCATTAATGAATTGATCTGCTGTCTGTCACATTACGCAAGGCAGCACTTTTCATGCTCTAACCATCCTGTGCCCAGGGAACCTTCGTTGGGATCTAAATGTCTAGAGTTCATGAAGATGGCAGTACGTCAGTTTTCCATAAACGTGTGAAGGATCCATAGATAAGGGCTGCTTATTTGAGGGACACTAGGCCAGCAAGGAACATGGCGCTGGCGAGGGACGTAAGACATGGAGCTGTAAACGGCTCACCTTTATTAGCCATGTGTTGAATCGACGTCAGGTTTTCAATCTAGGAAGAAGAAAGGATACTCTGTGATGTGGTGCCCTGCTAATAAAGGACAGTCTGTAGAATGTGATGTTAGCAGATTTAAGATTCAACAGTTTTTGCCAAAATACATTAAATTGAACGAGACGTGTTAAAGTTAGAATGACCCCCAATCATCCACCTTTGTAGGGGAAATCCATCCATGAGAGCATTAAAGGGTTCTTTACTAAACTACGAATGTCCCCAAACCGAATGAGGCAAAACTATTCGGCTGAATCCGGGGCCATTCGTTGATCAAACTCATCAATGTTTGAATTTTATAAATTGTGTCCCAAATGGGCTTGAATTTAATCCGGATTTCAGCCCAGCGCCGCTGGACAGCTGAAATCCTGGCTGAATCTATTAAATCCAGGACCAGAGGTTTCATCTCCGAGCCTGGATTAAAAAATAATCAGACCCGTTTGCCTGCTTGCAGCGTTAGCAGCCAATGGACTAATAGGTAAATCCATCCATGGCGCACGGGTTAATTACGTAACAACTGGCCAACACTTGCTAGCCAGCCGCCACATGGAAATAGTAAAAAAAAAAATAAAAAAAATACTATAGGGGTCAGTAAGAACCTCGTATTGCCATAATGGAGGTTGTGTACCTCTATATGACCCCACCTATTATCCAGCAGCTAAATGTGTAAACCAAGCAATTAGACAAGATCCCATCACATAATTCCCCTGTCGCACCATCTATGGGGGGATCTATTGTCCCCTCTCCTGGCCCCCAATCATGGGCAGTGGGTGGGTGCCCTAATTAAAAGTCCACTGTAGGCGCTTTAAAAACCTCATCTTGAAGTAGTTCTAGTGCCTGCAGTCATGCCCCCTGTCCTACCCCCAAAACCCAACATTAAATTAAATAGAAGGCTTGGAAACGCAGAAGCCCTCTGGGTAAGAGAGCCAGGCTCTCGCACGGTAACATTCTGTGACGTCACACGTGCCGAGGGGGGGCCGTCACGATCGGCCATAGAGAATCCCAGAGTCAATGATTCTATATGAAGGAATTGTGGGTGAGTGCTGATCATGAACCTATGTTTCCCTATGCTCCAAGCAATGGGTCACAGCCCCGTGGGAGACTCAATGCTGGGGAAAAGGTGAGTAATTTGTTTATTTTTTTTAATTTTACAGAATGGGAGTTTAATTTTACAATATGGCAGTGTTCCTTTAATTATAAAATAGCGGGGCTGGACATGTCCACCGCCCCCAATTAGCTGTGAGCACCCTTCAGGTGTCTAGGGATCCCCATTACCCTAGGTACCCCCTGAAAAAAGTCCTTACCTACCCCCTCATCTTAATAATAGTGAGGGCCAAAAATGTATTACCTGTAAAAACCAAACATTATACTTACCGTCTGAAGTTTCCTTTCTTCTAGTCTTCTGCTTCAAAAAAGGGCAAATAAAAATCCAGAATTACCAACGCCAAGAATTAAAAAAAAAAACACAAGAAAAAAAAAAATCAATTTCAACCATGAAAGTCTTGCCGCAGAATAAGCGCTGATAGCGGGGAACGTCCTTTTATAGGCTTGACACACTATGACAGGTATCGCAAAGCATGGGAAAATGTCCCCCTCTTAGCAAAAGGACCAAGAGATCTCTGATTGGCTAGCAAGACAACCAATCAGGGAGCTCTGACAAAACGTCTCGAGAGAAGTGAGATGGGGCCTTTTATTGTGACTGTGCAGTCACTGGTTCTTAATGTGTAACAGACATGGGCATATGGTGGTACGTTACCGCCATTATAGTAATATTGGCAGTCACTAAACCGTTAAATTATTTTTTTCCCTTTTTTAATATGGCGGCTGGCTAACAAGTGCTGGTCACCCGCCAAATGATTAACCCTTGCGCTGCTGTAGGCCCGTTAGCGGCTAGCACTGCCGGTGGACAAAGTAAGCGTGTACCCTGCCGGAGACGGTAACTTCATCCTTGGCCGCCATGTGGTCGTGGATAAATCTCAGATTCCGTAAATTAGTTCGGATACGAAAACCACTAACTTTCCAAACAAATGTTACAGAATGCCGATCGACACAATCGGAATTTGGTCAGTGAATTCAAAGAGAATTGAAGCTTTAGACCAAAGTAGTCGAACTGGGAACATAGCTTACTCTTTTGAGTTGGTATTTTGACTTTAGTTAATAACCCTGCAAAATGAATCCATTAGGATTCCCCCCACTCATCCCACGAGGCTCCCTTATCTAACCAGATCTGGAATTGGTAGCTGGTTTGGATTTTATTCCAAGTTATTCTCTGTATGCATGCTTGATTCTTTACATTTCATTCAGGACTGCTAAAATGAGAATTTACCTGATTTCCGGTGGCACTGGCCACATCATCCTGCTCATATACCGGATCGTGTACATCATTACCCGATTCATCAAGAGCTTGTTTCCCTTTGCCGGAGACTGTGGACATGGAGAGAACACATTGTACGAGATTTCCTTCTAATTAACAGACAACAGCTCGTTATGTAAGAGATTAGACTGCAAGTAAGTCACGTAAAGGGAGTACAATAGAGTAAGGAGATGAGGATAGGAAGTAAGGGAAGTACAGCAGAGGAAGGTGATGATGATGATGTGCTGTGTCCAGGGGTATCTTACAATGTCCATACCACCTGTGCAAAAATATTGGGGCTTTATTACCCTTCCAGCCTGACTATTGTCAACGAGCGAGGGGCAGTACATCCGATGTTTATCAAAACAGACAGACTGCTGTCTGTAAAATACTCAGGGAACAGAGCAGCTCACTCTGGAAGGGGACAATTAACCAAAAAAAAAAAACCCCCAATATCTTTTACACTAAAGGGATATGGACATTACAATGTAACTGCTGTCTGTAGAATACTCAGTGAACACAACAGCTCACACTGGAGGGGGCAATTAACTAAACCCCCCAATATCTTTTACACTAAAGGGATACGGACATTACGATGTAACTGCTGTCTGTAGAATACTCAGGGAACACAGCAGCTCACGCTGGAGGGGGCAATTAACCAAAACCCCCCATTATCTTTTACACTTTAAGGGATACGGACATTACAATGTAACTGCTGTCTGTAGAATACTCAGGGAACACAGCAGCTCACACTGGAGGGGGCAATTAACCAACCCCCCCGCCCCCCCAATATCTTTTACACTAAAGGGATACGGACATTACAATGTAACTGCTGTCTGTAGACTACTCAGGGAACACAGCAGCTCACAGTGGGGGGGCAATTAACCAAACCCCCCCCAATATATTTTACACTAAAGGGATATGGACATTACAATGTAACTGCTGTCTGTAGAATACTCAGGGAACACAGCAGCTCACACTGGGGGGGCAATTAACCAAACCCCCCAATATATTTTACACTAAAGGGATACGGACATTACAATATAACTGCTGTCTGTAGAATACTCAGGGAACACAGTAGCTTACGCTGGAGTTGGCAATTAACCAAACCCCCCAATATCTTTTACACTAAAGGGATACGGACATTACAATGTAACTCCTGTCTGTAGAATACTCAGGGAACACAGTAGCTCACACTGGAGGGGGCGATTAGCCTCCTGCCCAGAGCTCCTACCAGTAAACGAGGATGAAAAAGCAGCACAGAGAAGAACGTATGCCATTAAACCCATTGCACAGACTGCTGGACATGTCACATGGCACACTGGGTGTAGGACATTCCATGGCCACCTGTCTTATGATGTCATAGTTACATAGTTGTCTAGGTTGAATAAAAGCTTGAGTCCATCAGTTTCAACATAAACCCGTACTTTGATGCCAATTACCCAATTATAGCCATTTGTAATTGCCACAAAAAGAGAAAATTCCTTCTTGACTCCATAACGGCAGTGTGGTAATGTTAGAGACTGGGCCGTACAATAACGGCAGTGCGGTAATGTTAGAGACTGGGCAGTACAATAACGGCAGTGCGGTAATGTGAGAGACTGGGCCGTACAATAACGGCAGTGTGGTAATGTTAGAGACTTGGCCGTACAATAACGGCAGTGCGGTAATGTTAGAGACTGGGCCGTACAATAACGGCAGTGCGGTAATGTGAGAGACTGGGCCGTACAATAACGGCAGTGCGGTAATGTTAGAGACTGGGCCGTACAATAACGGCAGTGCGGTAATGTGAGAGACTGGGCCGTACAATAACGGCAGTGCGGTAATGTGAGAGACTGGACTGTACATATTAACCAGCAGTACAGAGGTTTGAAATCGTGTGGGACTGATTGCTGTCAGATTTGGGTGAGCATTGCAATATTTAACTCTCGTCGCAGGCACGAATGGTCAATACATCTAAATAAACAACAGATTTACACACACAGGATTCACTGCATATCCAATCCATCCATTTGGACGGTTTGTTTACTAAGTAAGAATTCAAAGTGAATTTCACATTTAAAGTAATTGAACTGAAACATAATACCTGAATTTGACCATTTTTAACCCTAAATTTTAAATTCTTTGCATTCTCACCTTAGTGAATAGTCTCACCCTGTAAATAGTCAATGATGACTAATACCATAACCACATAGAGCAGGCCAGGTGTCCTGCGATTAGAGGAATTGTATTGCTCCGATCAATGCTGCAAGTTGTAAACATAACTCCACCCCTCAGCCAATCACTGTCCTCTTATTATGTGTGTCTTAAATCCATGCTAAGAGGGCATTTAGAGGACCACTATAGGCACCCAGACCACTTCAGCTCAATGAAGTGATTTGGGTGCCAGGCCCCCCAGGTTATAAACCCTTCAGATGTAAACATTACATTGCAGGGTTAATCCAGCCTCTAGTGGCTGTCTTCCAATGGAGCCCAGCGCTGGATAAAGGTAAGTGGCTGAAGGGGTTTTAGCCCCTTCATCCCAGCGGGAGGGGGGACCTAAGGGTTATATAGTGCCAGGAAAGAGTTTGTTTTCCTGGCACTATAGTGATCCTTTAATAAGAGCACTGATTGGCTGTGATGCAGAGTCGTGTTCTCCACACAACTCACACTGATCTCTCATTGGCTGTTCTTGGCGCATACACTGCGTACCATCCAATCAGGACAATGTTCTGTGAACAGGAGGTAGTGCTAAATGTTTGGTTACACTGCGGAAACCTACTTTTTTTTTTTTAAATAAGTAAAGAGATTTGGACTTGGAAAAAATACATCCTGACTACAAGACCCATCAAATCCACCGGAGCGATGTTGGTGCCAGAAGTGTTTTAGGACGGGTTTGTTTAGTTCTGTCATGTGTTTGGCCTGAAGAGTTGTCCCGTCCTGCTGGTTAGTGAATCCAAAAAACAGATCCAGTCAGTTCATTAAAGGGACACTCCAGGCCCATTGGAGTGGTCTGGGTGCCAACTCCCACTACCCTTAACCCTGCATGTGTAATTATTGCAGTTTTCATAAACTGCAATATTTACCGTGCAGTGTTAACTCCTCCTCTAGAGGGCACTTCTGGGTTTATAGCACACATTTCGTGTGCTAGAACGTCGCTGGACGTCCTCACGCTATGTGAGGACCTCCAGCGTTGCTGAAATCCCTATAGGAAAGCATTGAAAGCATTTTTCAATGCTTTCCAATGGGGAGGTCTAATGCGCGTGCGCATTAGGTCTCCCCCGTTGGCGGCAGCGCATGCGCAATAGGTGTCCCCCGCTTGATTAGGTGGGCGCTGGATACAGGTTAGTCACTGAAGAGGTTTTAACCCCTTCTGCAACTTGGCATGGAGGGTGGGTGGGAGAAGGGACCTGCAGTGCCAGGAAAACAGTTTGTTTTCCTGGCACTGGAGAGTCCCTTTAAAGGGACACTCTAGTCACCAGAACAGCTACAGCTTAACGTATAGTATTCAGCTTAACGTAGTTGTTCTGGTGAATATAGTATGTCCGACAGGTTTTTTGCTGTAAACACTGCCACCTAGTGACACCTCTAGTGGCAGTCACTCAGATGTTTAACTGGAGACGCTGATTTTTCCCATATAGATGCATTGAGTCAATGCATCTCTAGGAGTAGATGCTGATTGGCCAGCTTTTTGCCAAGCGTGCCTCCTCATGTTTTCCTATGGGAAAGCATTGTATTGACTGAGATAGTCAGTTCTGATAATCTCAGCCAAACGGGCGGAGCCAGTGCACACCCGCACACTGCTGGAAAATTTTTTCTTTTTTTTTCTTTTAAAAGAGGGCAAGAGAGTGAGGAATACATAGATTTCTATTCTTGCACCTATAGTGTTCCTTTAATATACAGAGGGAATTGGGGGCACTCCAGAACATGTATTTCTCAGCAATGGTACTACCTTAAAGATTACAGATTATTATTAAATCCTGATAAAAACAAAAATACAGTTTTAAATCTTACACGGCTACTTAAAATCCCCAATCTCAGCAAAGAAATAGGTGGATTCAGTTCCACCATACGGCCACTCCGTCACTGCACCCCAATTCTAACATGGTAGATAATGGGAGAATGAAAATGGTGCTAGATGAACTAAAGTGTAATTAATCTATAGTAGGAGAGGCTAATATATATATCGGAAGATTAATGTGGTAAAAAAAAATATATACAAAAACTGGTGTAAAAACTGAGCAATTAAAGTGATAGTGCTTTGATGTATATACTCCCAATTTTTACTGACATTAGGAGTATATACATCATAGGAATATCACTTTAATCGTTTAGTTTTTACACCGGTTTTGTTTTGTGTGTATATTTTTATATATTTTATTATTGTCTTTTCTTATCACATTAATCTTGATATATATATATATATATATATATATATATATATATATCATGATTAAAATACACTGTAGCTCATTTAGCACTATTTAATTTGTCCCCCATGTTGAATTAGAGAAGGAGCCCCCAATATTGGGGTAATGTGAAATAGTGGTCGTACGGTGGAATATTGGTTTGCAGAGACAAGACGTCCAAGCTCAGTCATGTACAGTCAGCGACAAACTGAAATAAGAGCAAAATGAGGCACATTGGGAACTTTTGAATGTAGAAAAGAAACAGTTTAACGTTGTTATGGATGACCGAAGCAGAGAGTTTCTTGTGTTATTCTCATAGTGGTTTCATTTACACCCTCAGCAATAAAAACCAGCTTACTAAATACCAGAATCAATTAAATAAGTTTAATTCCAGTTCTTAGATGTTCTTAAAAAACATAAGAAACAACCAAACTTCCTGAATATCTCACAAGGAGCGCCAGCACAATTACTGTAGGGCAGTATCCAGGTCACCGGGTCATGATTGATCTACGAGAATGTAACGTCTTAGACACACAGCCATCCTGTAAAATCTCACTAGAAGAAAACCCGTTCAGGAAGTGGCAATGACCGGTGTCCTGCTGTGAGTCCACAATCGATTTGTAGAGTTCTCAGGTGTACCAGGCAAACACTGACCCTGATGGGACATTTATGGCTCAGAACTAGTTGGAGTTCTTGGGCAGTCTGTAAACCCCTCCGGAATACACCAGCAGCTGGTCACTGACTTTCTTCTGGAGGAAGCCCTGCAGTTCCTGAATGTCGATCTCGGTCACCACGTGACTTGTCATAACAAACATCTTGAGCATGCTGTGAATGCGCTCCAGGGGCAGACTTTCCAAGTTAGTCAGCATTGCCTGGATGTAAGTCCAAAACAGCTGCAAAACAGAGAAATGCTCAGTTATAGCCAACAGCCTCACTGGATTGGAGAATGTTTTACAACAAAAAGATGTGATTTCATTAAAGACACAGTTATGCTAACTCTCTTTACGGATTCCAGAACAGGAAACTCCAAGCTTTACAGAAATTAAACAGATAAAACAGGTCAACTATTCCAAGATTCACTAGCCAATCGGCTGCGAGCACAGCCTCTAAATACATCTTAGGAGCGTAACGAAGAATAAACGTGGGCGATTAGAGGACTTCCCTGGGAGACACTAGCGCTACATAATGCAATATTTAAAAAAAAAGCCCAAATTAATAATTTAAAGGGAGAATACATTGGGAGAAAAAAAAGGCTAATGAAAATTTGAGAGAGAAAATAAATCAATCAATCCGCGACTACAGCAAAAAACATCTATGCCAATGACAGTCACAAACGGATGACTGAGAATCAAAGAGGGGGCTTCCAAAATCCACAGCCCTGCCAGTCACAAGCAAGACCCCGAGAAACAAACCAGGTCCGCAGACAGGACAAAATAATGCTGAGATTTGCAGAAGAACAAGTGAACAGAATAAACAAAACAAAAAACTAAACTGGAAAGAATGTGGCAGAGCACACAAGGAGAAGCAGAGGTGAGAGGCCAGAGTGGATCCATAGAAAGAAAAAATATCAAAATGATCAGGAAGAAAATAACTAATATACACACACACACTATATAGATATATACACACACACACACTATATAGATATACACACACTAACTATATAGATACACACACACACACACACACACTATATAGATACACACACAC